GAGTGATTGTAGGTGGGGCCATTTAAAGGTATTACATGTATTCTTCAACAAATTTAACCAAAAAAACGACTGAATCTACCCATTACATGTATTAGCTAAATCATTCACTTGTAATCCCATCCTCCAAACAACCCCTTAGCAAAGTACCAACCTCAGTAAATCCTAGAGAGTTAACTCATATGTTCTTTAAAAATTTGCCAGACCACTTTTGCGAGAGGTGCTTGGTTGAAACATTCAAACTCCCTAAGACCAAGTCTCTCGTTTCCATGTACTCTAGCATAAAGTATTTTACGCAATCCAGTGGATACAGCAGGACTCTGCAAGTTCAGCGCTACCTCTTGAGGACGAACATTTGGAGGAGTTGGAAGATCTTGACAATTATATGTTTTGTTGTTAATTATTTGTTGAGTTGTTATTGAAAACTTTACTTTATAACCTATCATTCAATTGTTATGTTTGTTTTAGCTTTGAAAGTTGTGGTATGGGATGTAAATACTTCAATTTCTACTGCTGGAGTTGGAAGTGCTATTGATAGAAGAGCTTCATCTTCTATTGCACCTGGTGATGAAGATCTTAGTGATACTGATGACGAGGATGAGAGACATGGCATTTTTGAAACGAATGTAGTGGGGAGGATTGAGGTGGCTATCAAGGGATTGAAGGCATGTGGAGTGGATTATAGTTTGAAGTTTTCTTAATAGTCTAAATTACACGTATGGTCACTCAAATTATACAAAGTTTTCACGTTTGCCACCGGAATTGCTTTTCTTTCTTATTCGCCACTAACTTTATGAAGCATTTCACCATTAGTCACCGGCCTCAGTCTCCGTCAGACTCCATCAGATTTTAATGACGTGACAAACAAAACTGCTGACTAGACTGTTAACTTAATGACATGTATTTTTTTTAAAAAAAAATATTACACCTCATTCTCTTCTCAAATCTGCGGCCACACTTTCTCTTCTCATTCCTCTTCCAATTCGCACCACCTGCTCCCAACAAGAATGACGGTCACCGCCAGGTTGCAGCCTTCGTCCACCTCACCAGTCCTCCGTTCGCCTCCCAACAAGAAAGACAATTGTCCGCAATTACATTGCAACTTGAGTTTCCAAGTCCACAGCTCGAGCTTAGCACCGATCTTCTGAAACAATCTCTCTGCGGTGTCGCTCTCCCTACATAATTACTGTCGCCTCCTTGCAGCCGCACTTCACCACCAACAGAATCTTCTCCTGATCTCCGAAATTCCTATTATTTCGCAACACCTCTACTGTCAGATCCAGATCCACAATCGCCGGTGCTTCCTTCCCGTCCGCCGCTGCATCTCTTCCAATTTGTACGATCCCAGCGTCCTGTCGTTAAGGAGCTATCCTCCGCCGCCTTTGGGGAAGAGCTATACAGCGATGCTGAATTGGAATTGAATTGCCTGTTGAGGTCGAGCACGGTGGAAGACATAAGGTAGGCGAATTCGGTTTACGACACCACTGTTCAGCCGTGGATTTTGTATGTCACCACCATGGTCATTATCTCGTTGGGCGAATTGAGCTATGTGCTTTCCCATCTGTTGTTTAGGTAGCGACTAGCGATTCATCGGCAGATTTCCGAGGCCACCTCGATCCCCAGATTTGCGTGGAATCTGGCAAGGACCTGGGGACGCGAAGGAAGAAGACGAAGACGAAGTTAGAGGAGGACGGAGGACTGGAGCGACTGCCATCGTTTCTGTTGAGAGTTTGTCGTGCGAAGAAGAAAGAGAACAGAAAGTGTGCGGGGAGAAATGAGGTGTAATATTTTTTTTAATTACATGTCATTAAGTTAACACTCTTGTCAGAAGTTCTGTTTGCCACGTCATCAAAAATTTGACGGAGTTAACGAAGTCTGACGGTCGGTGACTAACGATGTAATACTTCGTAAAGTTAATGGCGAATGAGAAAGAAAAGTAATTTCGGTAGAAAACGTGAAAGATTTGTATAATTTGAGTGACCAAACGTGTAATTTAGCCTTTCTTAATTTGTGTTTTCCGGCGAGAAAACTTGCATTGAAATCGAATTGAATGCACTTTTAACTTCTTTGGTCAAAGATTACTAAGACACGACTCACACCTCTTCAAACGAAGTTCGAACGGGGGTCTTTGATTGATGGTTGAGAAAGTCAAAGTTAAATTACTCTACTCCTATGGAGGTTCAGTGAGAGCTCCAAACTAAAAACTACGTCTATGGCTACATGATAGAGAAAAGGAAATGATAAACTTTACATGTGTGTCAAAGTGTTGGTTTTGGAAAGTCCTTCTCTATCAACTCCTCTTATTTATAGCCTTGAGGTGGTAATCGTCGTAGAAAAACCGTCCGAGAGAAACTTCCAAAAAGAACTGCTCCTCTTCTTCCTCGGACGTGGCTTACGTGTCCTTGAACGTGGGATAATCAGCAGTTGCCTAGTTAACCGCCTGCTCTCTCTTTTGGAACTGGCGTCTTGTTACTTGCCTCCCCTTTACCATGGCCGTTCCATATCTCAAGACGGGGGTCTTCCAAATCTCATGACCGACGTGGTGTCTAGATCTCATGACCAACGAGGCCTACCAAACTTGATGCGACGATGCCCACTCGAGAGTCGAGACCATCGTGGTCTACTAAACTTGATGCGACGATGCCCACTCACGACCATCGTGGTCTACTAGACTTGAGGTCAACATGGTCTAGCTCTCTGACTTAGTATGTTTGTGGCTTTCCTCTCCCACTTAGTTTGCCTTCTTACTTCCAATTTGTTAGTTTAGATCTTGGACATGGTATAGATCTCACGGCTAAGGTCTTCTAGATCTCGCAACCAACATGGTCTAGCAGACTCACGACGTGTTCCAGATCTCGAGACCATCGAGGTTTACCAAACTCGCGACGAGTGTGGTGTAGCGGACTCGCGAGTCGCGATCACCGAGTTCTACCAAACTCGGGACGAGCATGAACTAGTAAACTCGCGACGAGTGTGGTCTAGAGGACTCGCTATCACCGAGTTTTACCAAGCTGAGTCTCTATCCACGAGACGAGATTAGTTCCTTCTCGGAGACTTAGTGGTTTGGGCTTAAAAATCTAGTACCATAAGGACCAGTTTAAATAACAGTAATTGTTATTATTGATATGACCTTATAAAAACAGTTAATGCCTTGTAAATAATCAATGTGGTAAAAGATTATTTTTTGGTGTAAACAATATGAGAATTATGTTTGAGTATTGATTCATGCATTATGGTTTATGCCTTGGGGATTGTGTTTTTTTTTTTTTTTGACAAGTCCAATTTCATTACGAAATAGGAAGGTGTTACAGAGTTGGACCAAAGCCCAGGAAGGATGAAAGACAAGTCCAAGAGAAAAAGAAGCCCACCACAACCAACAACCAAATCAATTACATGAAAGAGCAGAGAAAAGAAAACCAATCCCCAAGCCCACACAAGAAACAAACGTAAAAAGCCCAAACACAAGCCAACCAAGCCGAAACAAAGCACAACAGCAACCCTAGCCCAAAGGAAAAACACACACCACTACATCGCAACAATCATCCAAGACAACCACCAACCAACACTGCCGCACCGCCACCTCAAAGCCATCGGAAAACCCCACCACACAGCCACCAACCAACCCCAACAATGGAAGAGAGAAAACATCGCCAACAACCACCACAACACCCACACAACTCCACCGCCCCGAAGATCCATGCCACCACAAACAGTCTCCTGCCACCACCGAAGAAAACGGACCGCCACCCCCACATCCTCAGAAGCCACCCCCACACCCCCTCCAGCAAACAAAGAACCGGTGCGCCGCCACCAACACCAAAACCCCAACAGCAACACACAGCGATGGGCGAAGACAACCACAAGAAGCCACCCAACCTGCAAAAACCAACTCCCAAACAACATCCCCAACAAACACAACAACACCTACACCTTCCAAAATCCAAACCCGTCAACGACTCCCGGACACACAAAGCAAAGCGAGCCACAAGACAGAGCACCAAAACCTCAAAGAAAAGCCGAACATCCCTACAACCACCAGGTTGACAGTAGAACCAAAGGCATCAAGCCAGGCCACCGAATCACTGCGCCATTTTGAGTGAAGCAAGGAGGAGAGCACCAAAAAGTCAACAAGAAAGCTGTAAATTGCAAAGCAATTCCCTCTGAACACTGAGAACGATTTCATGATCTGAGAACAGATCAGAAATGTGGAAAAGGAAACATCTCGTAAGAGAAGTTTCATGGCAAACTCCACTTAGGGGAAGTAGTAAGAAAGAAATGCAGAAGCCCACTAAGGGGATGGAAAAAAGAAACATCATACTGAAAATTAGAAGAGTCAATTTGGGTTGCCGCCGGCCACACAGAGGTGAAGCCGGCGGCTCCCCTTGGAGAATGGAGTGGGAAAGCTAGAGAGAGGTCAGAGAAATTTGAAACAAGAGAGAGAAACTTAAGTGGCTTTTTGTTATTGAAAAACTCTCGCCTTGGGGATTGTGTTATTGTTGTTGTTTTTACTTAATTTGGATGGTCTGTTTGAGATTGTATTGTGGATGTTCTTTATAGACTTTTCCAGGTGTATTTCTCTTGTTTGGTGTGAATTTCACAAGTGTATGCTGCTAGACTTTGCAGAATTTGACAACTATTTTTGGTTTTCTCCTATTTTTTCTCACCTTATGCGGTTAACTCCACTGTTTAAGTTTTTCTGGATACTATCATATTAACCACAAACAATAATTAATCACAGTGTATAAGTATCGGTTAACTGCAAATCATATCGTTGCAATCATAGTTTGGTATTTTCTCCTGATTCGGCTGGGATTAACAACGTTATTTGGTGCAGTTAATTAAAACCGCACCATGTCTCACCCCTAAGGAAAAGTGAAATGAAATTTTGTGTGGAAAATTCAAATAATTTATCACAAACTAATAGAGATTAGAGAAGGTATATGGAGTGAACAAAAAGTGGTATAAGCTACGAGAAAGGGGTTTAATTTCTGTGAAATTCCGGTGCATTTCCATTTCTGTTATTTCCAAATATAATTAAGATTATAAGAAAAATAAACCAATTATAATGTGCCATATGGGTAGTTGAACGCATCAGTTGGAGCTAAAATTGCTCTTTTTTTTGTAGGAAGACGAATGCAAAAGCGTCATAGATAACATTACGAATAGAAGGATTTTGGGCAATGCCCATAATATCGTACATGATCCATCTCACCAGATTCGGATCTTCCACATCGAAAGGAGGTGTACCAAAATTAGCTATGGCCCATACTAGCAAGGTAATCGACTGCAAAATTCCTTTCCCTATGAGCATGGGAGACGGAAACCCTCCACTCTTTGTTGAGGAGTTGTCTGACTTGATGAGCAAGTAAACCATGTCGGTGGCTCGTATCCTCGTTGTCCTTCATGATGCTGATGGCGGTTATTGAATCCACCTTCAGTTGCACTCTTCTGTATCCCAAGTTTCAGACAGCCTTGAGACCCTCGACTGCTCCTTTCAGCTCAGCGGCCGTGATTGAGCATTTGCCGAGGTTGCACACGAAGGCAGCAAGGCATCTGCCAAGGTTGTCCCTAATTAGTCCTCCACCCGAGGCTTCCCATGAGGGGGAGAGGACATATCCGTTTTTCTGAATCTGTACACATCCCTCAAGTGGCGGCTCCCAAGCCAGATCAATCGCCATTCTCATGCAAGTACCAGAATTCAAACACCTTGCAACATTCTGCTGGGCATTCTTTAAGATGCGGAACCACGCCTCAATCTTGCAAGAGAGCGAGACTTCCGAATAACCTTTCATGTCCATGCATTCTTTGTTGCGCTGCTTCCACAAATGCCAACAAACCAGTCCAAAATCCACTCCTTTGTCAACATTGCAGAGGTTGTTAATCATCCACTCGTTGAAATCGGTGCCCTGTTTGCTGTCTGTTACACAGTGTCTGAAGTTCTTCCAGATTCCCTTGGTCTTTTGAAAATTATGCAAGATATGCTATGATGATTCCTCAACGTTTGGGCAGTGACTGCAGTTCCCATTAGTCGTAAGTTTCCTCTTCACTCTCTCCTTGTTGTGTGACTTTTCAGCTCCTTGATGAGTCGTTTCTTCCTCCTAAAAATGTTCCCAAAAACTTCATTGTTCCATTTCTGCAGCCTGGTATCCAAGTCCTGCAATGATAAAGGAAAGCTCTTTGTATTATTCCAAACAGAGAGAACAAAGGGATAAAATCATTGTGGGCCAGCCACGGTGTGAGAAACTGGGAGCAAAGCACCATGTTCTGCTTAATAGGAGCAACTTCATTGCAATCGAGACCGAACGATGGTCTGACTTGACTTTGATGAGATGGTGCGTGGAGGACTAGGGAAATCGTTGCTGCCATTCCAGGTTGCAAAGTCCCATGTCCAGCCTTTCCTTGACAGGCTCGACCATGGGCCTGTGTTGGTCGGCCTGCCAGCACAGGGCCCCATAATTTGAAGGGCCTCCATAGAATACAAAAATGCTAAGCACTAGTTATCAATAAATGGACTGAATTATAGGCCCCTTATGATATTGCTTTTTTTATTTAATCCATATTGGCCACGAAAATACTGCATGGGTCAACGGTTAAAAAAGAATAAAATTAATAATTCTTAGATGGACATGACAATGTGGCCCATTTCTTATTAATCCACTCTACCCCTCCTTTCTTTTTCTTTGGCCGAGTCCTCCACTGTATGCAAACAATTAAAACAAAATCATCCAGTAATTGTAAAAAAGGAATTTTCATCAACCACAAAACAAAATCGCCCACCAAGAGTTTTTTCCAATGAAACTTTATCTAAAAAAAATTGCCCACCAAGAGTTTTTCCAATGAAACTTTTCAACCAAATGCTATTTTGAATTCTGTTGTCCTTTTGTCTTGTTTTGCTGTCTTCGTTGGGATTTCCCTGTGGTTTTGTGTTGTTGCGTTTGAGTAGGAGCGGTTTAGTCCACTTTTTCCCCCAGTTTTTTCTCTTTCTTGTGGGATCAGTCATTTTGATTCCCTTTTACTGTATTTTTTTAGGTTTTGTTTTGTTTCCTCTTGCAATATAATTTCATCACCATTATAAAAAAAATGTTCATTACTTTCCTAATACCACAATATAGTATATAGAATCTTATTAATTTTTAAACAATGATAAATGATATTATTACTTTTGTAAACGTTTTTTGAATTTTTCTATTTTTAGCAATATTTAATAATTTTTATTTTCAATAAATTTGCAAAAAATATTTTAAGGGCCAAATTTTGAATTTTCAAATAGGGTCTCCAAATATTATGGGCCGGCCCTGTTCCTTGATCTTGGATCCACTTGTGAACCAAGTAAACCTAGGCCCGGTGAAGCCTAGGTCGATGAGTCTACAATCATCGATACACTCCTTGAACGCTTTTGGTTTTGGCAAACCGGAAAGGAGCTCCTCCTTGCTTCTCATTAGCACCGATGATGGAGTTGAAATCCCCTACGATCAGCCATGAAGTTGAGATTCTTCTGTTGATGCTTCTCAAAGACTCCCAAAGCTCCCTTCTTGTGTATTCATAGGGCTTGCATAAACAATAGAGACATGACAAACTTCCTTACTAGGCAAGGTGCATCTAACGTGAATGAATTAACGTTCATTTTCAAGCTCCACCAGCGAGACCTTGTCTTTGTTCCATAGCACCCAAATCTCCCCGCTGTAACCACTAGCCTCTGATATGATCTAGGAGTCATATCCCAAGGATTTGTACACTAACTCAGCCTCTCTTCCACTGATCCTTGGCTCAAGTATACACACAATGTCAGGGTTGTGGGCAACTTTATACATCTCAAGTGACGACTTAAATTTGTGGTGCTTTTCACCATGACAATTTCAGGAGAAAACTTAACCATAAAAATAAATGGAAGGGCGGAAGGTTCTCCAAACGACCCAAGGGTCGCAAATCAGGGTTGATCGACGACCATGGCCGTCTCCTCCACTCCTTTCGAGTTGCTAGCAGCAGCTGTCTAGGACTGGTTTGCATTTTCTTGCATGAATATACCCGCTCCAAGACTTGTGTTGAAGTCAATTTTGCAGGATAGAATAGTCACATTATCCGGGGGAGAATTATGCTTCATCTTGGGAGACTTAAGGCATCCTTAGATGTTTGTTCCTTCATCTTAGGGTGATGGCCAACTCTGGTGCCACCAGTCATCTCCTTACCTCCCCCTTTTCTAGATTTTGTGGGGCTCTTAGGTTTGGAGTTGCCAAGCTGCTTACCAAGAGTGGACTTAGCACCCTCACTGTCTGGTTCCGGCCTTTTCTCTCCGGAGCTGCCAATTGGGGTGGGCGAGCTGGCCCCCATCTTCTTCGTTGAGGTTCCCTCTTTTGCTTTAGAGGAATTCGTTTCCAGCAAAACCTTCTGATGATCCTTCCTATTTCTCTTTTCGGTTGCACTTTTAACTTTCCTTTGCTGGCCTTCCTTTTTTTTATTATTAATAATGCCATTATCTGTTGCAGGAGGCTCGCTGGACACAGTATCATTGCTGAGTCCTCCATTCGGTTGCTCAAACTCCCTACTGCTCTTGCTAGGCTGATTGTGGAGGTCCTCCGCTGTTCCATCAGGAGCTCCCTCCTTGTCCTGTCCCAAAACATTGAAGCGCAAACCATTGGCAAGGGCCTCAGTCTTCTTCTTATCCTCTCTAGTCTGGGCACGCTGTGGTTGCTTCCTTCTCTTAGTCCGGGTGGCAATCGTTCAGGGGTCGTAGTCCTCCAAAACCTCTGGTCGTATTACCACCTCAGTCGAGTTCATGTAGCTGCCATCCATCGTTGTACGTTCTGGGGGGTGTTCTGGGTAGGTTTTTTCGCAGGGTAATTCTCTTCTTGATGGCCGTAGTGTCCACACTCAAAACATATCAGGTGGAGTCCTTCATACTCCACCCTCCTGACCCTCCTCTTGATTCGATACTTAGAAGCCAGCTTTTCCCTTAAATCAACCTCAACGCATATTCTGGCATAGTTACCTCGAAACCCGTTAGAGGTGTTGTAGTCGATCTTGATCACCCTGCCCAGCTTGCTTTTGATGTCTTCGAGGATTTCCTCATCGAAATATGCGAGTGAGAGTCGGGGGAGGCGCACCCAAAATGCGGTTTTGAAGATAAGATCAAAATCCGGATCAAAATCGAGCCTCCACGGCTCGGAAACAACATAGTGATCGCCAATCGTCCACGGCCTCCGTAGAGTGCTCTGTTGTAATCCAGTTGTGAATCGAACATAGCTTGAAAATATTTTTTCCCAATATCGCCCATCTTGACGCCACCGGTCTTTGCCCACATGCTGAGGATTCTTCGTTGAACAAAGGCGAAGGGGAGGGTCTTACCCAGAATCCAGAATGTGATTGCTCTGCCCCAATGGCGACGCACCCTGGCATCGGTCTTCTTTTTTATCTGAATCATCGGGCAGAAGGGGTCGTCCTTGGCATCTTCCCCTTCCGACTCATCGGACATTAGAGCATCCCCGAAATCTTCCTCCTCTTCCGGTGGGGGGCCATTTCCAAGAAAGGAGTCCTTGTATGAGGTCCTGGGGTTTTCTAATTTCTGCTGGCCGCTAACTGCTACACGATTTCTCATTCCACCATCTTCAGATGTAGTCACATCCACATCCACATCTTGGATTCTGGCAGTAACTATGGCCACCTCCATGTCTTACTGGCCGGAGAAGCCATCAGTGGCGGTCGATTTAGCCTTCTTGCTCGGTTGGATGGGTGAAGACGTAGGGGAGCCGTCCAGAGGTTGTGGAGGTGTTCCTCCGCCTCCTGCGGAGGCATCCCAACGGTCGAAACGTGCGGAGAAACAAAGTAGGAGAGAGGTTAGAGCAAAAGTCTCTCTCTAACTTTACCTTCTCTCTCTAGCTGACCAATTCCTTTAATTGCTCTTTTTTCTTCCAACATTAATTAAGTCAAATAATTCGTACGCCGTCAAAAGCGGCAGGACTCATAAATAAATTAATGGTGTTGATAGATTAGAAGGCATATTGAAAAAGTCTCGCCAGTAACAATGAGATTTCTAACTTTGATTGGGAGGTAGGCAGGAATGTCTTCCATCGTTAATCTCCAACCCTTGCCAAGGCATTTCGATCTTGTTCTTTTTTTCTTTCTTGCAACCCCCAAACTCATTAGAAACTAATCGACCCTAAATCTCTCTCTCCCTCCATTCCTCTCTATAGATTCCTCTTTATAATAATTTATAAGTTGTAAACACAATCGAACGAAAGGAAAAGAGGCGCAGGTAGGGAGGTCGGTACACATTAATCTGTTGTAATTAAGCAACTGATACAAAGATGGAAGATTCGTCGTCATCATCAGCTTCAACGGCAAGGTTAAAGAGCTCGTGCTCTTCGTCGTTCCGGCTGAGGTCCCCAAGCCTTAACTCTCTTCGTCTCCGCCGCATATTTGACATGTTCGACAAAAATGGGGATGAGATAATAACAGTGCATGACTTGAGTCAGGCATTGACTCTGTTGGGCCTGGACGCTGACTTCTCGGAGCTAGAGTCCACGATCCAGGCCCACATCAAGTCGGGTAACGACGGCCTTGAATTCGAGGACTTCGTCTCCCTCCACCAGTCACTAGACGATGCCCTCTTCGGCGGCGGCGGGCAGCAACTGCAACAGCAGGACCATGACCAGTCTGCCCACGAGATATCACAAGAGGAGTCTGATCTCTCCGAGGCCTTCAAGGTGTTTGACGAAGACGGTGATGGCTACATCTCGGCCCACGAGCTGCAGGTGGTGTTGCGAAAGTTGGGCTTGCCGGAGGCAACCGAGATTGACAGGGTGGAGCAAATGATTTTCTCTGTGGATCGCAATCAGGACGGTCAGGTCGACTTCTTTGAATTTAAAGACATGATGCGTTCCGTACTCATCTCTACCTCTTAAATCTTTATTATTCCATCCATACATGCTAAAAATTCAGTCCTTTTTTTCTTTCGTTATATCCCATGAATGCGTGTACGTACGGTACATGATGTACCTCATCTTCATCATTTTTATCACGAGGTCGATCATCATCAGTTCAAAGTAGATTTTCCAATCGATCAATACCCATGACCATCACTCATCATCATTTTCATAATTGGTCATTCCAATTAATAATTTACTTTTTCTCTTAATTGAATTACTTGATTTTATTTCCATAGTTCAATCAGCCGAATAGGGTTTCCCCCATAATCTTTCAATTTCTTCCTCCCTCCTCCATAATAGAATTTTTCCAGCTCGCTGGACAATATACATCTTCTGTCTCGATACAACTAGCTTCAATACATCTTCTCTTATTATTGATACTAATCAACTGGTGCATTTGGATAATTTGATGGTTGTGTGACTGGGACTCAGTCACACTCAAAATAATTTGATGTCATTTACATAACCACCACATTGTAATGTTATAGCTTAATTGTTAAAAAGATTTTCATATAAAGTGCTCCAAGCCCACCGTCCAAATAAAAAGCTCAATTTGGTTTATATGTTAGAATATTGTGTATATAGTTTTAGAATTTTTGTAATATAGTTATTTTTAAAATGAAGTTGCATTCTATTGGTCTACGAAAGTTTGAACTTCTCAAATGATCTTTCAATACTATACTCAGCCAACAATTTTATGTTTTCTACGAAAGAAAGCATTTATTTTAGTTACTGTACTCAACTATTAGTCCATGAATTGGATGCCGGCCCAACCTCTCATTGATCATAGACATATGCTCCAGACTCTCATTGTTTATCGTGGTTAGTCATGATATTTTAATTCTCTAATATTGATTTATTCAAGTGTTTGTAACATATCATATCGACGGCCCAATCGAGAAAACCTCCTACCCGAGCCTAAACCGATGGACGATTGAGTTGGCCTTTTTCGATAGAAATTCCGATACGATTTTACAGACTTTTATTTATTCCTTTGATTGAGGGTGGCTACGTTTTTTTTCCCCAATTAAAATTGCGGTCTATGTCTCAATAGACATATTTAGGTAAGCATTTTCCCACAATTTTGGCACTTTTTTGTCTTTTTGTGAGCCAAATTTGGCTCCCGAACTCTCAAAATTCCACACTTCCACACTTTAGCACTTGCCATTGTGCCCAATAGTGCCAAATTTTGGCACTTTGACTCTGCCATTGTAGATGGTCTTAGCACCTAAGAATGTTTTCTTTTATCTTAACAGGGAAAGGGAATATGCCACAACTGTAAAATAATTTTACACGAAAATTTTAAAAATAAAATCTAATTACATGATAATAATTCGAATGTATATAAGCCCATAACCGGTTATAAAACGAGGAAAAAGAACTGCAATGGTTTCATTGGAGAATCTAATAGTTTCATTGGGGAAAAAATATCCACTAATTACAGAATATATAACCCGAATAATTCTCACTAACTAGCCAAACTAATACCTCCTAACAGAAATAATCAAATAAATCCAAATTTGTCCAAAAACCACAAATAATATCCAAAATCACCCAAACACAAATAAAATCGACAAACAAATCCATAAACCAAAATCGCTCCAAAAGTGGGTTTATAACAAGTTCATAACAATATTTTTCAGATTTAACAATAAGAAATATAATAATTCCAAAATCCAAATCTCATCTCTGTCTCGTTCTTCTCCATTTGTCCCAAATCACTAATTTTTTCTCTTCTCAATCTCTAATCCTTAATGGGAATTCTTGTCAGATGTATTCTTCATCAAAACTAAACATAAATTATTGATATGTCTATTTTCTTCTAGTACATTTATTTTAGATAATTTTCTATCTAATGATCACGTTCAAGAATACGACAATAGTAAAAAAAGTAGTGGGGTTAATGAATTTTAAATTAGATTATCATGCCAATAACTTGTAGATAACCACTTCATTTCCTAGGTAGAATTATAGGGGACAAAATGGTGAGGTTTGGGACTAAATTTCATGATGCATTGTCCAATGAATAATAAATATTGCTTGAGATAATTACTAAATTTATTGATTGAGTAGTGAAAAATTAGTGTATAGTACATCGTATACCTATAAAATTAAAATCGCGTACACACAAAATACAAATGTACATTTTACGGGGAATAGTAACAATAAAATAAGAAAGCGGATATGGTACAAAATCCTTCCCTGCAAAACGCTGTCATATCATGGTATCATCATTGAAAGAAAGAAACCCGCCGCATGCCCGTGTACTGTACACACAGACACCTTTTACTGTACAACGTGACTGAGATTTACTGTTTCAAACTGGCGTGTCCTTCGGTGTGGGCTGGGGTTGGGTGAGGCCTCATTGGGATCTGGCGGGGTTTGGGGGCTCGATCGGGGTGGGACTGGTCGTTGGCTTCTGGTTGGCCTTAGTTGCGGTCGTTTGGTGGCCCCGGCGCGCGTTGATCATCAGAGATCGATATTTTACTTTGGCCCGAGCGGGCACGCGGATCGAGGGTTTTCGGTTACTCTCTGGGTGTTCTGCTGGGTAGGGATCGTTGAGTGGTGGGAGATCTGGCGGGTTTAGGAGAGACTGTGCTGGGAGATGGGATAGCTCAGAGATGGTGGGCCATGAGAGGAACTGAAAAGTTGATTGAAAGGACTTGTGTTGCTCAGTATCTCTGCATTGGGGTCGTTTGGTGGCTCTGACGCGCGTTCGTCATCAGAGATCTATATGCTGCTTTGGCCCAGGCAGGTGCGTGGACCGAGGCTTATTCAGTTGCTTTGGGTGTTCTGCTGGGGAGGGATCATTAAGCGGTGGGAGATCTGGCGGGTTTTGTGGATGTGTGGATGAGAGTGACATGCCTGGACATTGGAGGGGTGGGTCGTTCGAGAAATAGAAGAGGGTTTCCTGGATACAGAGAGATACCTTGACATGCTTTTTCTCTACTGTATGAAAAGACCGGGTTTTGTTGTCTCTGGGAGGCCTTGGAAAGTCCTTGCGTTGTTCGACGCTGAGATAGGCTATTACTGTTTTGTGCAGGCTAAGGCATTAATTAATTGAGAGGATCTGTTTCTTTTCTTTTTCTTCAGCTTGGTGCTTTAAGAAAACTTTGCTTCTCTTTGGCATGTTACTCTCTCGCCTTTTGTTATTCACCTCTCCCGTTGCTCTCTCTCTCTCTCTCTCTCTCTCCCTCGGTGTCCTCTCTGCGTTTGGAATTTTCATCTCTCTTCTTGGGAGAAGGGTGGAATTGAAAGCCACGAAGAAGAAGGTTTGAGAGATCTGGAGGAGATCCAGACCCACTGTGGGACAGTTCAGAGGTCTGGAGAAGATCCAGTTTTGCAGGTTTTGTATTCTTCCCAGGTGATTTATCCGTCTCTCTATGTTGAGTTTGCTTTTATCTTTTTGCAAGTCTCTGAATCGTTTGGATCCTGTGCTTCTGTTTGTAATTGCAGGTGGTTGAAAGGCTGTTTTGTGTTCAGTTTGCTAACCATAGTATTTGCCAGTAACCTTTGTTGATCACCATCAAAGTTAAGATGCTCATTAATCAAGGGATTTGATCCGTTGTCAGGAATCTCCGATTTATCGATATATAATCACATCTTTCTTTCATCTTTTTGTTTGAGGGATTGTTGGTGATTTACGGAATCTTAAATCGAGGATTGTTTTATGAGTTGTGTGGATGATAGACCGTTATTTACACATGTTTTTACCCCTGTTCTTACACCGTTTGAGATGTGATTTCTCGTGTTTTAGGCCGATTTCACGCTAGGTTGTGCTTGTTTGTCATATTTCAAGTCCTAGTACGTGAATGGAGGCTTGGGAGCGAGTTTGGGGTCGATTGTACGAGAATCGGACGCGTGGCGAGGTGCTAAGGAAGCTGCACGGGCATTCCTGGAAACCACACGGCCGTGCAACTCACAATTGTGGCCGTGTGGTATTTGTCGAGAGCATGCACGGGCAGGATGGAGACCTCGCACGGTCGTGCGGCCCTGGCCGTGTGGGAAGCCTAAGTTCGAACTAATTGGAACGCAGCGTTTTGACTCGCACGGGCAACTGGGTGAGCCACACGGCCGTGTGGCCTGCCCGTGCGAGTTGGGAAATCTTGGTTTTTCAGCCAATTTCGAGCCACAAGGGGGAGGATCAGACTTTTTGAGCAAAAACAGAGCCCTAGAGAGAGAAAGTACGAAGAACACATCCTAGAAGCTATCTTGGAGCTGGGTTTCATCGAATCGAGCTTGGAGATCGTCCTAGGAGTGGAAATCATCATCCCGGAGCAGATTTTCCTCATCTTTATGAGTATGACTACTCCGATTACTGTTTTCTTCTCTCTCTCTATGGAGTAGAACCTCTCTCTCACTTGGGGATGAAGAACCCTAGTTCTATGTGTTAGGGATTGATTGTAATGACTTGGGATGATATTACTGTTTGATTTTAATCGAATGATGCATGTTTATTAAGTCAATTGAAGTCTGATCAACTTTTCCTGATTCCTGCTGCAATCTGAGATAGATAGAATCTGATTAGGTTGCTAGAGTCTCATCATTCGATAGTAGGAGATTGGCTATACGAGAGTTAGCCAGTTTACTGCTTTGTACTGGAATTCAATTCCAGTAGTGGAGTTCTGTTCTTACTGCTTCAGCTTTCTATCCCAGTGAAGACTAGTCGTCTGCCGGGTAGATAGACTGAGAGGGCTTGGTCAGCTTAAGAGATTCCAAGCTACTGTCGGATCTTCCGCAGTCTAATCAACAGTGAATCAACCCAGGGAAATTGCAATTGAAACCTAACTAAGGAGCTAGGGGGATTCATTCCCGAGTGACTCTTTCCTGCTTGAGAAAATCGAATAATTTCCTGCTTTATTTCTGCTTTTAGTTTAAACAACAATCACTTACTTTAGTTGGCTAGATAACAGAGAATCACTGAGTAAGCAGTAGATCTAGAGCCCGGGTTGATAATATAACTTGCCTGTTACTGCATTCCCGGTCTGCGATCACACTTGGTCGCAGATTGGTGTTGTGTTTTGGCGTGTCAGTGGATCTGATAGGTTTTTTGTCATTTCGATGAGGATGAAGGGGTTGATTGGATGAGGATTGAGGAGCCAGCCATCTGCTGTTTCCCTGCACCAGTGAGGATGAAGAATGCGTCGTCTATTTGCGCCTACTTCTGACCAGTATAGGATACTGGCTGTACAGATCGGCAAGTTTTCATGAAGTCTTATACTAAAGGTCGCGTCCACTCCCTGTCTTTCCCTCTATTTTTTTTTCTTCTTTTGCGTTTTAGGTTTGTTGTGAATTGTGATCATTGTTGTTACGTTACCACCTTTGTGGGTTTCTACGGTTTTTTTGAGTTTGTGCCGGATTTTCTGCGTGGTGCTTTGCGAAGTTGAGCACGTTGCCCGCGGAGTTCCGATCCTTTCCTCCTCTTTTTCTGGCTGTATTTTCTCGCATGCCTTCATCTCTCTCTGGGCTTCTGATACGAGACAGGGATCTGACTCGACACTCCTTGAGAAGAAATGGAAGGTCAGTTCTTGGTGGTGGTCTCGAGACGAAAGAGGACTCAGAGGAGAAAGGGATTTGGCTCGACTCTCCTTGAGAAAGAAATGGAAGGTCAGTTGTTGGTGGTTGTCTCGAGACGAGGGAGAACTCAGAGTAGAGAAGTGGCTTCAGTTCCTATCGTGCTTTTCTCAATGTTTCCTTTCAAATTTTTTGAGTGGAAATGGTTCTTGCTAATTTTTCGGGTGCGTTTGGAGCCCACGAGTCATTACGTTCTTTAGTAGGATTAGAATCCAGGTCTGGTTTGTTGTTCTAATCAGTGCTGATAGGTATATTGGTCATAGCCTTTGGTCTTCTTCCAACTCCATGTATCCTCTTATTTTTCTTTCTTGCACTACGTTGGCTGTTGGAGCTTGGAACACTTGGAATTCTCTTTATTGTTTGTATTTTAATAGGTTGTATGCTTTTAATGATTATTTTTCCCAAGAAAAGGGAAAAGATTCAAGGTGAAGATGGTGAGAATTGAGAGGCCCGTCCAAGTTTATTATGAAATGGGATTTGTCTGAAAAGTTTGAAGATTTGGAACAATAGTAACTATTTCACATCAGTGATACACTGATATTGCCATTGCAGAACTGAGTTTTATTTTTTGGTCTGATAAAATATCCGTCCTCATTTATATTGCCACGCATAACTTCCCTAGTTAACATGGTTGAATGAATCTTGATTTTGTTTAATTATTAACCGTGATTGTTTTGGTCAAATAGGGTGGGGAGCCTCGTTGTTGCTGACCTTGTCCATGGTTCTGATGGATTGAGGAACACATACTTGTCACCACCAAATGCAAAGAAAAGTGAGAAGAATGCTGCTGAATTTTTAGTTGACAAAACCTCGGAGTTCCCTGGGGAAGTATCTGTACTTGCAGTCTTTATAAAAAGGGCATCTCTTTGATCAGGCGATAAAAAGGGACTCCTTATTTGCTAGCAAAGTGAAGAAAATTGTAGTTCTTGGAGGAGCCTTCGTTGCTCTGGGAAATGTAAACCCTGCTGCTGAAGCCAATGTAAGTTACTGTCACTTGTCTTTCTGAAACCTTGTTGTTATCAAGTTATTAAGCATTTTCTCGATGCCTTGCAGATATATGGAGATCCAGAAGCAGCAGACGTTGTATTTACATCTGGGGCAGACATTGTTATAGTTGGAATTAATATTGCAACTAAGTTAAATTTATGGGTAGAAAACCAGAGATTCCATTCACTCTGCTTCATGTCTAGTATTCTTTCGCTAAATCGCAAGTCAAAAGCTATCAGTATTACTTATGTTCTATGTTTGTTTGCAGATGCCAACCATACTGAGTTGCGGGATTCGAAAGGGAAGTATGCTCAATTAATATGCAATATATGTGCAAGTTCTACAGAGATTGGCATGTAAATTCTGATGGAATGCATGGTAATAGTCCTCCAAATCTCTTCAACTAATTAGCGCCTGAGAATAGTTGACGTTCCATAGTAGAGTTCACATATAACATTATATATAACTCGGTTTCAGGAATTTTTCTGCACGATCCAGTGAGCTTTATGGTGGTAGTTCGGCCTGATCTCTTCACGTACCGGAAGGGCGTAGTGAGGGTGGAGACTCAGGGCATCTGCATTGGCCACACCCTAATGGACCAAGGCCTTAAAAGGTAGGCCAACTCTCTAGAATTTGAAGCATAATCATTCCTTCCTCTTGGAAATTTCAGTCAGCATATTAAACACCCTTTGACTGGTGTGATTATGGTTTTAGGTGGAATACAAGCAACCCATGGACTGGATAATCGCCTGTGGCAGTTGTTGCATTTCATCGATACCACTAGAATCAATTCACGCAACAGAGTGCAGTTCTCCATTTCTACCAGGTACTGTGACTTTTGTCCTCTTTTAGTGTGTGTATTCCTCTATTTGATCAAATTAATTCTATATTAATCTAACCATCTTTTTCATGAATGGTGCATAAGATAAGATGGAATTCAATGGCATTCGCGACCTTGATTCCGAGAAGCAAATATGGTCAGGTCATGTTGTGTTTCTAGGCTATGGCATGGAGTGAATGTTACCACAGACAAAGTGCTCCATTTGGACCTCATCCTCATGGATTCGAAGGTAGTCCTCTTCTGTATTTCCTATCACACAGCTGCATATGTCAATTCGCCTGCTCATTTTTGTTTCCTGATATGAAGGGCAACGATATTTGGGTACATATCCCTCCTCTGTTGCAAGAGAAGTTCAAGCGATTGCCAAAGGAACACCATGTTTACGTCATCAAGAACTTTGATATCAATGCAACTTCATTGACACACCGGCCTATTTCCAATCCGTACATCATGTTATTCACTCGGAAGACGACTGTTGAACATATCACTGACATTCCTTCCATGCCTACCTTCAAGTTCACGTTCATGAAAGCAAGTGAGATGGCAAATAAAGTGGAAGAAAAAACCAACATCGCAGGTTAATTACGCATTTCATTCTGTTTTCTCAGGCTACTGACCCATTAATTGCATCTCATATCATGTATTTCTTTCTAGATATTGTTAGTTCAACATTCGACTCCCATCACTACAAGCAATATTGCCGGGAAGTCCACTCGAAAAGAGCTGCAACTGAAGTGGATTGAGTAAGTTCCTGGTTTTCTAACTCTTAAAAGGCTTTAGAAAAAAAGCTTCGCCACGTAAGCCTTCATTGTCTCCCCGCGATTTTCGGAAATGCATATTTTTTCGGTTTCTTTTTTGTTTTGGGTATTTATACCATGGAACAGAAGTACGGGACGGTGGTTAATTTTTCTTCTTCTTTTCCCTGATATCTCGCATATCACAAGGGGGGTCTTCCAATTCCAATTCCGGTCCCTCTTCCCGAGCATCTCCATCAATGCAATTGTAAAAGAAATTGCATTTGTGTTTTTTATTGTCAACTCAATTTTTTTGCAATCCACATCACATTCATTTCATTCACCTACATCAATGCAATTAACTTGCAATTGCAAATGTAATTAAATATTATGTTTAAATTATAGAAAATTAAGTAAAAGAGAAAAGAAAATAATATAAAGTAAAAAATCCCATTTTTTTAGGCTTTTTTGACTTGCATATGGAATTGCATTTGTTGCAAGTTTGCAAATATGTAATTGGTAGCCACATCAATACAATTGATTTGCAATTGCAAACACCTATGCCATATCATTTTGCAATTGAGAATGCAATACCAATGTGGATGCTCTTATCCTCCACCCGCTACCTCAACTCCCAAATAATCTGCCGCTGCCCGCTGCTAATCATACTCCTCGATCTCAATCGCAATTAGGCTTCCTCTACAGCGACGACGGTTGGATCTTCGAGCGCTCTTCAGTCTCCCAGTGCCGGCACCGTTTCTTCAACCAGATGGGACTCTCTCCCGCGAGCAGTCTTCTTCCTTATCCCGCTGCCAACCTGCAAGCCTGTAGATTTGAACTTTCCTTCCTCCGTGCCGATCATTTCCCGCCCAGTCGCTTGGCTCTAAGCAATGCTGCTAGGTTTATGGCATTTTGTTCTTTTGTTTTTGGTTTCTCTACACTGGAATAACACCAATGGCTTATGAATATGAATGTGTATGTTTAATATAGGTAATGAATTAAAAAAATGTAATTTGGAAATGGGAATTTAACATCACGTTATATGTATATGGTTATGTCTTCGGTCACTCACTTTTTTGGGTGCATTCAATGCACCCGCCTCATAATCGTCATTCTGAGCAGACGATTCATGTGAAAACGATGTCAATCATCCCTTGTAGTATGATGAACAAGAACCACATGAATTTGTACAAAAATCAATCAAGGTTCACTTTAATTTGAATGATTCAGGGTTTAGGAATTTAGGGTTAGGGTTAGGGTTTACAATTTGGGATTTTGGGTTTAGATTCAAAATTGAATGTTAATAGGTTAGGGTAATGGGTTGATTAGTTGTGATTTTATGTTATATCATCATATGAGACTAATGCTACCCATTAAATTTCAAAATTTGATGTATTATGACCACTTTTAGAGGTGGGTGCACTGAATGCACCCAAAAAAGTGAGTGCACCGAAGTAGCCACCATATATATATATATATGGGTGGTGTCTTGGATGCACTTCATATATATATGTGACATTTGAGTGTTGATTAGTATTTTTACTATTTTGCTCTTCATAGGTTAAAAAGCTTCTTAAACCATTTTTAATTCCATGTTTCAATGCTCAATATGTTTTTTCATAAATTATTTTGATGTATTACTAATAAATAGGTACAATACACATGGTAATTTTTTTTAGAGATATTATAGATTGATTGACTCATATAAAATGTAACAATTTTGACCTATGCATGATATTGAATTATTGATATGTTTGTTGAAATGAGACATATAAGTAGTACACTGTCCTCCATGATTTAGGTTGAATAGTTTATTGAGATTTTTTACTAATTTGGCTAAAATATTGTTATAATCAATATATGCGTATAATAAAAATGATATTTCATATATTTATAAATTACTTTGTAAAAGATTAAAAATACTACCTGCCCAAAGGGCAGTATCGAAGCTAGTCAATAATAAGAGAACAACCCGGCCAATAGGTCAGGTAGAAAGATAGTTTAATTGATGGCGCAAAGGAAAAGGAAAAAAAACGTTTCCAAGGGAGATAGGCGTACGGTCAGGGAAAATTGCGCTTCTATTTTTACAAAGGCCCAGAAAAGTTATTTAATCAAAAGCCCAAATTACAGAAAATCCGATGGCGTTCTAGGAAGGAGGCATGCCCACGACCAGTGAAAATGAGAAATACTTGCACAATGAAGAAGTAGGTTTCAGTCCGAAATGAGAAACGGCTCGAAAAGCTTCATCTTTATTTAATTGAAGGCCCAAAGGAAATATAATCGACAGCGGTTTGGAAGGGACATGGGAGAAAGGTTGGGCTAAAGTGGGCTTCCTTTTGACAAAGTCCCAAACAAGCTTATTTTCCATTTAATCAAATGGACCGAGCAACCTCGTTCGACACCGGCCTTCGCACCGTTCTTCTCTCTCTCACCACAACTCCGACGGCATCCAGCGCCTGCGTTCAGGCCACCAGAGGCCGTCCGACGACGGTGTTAGGACCAAGGTTGGTGACGAGTTCCAGGCGCGATAGCGAGAAGTTCAACGACCTAGCCTTCTTCAATACAGGCGGCAGCTACTTCTAGTCGGCGGCGGGTCCTTCAAGAGGGCGGCGGGTAACAAAGGAACAAGACGGAGAGACTGAAAACCTAGTTCTTGCTTTCTCATTCATCAAATCCGCCTCTTATAGGCTTAGCAAACCATACAAACAGACAAGCTTCCATGGACATTGTTTGGCAGCTACTTTGTAAGAATGTATAGTTAACGCATTGCTTTGCAATCAGTGGGGCAAAGGCTTATGTTGAATACAGTGGGCATGACATTGATAATTTTCAAAAGCATGCTCCAGCAATGGAGTCAAAGTTACCATTGATTGTGACAATCAAATCAGTTAGTAGAGTAACTCCTAGACATGACAGTAAATATCAACACGAATTTCGATCCACAATTGCGAGTAAGCTTATCATTCGTTCTTATCAGGACAACTGCAAGGATATCATGAACATGTAAGTTGCTGTATATGGGTTTACCCAACTGATTGGTTCAACCACTATCGAGTTAGTAATACTTACACATTTCTTTTCAACATGTAGCTTTCTTGCATGTCGCAAACCAGTTTACTTCTTCGATGATGCTACTTACAAAAAAACTGGGCACCTGCTGAGCAATCAACTGCAAAAGAAATCGCTGAGAGAGATAAAAGAAAGGATGGAGGACCGTTCAGATTTCACAGAGGTATATGACAAACACCAGCATTGACATCAGCTGTATATTTCCATCTGTTTAGCTGTATAATACATCTGACATTTTGCAACAGGTCACTTACATTACATTGATTAACATTCCAAGGTTTATATACAGAAAAAGCATCTGCAAAATTCGTGAAGAGAACACAGGGTAAGCTTTTGACCATCCTCCCGTGTTTACACATGCGATAATAATACTTTTTATATAAACCTAACAAAAAGATCTTTATTGCAAGATTGACATACAAACTGGAAGGGAAATGTTGCCAAGGAGGATCTGAAATAGATGTGGTGTTTGAGCATGAAGCAGCTCTGTCACTTATTCGTAAGTCACCGTCAGATTATCTGTTTCTAAAGAAGGACCAAATCATAGAAATGATCGCAAAGAACTGTAACAAAAAATTTGCGGCGGAATTGAACGTCGCATGGAGAAAAGTGGGAGACAGTGATTCAGACATGCAACCAAAAGTGACAGTGCTCACCCTGTGGGACCGATCAGCATTCGAGAAATGATGATGTCCTTCGAAGCTTGCCATTTTGATATCGTGCAAACCACAAAGGCACGAAACTTCTGAAAACATTTTGTTCTGCCAAGCTTGAAATCTTCAGTCTCCGTCATGAAACTTTTATTAATTTAGTAGATATATCGTGGAAAACTTGGAAACACTCCTGACTACATTTATGTTTATTCTCCAAACCCAGTCAGTCTTTTGCATAATGACCCCAGTTTTTATGTTTATGACAACATTTATGTCTATATTTAGGACATAAACGATTATGGTTAGAGATTATATTCATCACATTGAAATTATGACAGAATTAGTATCCCGCGGCGGAGCGCGGGCTGAATCCTAGTTTTCTTATTAATAACAAACCTCCCAACAGAGTGAGCCAGACAAATTCATTCATTACCCTCTTTTTTCCCACTTTGCTTCCTCCTCTGTTTTCTGGTTTGGCCGTTTCTACTCTCAGCTTGAATTTTAAGTAACAGGGTTGCTTGAGCTTTTCTAACTCTCTTGCCTTCTTCATTTTAATTTGTGAATCAACTCTCTTTTTTCCCGAAGCTGGAGTTATGAGCGGCAAAAAAAAGACAGGAAAGAGAGATCGGTAATTGGTGGGTTTGTTTGGCTTGGCGGGATGCATGGATGGGGATTTTAATGTTGGTTTTTAATGTTTTCCAGAATCTAATCAATTAATTAGAGAGTATAATAACCGTCCAACGGCGTTGAAAAACGGAAGTAGAAAGTGGCAACACGAAATGTCATGAGACTGTGTGTCTATGACTCCTCTCTCACATTTATAACGTTCTCTTCTTCCCCGACACTACTCTCTCTTTTTCAAAACAGTACCACCTCCCTCCCTCCCTCTCTCTCTCTCTCTCTCTCTCTCTCTCTCTCTCTCCTCTTCTTTCTTCATGAGTAAACCCTACTGACAAAACAAGAAAAGAAAGCTAGTTCTTGTTCTTATCCTCCTTCTCACTAACAAGGATTGTCCAAAAACAAGAAACAGAGGAAGAACACAAGAAGCAGCACCGCCATTTGATGACTTTCTTTTGCTGAACTTGATATTGGTCCGCCTTCTTCTTTTTGGTGGTGAAAAAGTTGTCTGCTTTTAGCCTCTTTGTGGGTTTGTTTCAGACTTTCTTCACTGATCCTGTATCTTCTTCATCCCTGTGACAATGCTGCTTACTCATGGGTGATTCTTGGGTAGTGGGAACCAATCCTCTTTCAAATGGGTAGAAAAGCAAGCAAGTTTCAGTCTTTCTCTTGTTAGAGCTAGCTGCTACCTGATTTGCCTCTTGTGGGTTTTCTGTACAAGTACAACCAGTTGCTGATCTCTGAGAGTTTGTTTGGTTGTTTAGATTTTTGTGCATTTCCTTTCATTGAGATCTTCTCGGACTTTTCCCCTCTGCTTTGACCATCTTTGACTCCTGCAAGACTCGAAGACTTTGATTTTGAAAATAAGAAAGAAAGAAGTGGGAAGGGAAAGGAAGAGAAAGAAAGAAAAAGAAAGTGGTCCCTTTGCGCTGTGGAAGATGGATCTGTTCAAAGTGAGGAAGTTTAGAAGAGCCCACAAGCCAGAGCCGGAGAAGGAATCAGAAGGCAAGCCTGTTCCTAGCCCTGAAGAGCCAAAGAAAGACATCAATGGTGGCGGTGGTGGTGGTGGTGAGGATTTGAGTAAAACCAACAACAAATCGGTGGATGTGGTAGCAGAAGCCGAGGATGACGAGGACGATGACTTCATAACCAATGAGGTGAAGAGAAGGTTAAAAGAATTGAGGAGGAACAGCTTTATGGTGTTGATCCCTGAAGAAGAGTCTTTAGCTGAACAAGAAGAAGAAGAAGAAGAAGATGACGGTGGTGGAGAAGCAGGGGAGGCAATCTGTGGGGAATGGAGGGATGTTGAAGCTGAAGGACGGCAATGGTGGGGTGGGTTTGATGTTGTTTATGATAAGTACTGCGACAGAATGCTCTTCTTTGACCGATTGAGCCTTCTCCAGCTCAATGAAAATGGTAAACACCAACCCTTTTGCATGTTTAATTCCTGCTTGACGTTGGATGGTAATGGTATCAGTTAGTATGAATTTAGAGAACTGCAGATAGTATCAGTTACTATGGAGTGGCATTCTTTTTATCTTACTAGTGCTGGTAAACTGTTTCCATTACAGGCTGCTGCCATATGCCAACTACTCCATCTCCAAAATCATCGTCGAAGAAGTTACCATCTCCCTTCCGTTGCCTGTCATTGAAGAAATTCGACGACCATGAAGATGAAACAGAGCATCTACAGCAGCCACAGAACGACCCGTACCAAGATCTCGAAACTGCATATGTAGGTCAGATGTGCCTGACTTGGGAGGCACTTCATTGTTTGGTAGCAAACCATACAAACAGACAAGCTTCCATGGACATTGTTTGGTACGCCTCGCCCTGCAGCTAAGGGAGGATGTCAAGGCTGGTGTCTATGTGGAGAATCTCTCAGAGGTTGAAGTACATACGACATAATAAAGCTTTTAACAAAGGTATTTTTTTATCATTCTAACATTTGATGGTTTATGAGTGGATTTGTATGTACTGGTTTCCACTAATGTATCATTTGTTGGATGTAGGCTCCTTGAATAGGAAAGTGACCGCAACAAATATGAACAGAGAGAGCAGTCGATCGCACAACGTGTTTACTTGTGTAATTGAGAGAAGATGGGAAAAGGATTCCACAACTAACCTAAGTTTTGCACGGTTAAACTTGGTTGATTTGGCAGGTTCTGAAAGGTAAGGAGAGGGGAACTTGATGTGATTAAATTATTATCAGCTTTGTTACCGTCCCTTGTGCATTTTGACGAACCATAGGGGTATTGCTATATGCTTTGCAGACAGAAAAGCTCATGTTCTGAGGGTGAAAGTTTAAAAGAAGCTGCAAGCATCAACAGATCATTGTCAATATTAGGGTATTATAGTGATTAGCAATCTTTGCATCCAGTTGTGTTATATTTTATGGTTCAATCTGCGAGCTTTTATGTTATTAATTTGTGGTTCTGCTCATATGTTTGATACTTTAATTTTCAGTCGTGTGATAATGAATCTAGTAGATGTGGCAAATGGAAAACAGTCAAACAGAGGCATGTTCCTTATAGAGACTCAAGGTTGACATACCTTCTACAGGTTGACCTTGAATCCATCTGCCTTTCTTGAGCAATATTGTGTTTGCAGTGATGTGATGTAATTCTTGAAACTTATGCAGGACTCGCTTGGTGGAAACTAAAAAACAATGATCATTGCTAATGTCAGTCCATCTATTAGGTTGTATTCTTTGATCATTTTATTCTGATTCGATATCTTAATTGCCTCTGTAATTTGGAGTAATTTTCTTTTGTTTTACCCCAATCCTCTCTTTGTTGCAGCTGCGCTATGGAGACACTGCTCTAAAGTTTGCTGAAGGAGCTAGACTTATCCGGAACAATGTAAGGTTCTTGAGTAATCTGTCATTTCTCTCTTATTTGAGGTGGTGGGTTAGTATTTTGCTATAGCATGGTGAATATCTGCAGCCACTGTTGAAGAACACAACTGATGACCTGGAGCAAAGAAAATCTGTAGCCACTGTTGACAATGCTGATGTCAAATGCAAAAAGGTCTGAATAGCTTTTAGTGAATTGTTTGCTTATCATATCTCAGTGAACTAGGCTAGTTTATATACATACATACCAAGTGACACATGACAGAAGATGTTCATATATATGTTTTCTTCTCTGACCATATTTATATATAATAAAGCCACTATCTTAGTCCTTAGACTATTCTCAGTAAGATATTCCGGATTCTTTTTGTTCATCCTTGATTTTGCAGGATTCGATTGAGATCGATCTTGCTGCAATAGAAGAAATATTTCATCTGCAGCTGGAATTGGAGATAATGAAGTTAATTATTGCAGAAGTCAGATAATCAAAGAAAGAAGCAGAGGAAAAAGCATTGTCTTTTTCGACTGAGCTTGAGCTGGCAAAAGAAAACCTTCTGGTTGTGAACAAGCAGTTTCACAATGTTGCTCATGAGCTGAAAGAGACCAAGTTGGTTCTTGAAATTCTTCAATCAGAACGAGTGTCGATATTGTGTGACATGGAAAAGCTTAAAGAGGAACAAATCTATTTAAAGGACTCACAGGAACTTACATCGCTTCTCCTTGATTGTGTCGAAGGAGCTGAGGCAGAATTCCACTCTCTGAGAAGACAAATGGGGGAGTTGAAGAAAATGTGCTGTGTTCTTCAACAAACACTTAATGAAGAACAAGACATGCTACAGGTGAAGGAAAAGTTGGCTGGTCTCTTAGCTGTGCTATCCTCACTCTGTGTTTGTGCACAAGATGATGGCACTTCTGGATCGGTAAGAGATTGAACCTGGTTCACTTTACTATGAGTATTTTATCATATTCTTTATCAGGGTGTTTGTTTATGTGTTTGATAACTATTGCAGACAAATGAGTCGACTACTGCTATGGAAGATGGAGGGTTATTATTGAGAGATGACATCAAACAGGTGGAAGAAGAGGTTGAAAAATATCATCGTGAGCTGGATTCTGACACGTTTGATGAATACGAAGATGCTAACAAATATGAAGAAAGAGTATACCAAAGATACAATCCGGACACACCTGCACCTTCTTTTCAAGAGGGAATGGAATTTGCTAGTATTCAAGTGGCCAAGTATGCCATTAGGGATCATGCCGTGAAGGACAACAAGAATTTGAGGTTGGTAACAAATTCAAAGAAGGTTTTGAAAGCCAAGTGTCGGTGGCCGGATTGTGAGTTTTCACTCATAGTGCGCTTCGTCGAGAACGTGGATAAGGCTGTACTGAGATCATACAAACCCCACAACTTCCCTACTCATGTCGAAAACAGATGCATAGATGCTGAAGTAATTGCAGCAATATTTAAGGATAGATTGCTCACCATCCCCAGGTTGACAAGTATAGATATTCAGAAGATGGTCGAGAGGGAGATGGGTGTTGGTGTGAGTGGATATTTGTGCAACAAGGCCCAAACCATTGTAGAGACTCTTGATGTGCAGCCGAGAAGAAGCGAAAGGATTAGAGTAAAACGAGAACAAAGATCAACTAGTGATACACAAGAACTTCATTCACAAGACTTCGAGGAAGATGAGGGCTGGAGCTCCACCATTGACTGAAGATGCCAGGTTTCTTTATGTGTTTCATTTTGAGTTTATGCCGTGTCGATTTTAGTTTGCTAGCTTTTTTATGCGTTTGAGTCGTATAAGGTCATACCTGTTAGTCTTATACGACTCAAACGCATAAAAAAGCTAGCAAACTAAAACCTGTTAGGCATAAACTCAAAATGAAACACATAAAGAAACCTGGCATCTTCAGTCAGTGGTGAAGCTCCAGCCCTCATCTTCCTCGAAGTCTTGTGAATGAAGTTCTTGTGTATCACTAGTTGATCTTTGTTCTCGTTTTACTCTAATCCTTTCGCTTCTTCTCGGCTGCACATTAAGAGTCTCTACAATGGTTTGGGCCTTGTTGCACAAATATCCACTCACACCAACACCCATCTCCCTCTCGACCATCTTCTGAATATCTATACTTGTCAACCTGGGGATGGTGAGCAATCTATCCTTAAATATTGCCGCAATTACTTCAGCATCTATGCATATGTTTTCGACATGAGTAGGGAAGTTGTGGGGTTTGTATGATCTCAGTACAGCCTTATCCACGTTCTCGACGAAGCGCACTATGAGTGAAAACTCACAATCCGGCCACCGACACTTGGCTTTCAAAACCTTCTTTGAATTTGTTACCAACCTCAAATTCTTGTTGTCCTTCACGGCATGATCCCTAATGACATACTTGGCCACTTGAATACTAGCAAATTCCATTCCCTCTTGAAAAGAAGGTGCAGGTGTGTCCGGATTGTATCTTTGGTATACTCTTTCTTCATCTTTGTTAGCATCTTCGTATTCATCAAACGTGTCAGAATCCAGCTCACGATGATATTCTTCAAACTCTTCTTCCACCTGTTTGATGTCATCTCTCAATAATAACCCTCCATCTTCCATAGCAGTAGTCGACTCATTTGTCTGCAATAGTTATCAAACACATAAACAAACACCCTGATAAAGAATATGATAAAATACTCATAGTAAAGTGAACCAGGTTCAATCTCTTACCGATCCAGAAGTGCCATCATCTTGTGCACAAACACAGAGTAAGGATAGCACAGCTAAGAGACCGGCCAACTTTTCCTTCACCTGTAGCATGTCTTGTTCTTCATTAAGTGCTTGTTGAAGAACACTGCACATATTCTTCAACTCCCCCATTTGCCTTCTCAGAGAGTGGAATTCTGCCTCAGCTCCTTCGACACAATCAAGGAGAAGCGATGTAAGTTCCTGTGAGTCCTTCAAATGGATTTGTTCCTCTTTAAGCTTTTCCATGTCAGACAATATCGACACTCGTTCTGATTGAAGAATTTCAAGAACCAACTTGGTCTCTTTCAGCTCATGAGCAACATTGTGAAACTGCTTGTTCACAACCAGAAGGTTTTCTTTTGCCAACTCAAGCTCAGTCGAAAAAGACAATGTTTTTTCCTCTGCTTCTTTCTTTGATGATCTGACTTCTGCAATAATTAACTTCATTATCTCCAATTCCAGCTGCAGATGAAATATTTCTTCTATTGCAGCAAGATCGATCTCAACCGAATCCTGCAAAATCAAGGATGAACAAAAAGAATCCGGAATATCTTACTGAGAATAGTCTAAGGACTAAGATGGTGGCTTTATTATATATAAATGTGGCCAGAGAAGAAAACATATATATGAACATCTTCTGTCATGTGTCACTTGGTATGTATGTATATAAACTAGCCTAGTTCACTGAGATATGATAAGCAAACAATTCACTAAAAGCTATTCAGACCTTTTTGCATTTGACATCAACATTGTCAACAGTGACTACAGATTTTCTTTGCTCCAGGTCATCAGTTGTGTTCTTCAACAGTGGCTGCAGATATTCACCATGCTATAGCAAAATACTAACCCACCACCTCAAATAAGAGAGAAATGACAGATTACTCAAGAACCTTACATTGTTCCGGATAAGTCTAGCTCCTTCAGCAAACTTTAGAGTGTTCAGTGTCTCCATAGCGCAGCTGCAACAAAGAGAGGATTGAGGTAAAACAAAAGAAAATTACTCCAAATTACAGAGGCAATTAAGATATCGAATCAGAATAAAATGATCAAAGAATACAACCTAATAGATGGGCTGGCATTAGCAATGATTATTGTTTTTGAGTTTCCACCAAGCGAGTCCTGCATAAGTTTCAAGAATTACATCACATCACTGCAAACACAATATTGCTCAAGGAAGGCAGATGGATTCAAGGTCAACCTGTAGAAGGTATGTCAACCTTGAGTCTTTATAAGGAACATGCATCTGTTTTCCATTTGCCACATCTACTAGATTCATTATCACACGACTGAAAATTAAAGTATCAAACATATGAGCAGAACCACAAATTAATAACATAAAAGCTCGCAGATTGAACCATAAAATATAACACAACTGGATGCAAAGATTGCTAATCACATATAGCAATACCCCTATGGTTCGTCAAAATGCACAAGGGACGGTAACAAAGCTGATAATAATTTAATCACATCAAGTTCCCCTCTCCTTACTTTTCAGAACCTGCCAAATCAACCAAGTTTAACCGTGCAAAACTTAGGTTAGTTGTGGAATCCTTTTCCCATCTTCTCTCAATTACACAAGTAAACACGCTGTGCGATCTACTGCTCTCTCTGTTCATATTTGTTGCGGTCACTTTCCTATTCAAGGAGCCTACATCCAACAAATGATACATTAGTGGAAACCAGTACATACAAATCCACTCATAAACCATCAAATGTTAGAATGATAAAAAAAAATACCTTTGTTAAAAGCTTTATTATGTCGCTTACTGTATGTACTTCAACCTCTGAGAGATTCTCCACATAGACACCAGCCTTGACATCCTCCCTTAGCTGCAGGGAGAGGCGTACCATGATAATTGACAACTATCCATTAGTTGATATTAGACTCATATCAATTGATGAAGATGCATACCATTAAATTGGTAGATGAAGGCTCAAGAAGATCAGTAATCTGCTCGTTGTAAATCTCTAAGCAGGAGCACTTGCAACTGTATTGTAGTCTTTCATCTCTTCGGCTTACCTCTTCCTACAATGAAAAACATGCGACTTCAGCACTAGAAAAAATTAGTAAAAAAACAGCATTGCCTCAGCCTATACAACAAAAAATGTTTGTTCTAGACATATAATAATAAATCTCCCTATCTATTATATACATGTAGTGAGGAATGAGGAGAGAGAGTTAGGAAATAAGAGGGAACTTACAGTTTGGATCCTTCCAAACAAGAACTCGAAAATCCTTGGTACCATTCCATGTTGTATGCTAGTCATTCCTTCCAACCCATCTATTTCGCCAAGCATTGTGAACGTTTTTCCACCTCCGGTCTGCAGGATACACATGAGTACTGAAGGTAGGAGAAATGCGAATAAAGGATAACAAAAGCTGCAAAAAATTGCCTAGGATGGCAGCATAAGAGACCAGCAAACACGAACAAAACCTCTAAAAAGGACGAAGCCGCCTGCAAATTGTGACTCGAAGGGCAAGTATGTTGAAGAAGGGTACGCAATTGTCTCTTATTTAAACAACTAGTTAATTAGCCCGCGAGCAGCTTCGGGACGATATGTTGTATAATAGATTGATGGTTCTTTGTCATTCTACTTGTATAGGTAGCTACATTAATGAGAATTAAAATCAAAGAAATCTATCTTCTTTAAATATAAAGAAACATAAAGTATTAGTAGTTAAACACGAACATCAAATAATGCTGAACTATCCACTCGCATGAATTTCTACTGCATCTCAAAATTCAAAAGCTTTAAGAGAGGCCAAGGCATTATGTAGCAGTTATACATAAATCTGAGCTTGACGGTGAACTTAATTAGTAGTGAAATTAGAGCAATTGGAGGGATATCTTATGTACATTGTTAATAAGTGTAGCGATTATCATCAACTTTCTAGAGTCACTTCTATATGTTATATCAAGCTCAAACACAAATGCAGCATGGATCTGTTACAGATGAAAGTGTCCAAACATGTAAAGTTCGCTAAACCTCATTTAAGCTTCATATTACTGCTCAAAAGACAGAAATAGATTGAATTTAAGATGATTTTGCAATGGTAATTTGGTATTCTAACCTTCAGCTTAGTGGTGTAAATATCAGCATAACATCATGTAGTTGAGAGAGGTACAGCGAGGAACAGAAAGACCTCCAATACACAAACAACAAAGAGAATTGGATGACTAACACATCTAGCATATGTAACATGGAGCCAAAGCAACTTATGAGGTTCCTTCCTGTGCCTACTGGTGTTTCTGTTCACCATCGAAGATCCTGTCAAATCCCGGTGCACTTTAAAAATAAAACAGGTTTTCACAAATCTAATAATGGTTCTTTATTAGCTTACAATTCCCTTATAATGACATAACTTTTCTCTTCCTAATCGGTGTGACATTTATGGAGAGGTAGAATATACAATTTAAACTTAATAACCTTCCCTAAGGATATTATGTTTCTCTCTAGCAACATCAGGACTCCATGACCTGAACAGTCTTGACCCTTACACACCATGGAAGCAAGTTTTCAAGTAGATTCTTCCCATCCCCCACCTCTCTACAAAAATCTAAAGTGTAACTTAGCCCCAAAGAGCTGCAATCAGTTCCAAAGAAATCAGAGTACTCGATCAATTAGCGAAAAGAGGGAAACCCCAAAATCGAACCTATAGCTTGTTCAAATCCTTGAACTTAGAAAAAGAAATCTCACCTTCGAAGTAGCATACTCAAAGAGTACTCTATTAAAAAAATTAAAGTAGAGCCACCCCCAACAACATGCATCATGAGATCAAACAACTCTTAATTCTTACTGAAGCTAGCGGCACGAAAGCCTTCTGTGGGTTCTGAAAATTCATCATGATGTTCCTTCGTATACCTATTAGTGTTCTTTTTCAAAATTGAAGAACATGTCAAGCCAGTGCGCACCCAAGAAAAAAGAACAGGTCCTCACAAATCCAATGGTACTTTGCATGTGGGAAGAGCAAACTTCCATGTGCAACGATATTGATTAAGAAGTCGCTCTGCTATCCAATGACATAGTAAACGATCTGTTCAAGAATACACTGTGATTCTAAATATCTTTACTTTCAACATTACTTTCAAGACCACCAGCTTAGATTCTTGTAAGGCACAAAGGTTATCGCTTGGATACATTTCAACATTGGAGAACATGAAGATCATATAACCAATTCTGCAAGCTAATTAATAGCTTAATATCTGGCATAATAGTGCTAAGGGTCGTTTCCACTAACATAAAAAGGATTAATCAAAATCAAAAGCACTCATACGCGTGATGTCACTGTGATTGTAGAATACATATGCAAGTTTATCCTAAAATCCTAACATAAAGTCGTTCTACCAATTGGAAACGTCAAGAATCCAATCTCCAGCTATAGAACCTCATAAGTAAAGCCTACGGGCTAAGAACTAAACTGCAATTCAACAACAAATACAATAGAAGGAATCATCCAGTTGGAGGACAAAGATTACCAGGAAATTCTATTGGATACTATGGTGATTAAGGAGAAGAGAAAGCTGGGGGCTTACTATACAGCCTTGAAATGGACAGAGTAGCAAAGCATATATAGGATCTTCCCCTGTGCTTAATCTGCCCAAAGGGCTATACATGGGTTTACAGTGCAACCGCTCACATCTGAGTTAAAATCCTCCGTGAACAGTGGCCTCGAAAATTTCGTGATGAACAGTGGCCCGAATATTTGGGAACTTGCATTTTAATAATTCTAATATGAATACTTGAGACAAAGTATTTCTAATCACAAATCAACAGTGATATTATATCACTAAAAAGTCAGCAGAACATTCAATGCTACTACACGGAATTAAAACAGACTACGGAGACTCAAATTTATCCATTCCATGAAGCTAATTGTTACACTACTGTATAAAATTCTAAAGCAGGTAACATGATAAAAAAAATTACCTGTCCGTAAGCGACTATGCAACTATTGTGGCCAGATAAGCAATTATCCACCATTGGAAGACCGATCGTCCTAAAAAGCATTTCCTGAAATATAGACAGTCAAGATCCGGTTAACTTGCAAAATCTATAATCTGAACCTTTGCCAACATTTTCGAACCAACCTGGTCAATTGTCTCACAAGCAACCTGGTCGAATGAGAACCGGTGTTTTGGTTGTCCAGTCCAGGTGATGTTATGAGCACTTTCTTGTTTCAAACATCTAGTAAACCCATCCGTTCTCCTCTCCGTGCTGTTTACAGGCCGCACTCGTACAACAACCTGCACAAACCAATTGGCTTCAAATTGACAAAAGCTTTATTGAAAGGACAACCAACAGACTAAATACAAGACTCCTACCAGCAGCTTCGGATCCCACTAACAACTAACAATCCCATTTCCCCTAATTTTCAGCACCCACAACTAACTACCCTGACTTAGTAAACTAAGACTATTACTTGACTCACCAATTGGGTAGCTGGACAAACACACAAATATATTTAACTTCAGCAAATAACTTAAAACGACACAACAAAGCTAAGACCTCGTATGCGGCATGTGACCTTTATCCCAACATATCCTTCCCTAAATAGAAGCCTTTCAAGACTTCAGTTTTTTTTTTTTGGCCAAAGGTATCCCACAAGGTGGGAGACAGGAAGATACGAAATATAAGTACAAGACTTTTGTAGGTTAAATCACCAAAGATAAATAAGGAAGAAACGTCGGAAAATCCAATGATAAGAGGGCTTTTTTGCCACGATATGGGCAGCCCTAATATACCTACGCATTAACCGAGTCCATATCTGTGCTTCAACCCTTTTTAGGATGAAAGTGATGGACCAAACTCCTGTTAGGATTCAGTATAGCCCACACAGACATTGAGAGCCGCCCACCTACAAAAAAGAGCAAACAGACTACCCCGAAAGGAGGCCAAACAATCAAATGAAATTACAAGAGAATAAGCACCTGAAAGTTGCTGCTCAAGCTTAAGAAATGGTCGAAAAGCATACCCCAATTTGATCATTAAATTTATAGTTAGGTCCACCACTCCACCTAGTTAGCAAAGCCAAAAAAATTGGTACTTAAAAACGCATAAAAAACAATGAAGCTTAAAATCATTAGCACCTATGAACGGATAACACAAACAATTGGTCAACGACCATATAAGCAACAACACTAATAATCAAAAGATTGTTTTTTTAGAGTGAATATATAAGAATCAAAAGATCAACAAAAAATATATATATAAAACCACCCTCACCAACACCACCAAAGCAAGCTAGGAAAAAATAAAGGCAAAATAGGCAAGAAACGATACCGCCTCATATTTCCATTTAAAGCACGAAAAATCAAGCAAACCCAATCAAAAGAGCACAGAAAATAATAATAATAAGAAAATCTAGACCCAATCAATTAATTTAAAACTGAAGAAGGGTTGAAGAAGTACTTGCTGCAACATCTGTTTTGTTTGCTGCTGTAGAAGGATTACTGCTATGACTTTGCTATGGTTGAAGAATTGCTGGTGATGCTTTGGAGGTTATTGGAACAAGCTCTTAAGATGTTATTACAGTGGCTGAGATTGGTAATTGATGAATTAAAAGGTTTCAGTTTAGGGGAGGCTATGTTGGTTTTAAGGCTAATGTATTTTGGAGTCTTTATGTGTTTCATTTTGAGTTATGCTGCGTCGGTTTTTGTTAGGTAGCTCTTTTAGGTTTTTAAGTTGTATAAGGTCATAACTGTTTGTCTGTTAGCTAATTTCAAGGGGCTAGAATTAGTGGGCTAGAATGTGGATAGTGGCTGAAACAAGTATGCTGTATTTTAAGCTTTGTTTTGTCAAATAAGTTTGTCAGTGTGCTCCTAAAATTGGGTTCTACAAGCTTTACTGCAGTGCACGATCGCTCAAACAGCTTTATCCTTTAATCTCTTCGTCTATCATAATTGTAATTACAGTTTCCATGTTATGGTCGGGAATAATTACCCGAACCATATACACTTATTAAAATAATGATTAGTAAACAAGCAATATTGCCCGGAAGTCCACTCGAAAAGAGCTGCAAATGAAGCTGATTGAGTAAGTTCCTGGTTATCTACCTTTTAATTGTTGAACAACACAATAGGCCTGCATAAGATAGAATTGAAAATAACCTATGCTGAATCTATCTCATTTCCAGAGTCTGTATTCTGACTTAAACAATTAACAAGCTTTGCTAGGGTCTGCCACCATCATGTATTTGTTCTGTATTTTCCATAAGACATCCCCTTTTTTATTTTGAATTGATGTAGGGGTGATATTGTCAAAGTTGTTATATGGGGAAGAATCATTGCACAGTTCGATAAGATAGTTGATGATGCTGGAGTAAGACAGATTATACTGGTTGTAACTGCGCTTACTGTGAATACATTCAAGGGTGAAGTTATCGTTAGTTCCTTGTGTTTGTGTAATATGCTATGGATGAGCATATTAATCTGATTTTTTTATCAAACATAGGTGAATTGTTATTTTCTTCCTCGGGCTCCACAATTCTGTATGATACCCTGGATATCCCGGAAGTAAAGGCCTTTACAGTATATGCCTTTCCTCATTTTCAATCTTTTCTTTTCCTGATTTCAGAACCAGAGGTACCAATCTTTGTTGAACAGCCTGCAGCTAATCAATCTCCTATTGTTTCCCTCCCTGAACTTTTGGGATGATAGGACAACCCAGACAATGAGGTTAATTCTAATTGCTTTTATTCCCTAAGTCATTGTGCCTGCCATCATTATCCATTTATTGAAATGATATTTAGTGTCAGAAAATGGTATTTGTTGTTGAGTGCAAAGTTGTTGGAATCGAGCGGGGATGGTGTTAGATGGGCTGCCCTAACTGTGTGTATAAACCCATAGAAAGACAGGGCCAATATTTCTGTGTCAAATGCAACAAGACTACACCAATCAAAGCTGCTAAGTAAGGATCCTCTATATGAGTTGAAATTTATTTTTCAGTGATTCCACCAAATAAAAACCTTAAGTTGCTTTCTTTTTATTTCTCATCCTATCAGATACCGTGTCCAGCTTGAGGTACAAGAGAATTCCAGCTCAGCGACCTTTGTCGTGTTTGAGTATGAAGCTAAACGCTTCTTTGGAATCAGTGGTAATGGACTTTTCAATTAAGTGTGGACAAAATACTGATTCACCTCCTGAAGAACTCTTGAAGCTACTGGATGTCACTAAGCAATTCCATGTGAAATTCAAGATAAACACTTACAATGATGCTCAAGCTGATTTCAGTGTGGTGAAAATACTGTATTCCATAACACAGGTCAGCTTACTATTATCCCTACAATTCTTTTTTTGTTATAAAACATTGCCTCATTTTGAGAATTATTTTTATGCACGACTACAACCATGGGATGTATAAAGTATTTACAGCACATAGTTGTACTATATTTCCCCTTCATTATGTATGGATAATTTAATCATTTACTTAGGCCAATGTTATTGATCCTCTTCTTCTATCACCAGTAGTATTGAGTCCTCCGAACCCTCCCCTTATCAATCAAACCAAATGCCCAACCAAGAAGAATGTGTGGAACTCCAGTATTAGCATCTGCAGCTTCTGACAACAAACTCAAGAGAAAGATGTCCTTCGTTTGACATTCTGATGTTTCCAAAGACAGTATCAATTGGATGTCTTGGCCCTTCATTGGATTTCAGCTTAATTCCCTAGGTTTTACTTCATGAGTTGGTTTCAGACTGTTTCGTGCATTCTGGAGTGAGTGACAGTCTATGACTCTATGTCCATCCTAAGAATTCAAATCCATGAACATAGCACTCAAGACTTATTTGTTCCGTAATTTAAAGGATTATGTGTTAGCTTTTCGTGGTTGCTTCTTATTTGGTTCCTTTTTAAGTCGATTGCAAATCTGGATTGGGATTTCCAGGTCTGGTTTGTTGTTCTAATCAGTGCTGATAGGTATATTGGTCATAGCCTTTGGTCTTCTTCCAACTCCATGTATCCTCTTATTTTTCTTTCTTGCACTATGTTGGCTGTTGGAGCTTGGAACACTTGGAATTCTCTTTATTGTTTGTATTTTAATAGGTTGTATGCTTTTAATGATTATTTTTCCCAAGAATAGGGAAAAGATTCAAGGTGAAGATGGTGAGAATTGAGAGGCCCGTCCAAGTTTATTATGAAATGGGAGTTGTCTGAAAAGTTTGAAGATTTGGAACAATAGTAACTATTTCACATCAGTGATACACTGATATTGCCATTGCAGAACTGAGTTTTATTTTTTGGTCTGATAAAATATCCGTCCTCATTTATATTGCCACGCATAACTGCCCTAGTTAACATGGTTGAATGAATCTTGATTTTGTTTAATTATTAACCGTGATTATTTTGGTCAAATAGGGTGGGGAGCCTCGTTGTTGCTGACCTTGTCCATGGTTCTGATGGATTGAGGAACACATACTTGTCACCACCAAATGCAAAGAAAAGTGAGAAGAATGCTGCTGAATTTTTAGTTGACAAGGCCTCTGAGTTCCCTGGGGAAGTATCTGTACTTGCAGTCTTTATAAAAAGGGAATCTCTTTGATCAGGCGATAAAAAGGGACTACTCATTTGCTAGCAAAGTGAAGAAAATTGTAGTTCTTGGAGGAGCCTTCGTTGCTCTGGGAAATGTAAACCCTGCTGCTGAAGCCAATGTAAGTTACTGTCACTTGTCTTTCTGAAACCTTGTTGTTATCAAGTTATTAAGCATTTTCTCGATGCCTTGCAGATATATGGAGATCCAGAAGCAGCAGACGTTGTATTTACATCTGGGGCAGATATTGTTATAGTTGGAATTAATATCACAACTAAGTTAAATTTATGGGTAGAAAACCAGAGATTCCATTCGCTCTGCTTCATGTCTAGTATTCTTTCGCCAAATCGCAAGTCAAAAGCTATCAGTATTACTTATGTTCTATGTTTGTTTGCAGATGCCAACCATACTGGGTTGCGGGATTCGAAAGGGAAGTATGCTCAATTAATATGCAATATATGTGCAAGTTCTACAGAGATTGGCATGTAAATTCTTATGGAATGCGTGGTAATAGTCCTCCAAATCTCTTCAACTAGTTAGCGCCTGAGAATAGTTGACGTTCCATAGTAGAGTTCACATATAACATTATATATAACTCGGTTTCAGGAATTTTTCTGCAAGATCCAGTGAGCTTTATGGCGGTAGTTCGGCCTGATCTCTTCACGTACCGGAAGGGCGTAGTGAGGGTGGAGACTCAGGGCATCTGCATTGGCCACACCCTAATGGACCAAGGCCTTAAAAGGTAGGCCAACTCTCTAGAATTTGAAGCATAATCATTCCTTCCTCTTTGAAATTTCAGTCAGCATATTAAACACCCTTTGACTGGTGTGATTATGGTTTTAGGTGGAATACAAGCAATCCATGGAATGGATAATCGCCTGTGGCAGTTGTTGCATTTCGTCGATACCACTAGAATCAATTCACGCAATAGAGTGCAGTTCTCCATTTCTACCAGGTACTGTGACTTCTGTCCTCTTTTAGTGTGTGTATTCCTCTATTTGATCAAATTAATTCTATAGTAATCTAACCATCTTTTTCATGAATGGTGCATAAGATAAGATGGAATTCAATGGCATTCGCGACCTTGATTCCGAGAAGCAAATATGGTCAGGTCATGTTGTGTTTCTAGGCTATGGCTTGGAGTGAATGTTACCACAGACAAAGTGCTCCATTTGGACCTCATCCTCATGGATTCGAAGGTAGTCCTCTTCTGTATTTCCTATCAGACAGCTGCATATGTCAATTCGCCTGCTCATTTTTGTTTCCTGATATGAAGGGCAACGATATTTGGGTACATATCCCTCCTCTGTTGCAAGAGAAGTTCAAGCGATTTCCAAAGGAACACCATGTTTACGTCATCAAGAACTTTGATATCAATGCAACTTCATTGACACACCGGCCTATTTCCAATCCGTACATCATGTTATTCACTCGGAAGACGACTGTTGAACATATCACTGACATTCCTTCCATGCCTACCTTCAAGTTCACGTTCATGAAAGCAAGTGAGATGGCAAATAAAGTGGAAGAAAAAACCATCATCGCAGGTTAATTATGCATTTCATTCTGTTTTCTCAGGCTACTGACCCATTAATTGCATCTCATATCATGTATTTCTTTCAAGATATTGTTGGCGAATTAGTTCAACATTCGACTCCCATCACTACAAGCAATATTGCCGGGAAGTCCACTCGAAAAGAGCTGCAACTGAAGCGGATTGAGTAAGTTCCTGGTTTTCTAACTCTTAAAAGGCTTTAGAAAAAAAGCTTCACCACGTAAGCCTTCATTGTCTCCCCGCGATTTTCGGAAATGCATATTTTTTCGGTTTCTTTTTTGTTTTGGGTATTTATACCATGGAACAGAAGTACGGGACGGTGGTTAATTTTTCTTCTTCTTTTCCCTGATATCTCGCATATCACAAGGGGATCTTCCAATTCCGATCCCTCTTCCCGAGCATCTCCATCAATGCAATTGTAAAAGAAATTGCATTTGTGTTTTTTATTGTCAACTCAATTTTTTTGCAATCCACATCACATTCATTTCATTCACCTACATCAATGCAATTAACTTGCAATTGTAAATGTAATTAAATATTATGTTTAAATTATAGAAAATTAAGTTAAAGAGAAAAGAAAATAATATAAAGTAAAAAATCCCATTTTTTTAGGCTTTTTTGACTTGCATATGGAATTGCATTTGTTGCAAGTTTGCAAATATGTCATTGGTAGCCACATCATTACAATTGATTGTGCAATTGCAAACACCTAAGCCATATCATTTTGCAATTGAGAATGCAATACCAATGTGGATGCTCTTATCCTCCACCCGCTACCTCAACTCCCAAATAATCTGTCGCTGCCCGCTGCTAATCATACTCCTCGATCTCAATCGCAATTAGGCTTCCTCTACAGCGACGACGGTTGGATCTCCGAGCGCTCTTCAGTCTCCCAGTGCCGGCACCGTTTCTTCAACCAGATGGGACTCTCTCCTCCGAGCAGTCTTCTTCCTTATCCCGCTGCCAACCTGCAAGCCTGTAGATTTGAACTTTCCTTCATCCGTGCCGATCATTTCCCGCCCAGCCGCTTGGCTCTAAGCAATGCTGCTAGGTTTATGGCATTTTGTTCTTTTGTTTTTGGTTTCTCTACACTGGAATAACACCAATGGCTTATGAATATGAATGTGTATGTTTAATATAGGTAATGAATTAAAAAAATGTAATTTGGAAATGGGAATTTAACATCACGTTATATATATATGGTTATGTCTTCGGTCACTCACTTTTTTGGGTGCATTCAATGCACCCGCCTCATAATCGTCATTCTGAGCAGACGATTCATGTGAAAACGATGTCAATCATCCCTTGTAGTATGATGAACAAGAACCACATGAATTTGTACAAAAATCAATCAAGGTTCACTTTAATTTGAATGATTCAGGGTTTAGGAATTTAGGGTTAGGGTTAGGGTTTACAATTTGGGATTTTGGGTTTAGATTCAAAATTGAATGTTAATAGGTTAGGGTAATGGGTTGATTAGTTGTGATTTTATGTTATATCATCATATGAGACTAATGCTACCCATTAAATTTTAAAATTTGATGTATTATGACCACTTTTAGAGGTGGGTGCACTGAATGCACCAAAAAAAGTGAGTGCACCGAAGTAGCCACCATATATATATATGGGTGGTGTCTTGGATGCACTTCATATATATATGTGACATTTGAGTGTTGATTAGTATTTTTACTATTTTGCTCTTCATAGGTTAAAAAGCTTCTTAAACCATTTTTAATTCCATGTTTCAATGCTCAATATGTTTTTTCATAAATTATTTTGATGTATTACTAATAAATAGGTACAATACACATGGTAATTTTTTTAGAGATATTATAGATTGATTGACTCATATAAAATGTAACAATTTTGACCTATGCATGATATTGAATTATTGATATGTTTGTTGAAATGAGACATATAAGTAGTACACTGTCCTCCATGATTTAGGTTGAATAGTTTATTGGGATTTTTTACTAATTTGGCTAAAATATTGTTATAATCAATATATGCGTATAATAAAAATGATATTTCATATATTTATAAATTACTTTGTAAAAGATTAAAAATACTACGTGCCCAAAGGGCAGGATCGAAGCTAGTCAATAATAAGAGAACAACCCGGCCAATAGGTCAGGTAGAAAGATAGTTTAATTGATGGCGCAAAGGAAAAGTAAAAAAAAACGTTTCCTAGGGAGGTAGGCGTACAGTTAGGGAAAATTGGGCTTCTATTTTGACAAAGGCCCGGAAAAGTTATTTAATCAAAAGCCCAAATTACAGAAAATCCGATGGCGTTCTAGGAAGGAGGCATGCCCACGACCAGTGAAAATTAGAAATACTTGCACAATGAAGAAGTAGGTTTCAGTCCGAAACGAGAAACGGCTCGAAAAGCTTCATCTTTATTTAATTGATGGCCCAAAGGAAATATAACCGACAGCGGTTTGGAAGGGAGATGGGAGAAAGGTTGGGCTAAAGTGGGCTTCCTTTTGACAAAGGCCCAAACAAGCTTATTTTCCATTTAATCAACTCGACCGAGCAACCTCGTTCGACACCGGCCTTCGCACCGTTCTTCTCTCTCTCACCACAACTCCGACGGCATCCAGCGCCGGCGTTCAGGCCACCAGAGGCCGTCCGACGACGGTGTTAGGACCAAGGTTGGTGACGTGTCCAGGCGCGATAGCGAGAAGTTCAACGACCTAGCCTTCTTCAATACAGGCGGCAGCTACTTCTAGTCGGCGGCGGGTCCTTCAAGAGGGCGGCGGGTAACAAAGGAACAAGACGGAGAGACTGAAAACCTAGTTCTTGCTTTCTCATTCATCAAATCCGCCTCTTATAGGCTTAGCAAACCATACAAACAGACAAGCTTCCATGGACATTGTTTGGTAGCTTGGAAAGGAAACCAAGTCTGACTTGGAGTAAAAGGAAGTACAGCTTAAAGAAGAAAGAAGGAAACGACAGCGCATCATCTGTTTCTTCAGACAACAAGAATGAAACGGCAGCGGAGCAAGTGTATCTTCTTCAGTGATGGTGAAACGACAGCGCAGCGGCATCTCATCTGTGACGAGGACAAAACGACGATGGAGAACCAGATGACCGTTGAAGTTGAGATTTGATTTCACTCTGTTAGCGGGCGGAGAGGGCAATGAGAAAGGAATGCAGGAGGGAGAGTATAGGATTAGGGTTAGAATGGTCATTTTCTATGTAACTGTGGGCACAAATATTAATATGACGGGCAACAAATATCACGTCTCTACAAAAAGTTTATCTCTCCTAAAACTATCAGTGGGGTGTGGGACAGTATTCCATCTCTCTCTTTTAGATGTTGGGGCTTCTTTCACAATTTGTGATGGCAATTGGGTGGAGCGGAGCGGACAAATACGAGTTGAGGCGAGAGATTGATCGTAAAGTCAAGTGTAATTAATTGAAGAAACTATAAAATAAGAGAAATATGAATACATGTTTAAAGAAATTCTTACAAAAAAAAATATTTTGAGAAATTGAGATATAATGGGCTAACAACAGAGCGAGGAGGGTAGGTTGTAAGTGGATGCACATGCCCGCCACAATGTACTGCAAGTCCAGTATTACACGAAGGGACGAGTTCAAATGGCCACTGATTCCCCGGAAATTCGGTCTTCATCTTAACTCTTGATATGAACTGTGATATTGTTAATTGCCAACTAGATATGATTCCTATTAAAGTTAAAAACCTCCCCGTCAACAAATTCCCTCTCTTTTGGTACATCCATCAAACCAACTAAGAAGTCCATATATTTCAACAAATTGATAGACACCTTCTTTGACTTCTCTACGGAAAGAATTGTGAATGAACCTACAAAAATCGTGCTCCAGAAGAACATAAGTCGCGAATTTTTTGCAGTTCCTTCCAAGTTTGCGATTCCAAGCTCGAAAGCAAGAGCGCCTACCTCTGTTTCACAGATTGTGTGACCAAAGTTCAGTATTGGATTCGGCTGAGGTCGACGATCAAGCTCTTTGCTCTACCTACTGGTCGGATTTGCTATTTCAAACTCTTGGTATGTGTAATATTATTATAAAAAATACACGTTAGACTTTGTTTACCATAGTTGATTTTCGAGTTTGCCCATTCATTAGATGCATGGTAAAATAAATAGATGATACCATGAATTTATTGTCAACTCTAGTCATTAATTGATGTTATTCTCTAACCTCGTCTTATATACACTTGACTGAAATTTTTTAGTAATTAGGGATGACAACAAAACCAGAATTTGTGGGTATCCTATCTGATTCAACTCTATCAAAATGCTTAAAACACGCATTGACGAATTTTGAGTCAAGTTTGGATTGAAATTCGTTGCACTTGTACTATTCAGCAAATTGAATTGGGTTTGGAATTAGGGATATCCAACCCATAAATACCCGCACACACCTAGGGTTGGGCAATCGATTTCAAGTTAGTGGGTAACCGTCGTTTATAACCGAAAACCGTTGGTTAACTGCTAACCAAAAATCAATGCAAAGGTGGCGCCGGTCGGTGGTCGTTGGGAATTGAGAGGAGACGGTTAGCCGAGTAATCGGATGTAATTAACCGCGATTACTCGGCTAACTGACCTCCAACTGAATATGCAAATAATTCCCCATTCGACCTTCCCCCAGCCCCCAGTCCCCCACAGTCGAACAAGAACCCTAAAATCATAAACCGAAAAATCGTCAAACTCAAAACCCTTTCCTTTCTTTCCCGTCGTGCCTCCGCCCAAGCCCCCATCACAGATTCGCGTCTGTACCGTGCCTCCACCTCTTTAGTTCCTCTTCTTCGTTCCGACTTTCCCCGTTTCTCGTCGCACCGCGCTCCGTTCCTCGAGACCCAACAGAGCAGTCGAGCACGGGTTCTGCCTTCCTTCCCCTCGCAGTTCTTCCTTGTCGTCGGACGCCGATCGTCCTTCGCCGTCGAGAGCAACAATAGAGCAGGCGAACGCATTCCTGCTGCTACTTCCTTCCATCGCTACCAGCCCACCACCAATCATTGCCACCACCCACTGATTTTTCAGTTAGTCGATTAACCGCAGTTCACACTAGTAACCGACCAATCGATGGTGTGGTTATCTAATATTAGGCGTTGGTCAGTGATCGACATGAGTTTTATTGTTGTGTGACGAAACAAAATTGACACTTCAATTATCAATTAGACCCAAATCGACCGAAGCCCAGCCCACTGCCCAGCCCTACACACACCCACAGATATGGCTAGGAAAATAGACCAGACCGTTAGAAAAACCGTGGTCCAAACCGTACCGCATAGTTTGGTCTGGACCGTAGACCGTTAAGTATGGTCTGGTCTAGTCCACGGTCTGTATTATTTTATATTTTGATCTCTTGGTCTGGTCTGGTCTAGACCGCGGTTTACCTGACCAAACCGTGGACCCAACCGACTTGTCAATACGTGTTAATAGCCCATTCGCTCACTCTCCCAACTCCCACAACGACACCCAAGCCTCAACCTTAATTTTGAGAATCTCGTCCCTCATTCATTCACAACCACATTTAACCAGAGAGTAGAGATAATCGTGTCTACATATGACATTATGTTAATGTTTATAACGTTATGGTGCAAGTTGGGATGCTTTTACTTTGTATCTTTGTTATGTACTAAGATTTAGGGTAATGTCCATGGTCAAGAAAACTATTCATTGGAGAGCAGGTAATGTCTTATACGCCCCTAAAGAGGAGGGAGGTCTCGGATTCCGTCCCTTTCATACCTTCAATCTCGCCCTCCTGGCCAAGCAAGCTTGGAGGATTCTTACCAACAAGGATGCTCTGTGGGTTAAAGTCCTAAAGAGTATTTACTTCCCCAACTCTGATTTCCTGAATGCAAAGAAAGGCAGCAGAGCTTCCTGGATCTGGGCCAGTATTTGGGAAGCAAAAAAATGGATGCAGCGGGGCTTGATACGAGTTATTGGCAATGGCAAAACCACGAAGATCTTCCAGGATCCCTGGAGATTTGATAGGTCGGGTTCCCTTCTCCCCTTTGATTGGAATGATAACTCTACAGTGGACAGTTGGATTGAGGAACTCTCGAGAGAATGGAAATTCGATCTGCTTGCCAACTTCCTGAGCCAGCAAGACCTAGAGCAGGTGGCAGCGATCCCGATTGGACCGGACACCCTGGAGGACTTTTGGGCTTGGAGGTTTACTGATGAGGGAAATTTCACGGTGAAATCTGCCTTCACCCAGTTACATCGACAAAACAGAAATGACAGAGGACGAACCGAGGAGCTGACAGACGCAAGCAGGAAAAGATGGAAGTGGCTTTGGAGCCTTTCTATCCCTCCGAAGCTTAAGTTTTTTGTGTGGAAGGTGACGAGAGGGGCGCTGGCTTCAAAAGAGAATCTGTTTGCGAGAAAGTGCGCCACCTCAATGGCTCCCCGATCTGTGGATGCTCGACAGAGTCAATTCACCACTGCCTTTTTGCATGTCCCCATGCAGCAGAGGGCTGGAGACAAGAGTGGCCTTCTCTTTCCCGACCTGCACCTCTCTCCTCTATCCTGGAATGGCTTGACTCTCTTAGACAGAGTTACCCAATTCTGGCGATCCAGAAGATCATTTTCCTCGGGTGGCAGACATGGAAAACCAGGAATGAGAAGATTTTTAGAGATACGAAGACATGGCCACCTGCTACAATCTCGAGGGCGGCGGCAGCCCACCTACAATGGACCACATGCCCGAGGAAGGTCTCTGAAGGTCCACCCCCGACTCAGCCTATTTCACCCCAGCAACACTCCTCACCACCGCCAGGTACTCATCACTTTGAAGTACACTGCGATGGCTCGTTTTATGATGAGCCCCAGAAGGCGGCATATGGCGTCGTGATTTCAAACAGCCATGGTCAGGTTTGTGATGGTAAGGCCGAGCCCATGCATTGCTTTTCCCCACTTGAAGCAGAAGCCACTGCCCTGTTGGAGGGCGCACGGATGGCAGCCTCCCTTGAAGCTCCATGCCTTTTGAAGTCAGATTGCCTGCAGTTGGTGAAGGCGATACAGAGTGACCCAAAGAAATGGCCCTGGCGAGCGGCAGCTAGGCTGGGCAACATCAAGAACATTCTGGAAGGAAACCCGTCCATCAATTTGCATCATTGTTACCGGAAGAACAACATCAAGGCTATTTGGGTTGCTAGATCTTGTGCTAGGAGTCAGTTACCATCCCAATGGTTACATATTCTGGATGTAATTTCTCCACTGCTGTAATGACTGGCTTGTGCCACAAGTAATGGAAATCAGTGTCCTTTGTCAAAAAAAAAAAAAAAAAGATTTAGGGTATCAAAATTATTCATGCTTGTTAAGATTAATGTTTTAAGACAAATAACAATTATTTTTCTTGGTTATTGGTTCAATTTTTTTTTGTGGTTAACTAAACAAATTATTTATTTTTCGTTGAGTGTGGTCTATCTGGACCAGACCGCACATACGTGATCTGAACCGAACCGTATAGTCTGTGGTCTGGTCTATAATCAATACTTCATTACTTCAGCCTCTCGATCTGAACCAAAGACCGAACCAAAGACTGTATAGTCTGGTCTATGGTCTAGACCTGACGCACCATTTCCCAGCCCTAGGACACATATCCCTTACCTCTTTAGTGCTTTAACCCTAAAATTCCAATTCCTAAACTAAATCCGCCGCCCCTAACACTTCACTCTCTCTCGAATCTCGATCTCTCCAACTCCTACAGCCGGCGCCCGCCGCCCTCCTAGTCTCTCCGCCTGCCCCGTCGACCATCGGTCACCCTCCCACCCTCCTTGAACCCACCAGGCGCCGTCACCCTGCTTCGGTTTTTTTTATGGTTGTGGTGAGGAAAAACTCGATCTGTTCATGCAATCTTCTCTTCAATATGTTACCAATCTGTGGTTGTGATATGTTATTCGATATGCTCTTCAATATTGTTGGGTCGTGGGAACGACAAACATAACCCAGGGCTCTAACTTTCAATCTGTTAGGATCATTGGTCAAAGCCGATATGTTCATATCACAGTGGGTGACGGCAAACACAACCCTGGTGGCTTTAAGTTTCGATCTGTTCTGCATCTAGCTTTCTATAAGTTTTGATATGTTCATATCATTGTCCTGAATAGATTCTGTCTACAGCTCAATCTGTACCTAGCTAGCTCAATCTGTAATTTTGTGATGTTGTTGCAAAGCTAAAATTGATCATTAACCTAGTTGCTGGCAGCTTCCCACTGCACAGGTGGTTTTGATTTCATAAAATTTTGTTGGTCTTGATAGGTATGTACTAGATTGATGTTTTTTGTATGGGTGGATTGGTATTAGACCTTTTTTTACAAGAGATTGGTGTTATGCATAATTGTCCATTGAAACTCATGGGTATCCATAAACCTGCAGATACCCAACGAGTTGGGTTGTGTTTGAGATTCAAGAACTAGCTGGATTGTCCCCCTTTATTTTCCGGATAAACCTGTAAGGTTGGGTTTGGATTTGGCAGAACCCAACCCGACCCATTGCTTTAGTTATGACTTATGATCCAGTTCTGAAGTTCCATAGCTCATGTACACATACAAATGTATTATGATAAGTTTTTTTCAATATTGCAGTCTAGGGTAGCGGCAAACCACATTTCTATAAGCAGGGTATTTTGATTTTCCCTTCCCTTTCCTTTTCTCTTCTTTTCCCTTTTCTTCATTTTAACCCGTGAGTTGTTTTTATTTTATTTATTTATTGCATTTTAGTTAATGATTACGAAGGGCAATAAGACATCTACCAGTCTCCTTAATTGACAGTCGCGTTTGTGTGACTGTATCCCAGGAGGCAGGGCGTCGTAAGCCTTTTTCGCGCCGCTGCTTAAAACCCACTATTTTCTTCGTCACCATTTTTCCCTATAAAGGACTGGCTGGCACTTGTTCTACTGTTCACTGTTAGCCGCTGCAGCTGCCTCCTTCCCAGTTGCCCAAACACACAAGAAAAGAAGAACTGGTTCGTTCACATCCCGTCTCACAGCAGGTCGTGGCAAGCAAAGCAGCCATGTCGGGTTTGTATAATCCAAACTTCTCACCAGCAAGAGCTGCTTCTCCTCAGATTAGAACCACTCCTGATGTCGACAGGTAAACCTCCTCCTCTTCCAATTTCCACCCTAGCTATTGTCTCTCCAGAATCCTTGCTCCTAAGAATGATTTCAATTCACGCCCTTTGATCTGCTGATGTACCCCCTTTCTCTCTTGTTTCAGTCAATACCTCTCTGACCTACTAGCTGAGCACCAAAAGCTGGGGCCTTTCATGCAAGTTCTCCCCATTTGCAGCCGGCTCCTAAATCAAGGTTTGCTTGCCCTTTTCCCCTATTTGGATCTAGTTTTTAGCTTCCCACTCTTGCTGCATCACTTGCTAGCTTTTTTCACTTTTCTACTTTCAAGCTTCCTTCCTGCCTGAGGCGATAACACATTACCCAATCGTCATTCACTTTTCTGGATTGCGGGATATCATAATAACCCTCACATTCTGCTTACTGTCCTAACTTCTCTTGCCCTCTGTTGGTTGTCCTGCCATGGTGCGTCCCCCATTTGTAACTTGATTTCAATCCCCTGTGGATCCTCTCTATCTATATCTCCAATATAGCTGCTAATAGCTTATTTACTGCTTCAGCTCTGTTGAATGTATGGATAAATCCATGGACTATGTCTCACCACCAGTCTTTTTGCTCACAGAATTTTGTGTTACCATCTCTGTTTTTCCAACCGTGAGTAAAGGGTAGTTCCATCTTTTAACAGTTGGAACATTGCAAACGAACACAATTTTCATGAGAATGCCTTTTTTCTTTCTTGTTATTTGTGGTGTTTGGGTTTGGGACTTCGTTTAAGGCTTCCAATCTGAAAAACCTCCCTACACAAGAAGTTAGCTCAGGATGCAGCTGCACTTCAGTTGATAATCTGGCTGACTTTTGGGAGGGGGGCACACTATAACTACTTTCACTTCCTAAATAATCTGTCTGACTTTTGTGTTTCATTTGTCACTGCTTGCTGTTCTTTCTTTACTTTGCTTCTTCATGTGGGTGTGGGTCGCAGCCTTTCAGCAGGGCTGGGCTGTGTTTCTTTTTCCCGAAGTTTAAGGTAGCAGTTTGTTCGTATGAGGTTTTATGTAAATAAGACTGCAACACGCTTTTTCTCAGACGAAGTGCTCTATTTATATGTGTAGAAATCTTTCGAGTTTCGGGAATGATGTCGAACCAAGGGTTTGGTGACCTAGACAGATTACGACACAGAAGCCCCAGTCCTATGGGATCTTCAAACCTTATGTCCAATGTTACAGGAACAGGGCTTGGTGGATGGAATAACCTTTCCCAAGAGGTAATTCTTCCTGACTAACTTCTAACTCACCAATTAGCATTTGCAGCTGCAGCATGGATGCTTCCTCTTCCTCTCTGTTTATATTCCATATCTTTCCTTCCCTCCTTTTCCTTCTTCTCGTCTTTGGGCTATCCTGTCTGTCCACCATTTGTGGCAGTGGTGCAGCTTTCAGCCACATTGTTTCACAGCTTCAGGTGGCAATTAGTGCTAAAGCATAAGGCGTAACAGACATTGACACTTCCGTTAAATTGATAGACAACAAAATCGATTACCAATGCCTACTTAATGCGGGAGCTGTTGGAGTAAAAGTTTCAGTTATATTGACACTAACGAGAGATGAAATGCTCATTTATTGTGAAATGGACTACTGGTTTTGTTGTTGGCTTAATTAAGTTTGTGGGTAGATAAGATCAGTATAGATTATGGATATGTTCTTGGTAGATATTTCATGCTTGGGAAGAAGCACCTCTCTCTTTTAGTTTCTAGTATTGATTAATTGGGACGTCCTATGGGTTGAGTCTTGCCTGGTATTATTATTTCCTGTATGTCTACATCATGCAGAAGCCAATGATGTGAATCCTTTCGATAGTTGAAGTTATGAAAATGTAAACACGAGTGTATTCAGAATGTACTTCTCTTTGACGGGTTTCCTGCAAGAGCTTAATTGTTGCCATGCTTTCAAGATTATTGGCTTTTTTTTTTTGTGTTTTTTCATTTGTCAATGAACGCACTCTTTTGTGTAGAGATTAAGTGGACCGCCACCTGGGATGACTATGGATTGGCAAAGCGCACCTGCAAGCCCTAGCTCATATACTGTGAAGAGAATTTTGCGTTTGGAAATCCCTGTAGATACCTTTCCAAATGTAGGTTCAGTTATTCGATCTGAATATGAAATGGTGCTTCTGGTTTTGCATTGTTCTTGAAGACAAATTTGTCAAATAATTCTAATCCTTTTTGTTTTTTTGTGTGTGGCTACTTTTGGTTGCTAGTTTAACTTTGTTGGACGGCTTCTGGGTCCGAGAGGCAATTCTCTGAAACGGGTTGAAGCCACCACAGGCTGTCGTATATATATACGGGGCAAAGGATCGATTAAGGACCCGGACAAGGTAGTGCATATCCCCCACCTTCCTTTGAGCGTTGAATAATGCTCTTGGGTATATATTTATATATACTTAGTTTTTGTTTCCTTTCTGTGATCCTTGTCTAATTGGTTAAAATATTTGGAATCAAATTGATATAATGAAGGAAGAGAAGCTGCGGGGAAGACCAGGGTATGAACACCTGAATGATCCACTTCATATCTTGATCGAAGCTGACTTGCCAGCAAATATTGTGGACATAAGGTTGAGACAGGCACAAGAGATTATAGAAGAGCTGCTCAAACCTGTGGTACAGCTCTTATATTGCTCTGCTTCTAAATCTGGAAATGGTGGTCTATTTCATGTGGGGGATGGAGGAAGCAAAGTTTTCTGCTCTTTTCTTGTTCTCTTCCCATTTTACTATTGGTGGATGGAAATGTAAAGGCGGTTGTATCATGTATGTGTGTGTTTGTGTGAATGGGTGCAGGATGAATCACAAGATTTCATAAAGAGGCAGCAGCTGAGGGAGCTAGCATTGCTGAACTCAAATTTCAGAGAAGAGAGTCCAGGACCAAGCGGCAGTGTGTCTCCCTTCAACACCAGTGGAATGAAGAGGGCCAAAACAGGGCGCTGACGGAGCTCTTGTATTCTACTCTAGCCTCTGCTGTTTGGGGTGTCATCTTTGTACTGGTCCCTTACCATATGGGTCATGATGGCTGGCAGGCTGGCCTGCCAAACTATACCGTACCCCTGGCGGTTGCATGCACCTGTAATTATACGCCTATTTATCTCCTCCATACCAAATATATAGGAATGAATGAACCAAGGGAATGAACGTGCAGTAAAGGTCATGAGTCGCTGGTTGCTTTTTCTTTAAGGTTACGTGGAGAGAAGATGAACATGCTAACAGCTTGGTCTCTTGGTGGGCGGGTCTGCCTTAATTTTTGTGATTTTCTTTATCTGAGAAATCTCTACACAAGTTTGGGGGAGATGAAAAGAGAAAGGAAGAAGGGACAGGGCAGGAGAAGAAGAATCATTAGAGAGGATGAGTATGTGTAGAATCAAATCGTCTCCATTGGTTTGGTTGGTTGGCTGTCTCAGTATAAGGTTAGGGTCAGGTGGTCTAATTTTTTGGTTGAATTTGCGTATTTTAATTCCTTTTATTGGGTGGGGTTGGGGAACAGGTTTCTGTAATATTGATAATACACTAATTTGGATTCATTTTTGTGTCATCAAAATTTTGCATGTTTGGTCTTATACGATAATTACAGGGTAAATTGTAAGTTTGGTTGTTTATGTCATTTGAAATATTTATTTTCAATGTTCGTTACTCGAATTAGTAAAATGGTTCACGTTTAGTCACTCTTCGTTACTCTCCGTTAAAAAGTTAGTGAATTGCTGATGTGGCTAATAGAAGTGTTGACTTACCTAATTTTAACCCGCCACATAATCAAATCCGACCCCATGTCACTCAACATGCCATGTCATTTCTCCAATCCAACTTTATTTATTTATTTATTTATTTATTTATTTATTTGTGAGTCATATCAAGAGAGGACAAGAGTTATACAAACGTAACCCCCAACAAGTAATGCCCTAGTAAAATCACCCAAATTTTTTGAAAGACTCTAGCTTTATGAGAGACAATAGCAGTGCTTTACGGCTTATGCGCCACTCTATGGGCAAGATTGTGGCGGCTATAGGAACCGCCCTAAACTCTATACAAACTGACAAAGAGAATATTGATCTGATGACACTCCCAGAGCACCGGACCTCCAAAGAAAACTTCTAGAACACCTTGCCGGATCTGGTTGACAACCACCTCGGAATCACCTTCCACTAACACGTGTGTCAAGGATCTTGAGGCGACGTTGGAGATAACATCTATTACTGCTAGGAGCTCTGCCAAATAGGGGTTGACTACTCCCTGGTGACGCACACAGGCTGCCAACACCACATGCCCGTCTGTCCCACGGATAACAAGACCAAACGAGCACCCAGAGACACAAACAGCTGCATCGAAGTGGATTTTCAAATAGTCGTCTAGTGGAGGTTCCCAAGAGGCGGGAGGAGGATTGGGAGGAGCGATATGGGGGATGGAGGAGGGGATGGAAATTGGAGACTTCAAGGATTTGGTTGTAGAATTGACTGACAAGGATACATACATGAGGTTGGTAGAATTCAAAAGTCACTTTATTTCTAGACTTCCAGATTCTCCAAAGTAAACAGACACATTGGAGAATGTGGTTGGGGAGATCTCAGAGATCATGACATGTCGCCACAATAGACTAAAATAAATAGTCGGGGCGGAATCATTGAAGTTGCTTAAACCCACTATGGACTATAATTGGGTGGCCAGGGGGCATCTGAAGAATAAATGTTCAATACTCTCTCGATGTCTCTAGTAGACCGGGCATCGGTTAAGACATTTAACTCCACGAGATTGGAGGACCAATAGATAGACCACATTGAATAGTAGTTGGAAAGTCCAATAATCAAATAATTGATGAATAAAAGTCCCATAATGGGATTTACCGGCATTTGCCGTTAAATTAGTCTAAAACGGACAAATACTACCAATAAGTGGTGCTTTAATTCGCACCGGAGAAAATGGCACAAACCCAAGTTATGGTAATCATCATTACTATATTTTGTAGGCATAATAAGTATTTATACGTCTTTATTAGATCGTATTAACAAGTCCAATGTGAACTTTAACGGTCTTTTTCTTCAATAAAATTTCCTTTCCATTCTTTTAGTTTGAGTGTTTCAATTAGAGCGTTTCAATTCCCAATATATCCCTTCTGAATTCACAATTGGTATCAGAGCAGGCTCTTTGATTGGAGTAAAATCGCCAAAGAGAAAGGTCTGAGGGATGTCTGGATCTTCATCCAAACCTACGTCATATTCAGCCATTACAAATCCTCCGTGGTTTGATGGAACAAACTACACAGTCTGGAAGAAGCGGATGAGAATCTATCTCCGAGGAGTGGATGGTGAAATGGTCCCTTTCCCATGAAAGAAGAAGATGAACAGAAATGGGAAGATGAACAGAAGGTGCCATCCCAACTGGACTCGAGGGCTATGCACATACTATTCTCAGCTCTTTGCCCTGAAGAACAGAGTCAAGTAGCTCAATGTGAGACTGCAAAGGAGATTTGGGAGTCTCTTCAGACTACCCACAAAGGTACGTCTGAGGTCAAAGAAAGTAGGATATATGTTCTCTTAAAACGAATATGAATCCTTTGAGATGATTTCTGGTAAATCAATAACAAGTATGTATAAAAGGTTTAACGATTTAATTAACAGGCTTAAGGGTCTAGGAAAAACTTTTATCACAAAAGATCTTGTTAGGAAAATACTAAGCAGTCTTCCTAGAGAATGGCTACCAAAATGAAATGCCATTGAAGAAGCTAAAGACCTTAACACACTGTCTATTGAAAGACTAGTAGGTTATCTCTTGAGTCATGAAGAAGTGATCACTCAAATGAACAAAGAAGACTATAGAAGGAAAAACGTTATAGCCTTCAAGGCTCAAGAATATGACAGTGACAATGACTATGAATTAAGTGAGGAGTTTGAAAAAGAGTTTGCCCTTGTAAGTAAAAAATTCCATCGAATGCTAAAAATGAAAAGGGAATTTCAAGCAAACAGAGCTTACAATGATTCTAGGAACACTAAGAGAGATAGAGAGAGCTTTGATCGACCATCTTTTAGATCAAATAATCAAAATCCTTCAAGAAAGTTCTATTCTGAGAAGAATAATCAAAGGTTTTTAGAAAGAACTCCTGAAAGTCGAGAAAGGACTAGACCAGACATTAAGGAAGACCCCAGGTCTTCCGGAGAAAAGGATTTAATGATTTGTTTTAAGTGTGGAAAGTCAGGTCACATGTGCTCGAGGTGTCCCTTAAACTCCAGATCACAAGAAAGAGCTCTTGCTGCCTCATGGAGTGACTTCAGCTCTAAGGATGAACATGAAGTAAAAAACATAGCCTATATGGCGTTTGCTTCAAAAAGAGAAAGCAATTCACATTCATCGTAATGATCAAGCCTCACCTTAATGCTATCAGGTAATGACTGACTCAGACTCAGAAAAATGCTCTCATTCTGAAACCAGAACTGATTTTTTAAATGCTTTAGCTAATCTTCAAGATGAATGTAATATGTTAAAGCAAATATTGTATGTTAATGACTGATAATCAAGAGATGAAAGTTAAAATCCTTGATCTGAAAAGATCACCGAGCATTCAAAACGAATGCAGCAACAAGTTAAACAGAAAAAAAATTCTTAAAGATGAAAACCAAAAGCTACATATGTTATGCAGAACAAGATCTGCCGGTTTAACTCAGAACTTTCACCCATATGTAAAACGGACTTCAGTCGAAAAGAATAGGTCTCTTGAACACAATAGTCAAAATGGTGTTCTAAATGACAAGTATAGTAAATATCCTATAATTTATGTATGTTCCTTTTGCAATAGACGAGGTCATCTAGCTAAGTTCTGCTTTGATTTACAAAAACAGAAAAGCCCTCCTATATTCAAAACATTTTGGGTACCAAAATATACTAACATATAATTGATTGGAGAGTATGGGAGAGAATGATAACATATGGTTTTCGGACAGTGGTTGCTCCCACCACATGACAAGTAAAAAGGACCTTTTTCATCTTTAACTTACAAAAGAGGTGGTAAAGTTGTTTTTGGAGATGACAGAGTAGAATAAATTATGGGAAAAGGAACCATTGGTCAAAATCCCTTTCCAGTTGTTAAGGATGTTTTGTATGTTCATGTACTAAAACACAACCTTCTATCCATAAGCCAACTGTGCAATAATGAAAACAAAGTGGTATTTGAATCTTCTTCTTGTCAAATCATTAGAATAAGAGACAACAAACTTCTGTTTAGTGGAACTAAAAAGAACAATATGTATGTTGTAGATTTAAAGTGTCTTGACACTTTTAAAGAAACCTGCTTTCAAGCAACTATACATGATCAGGAAATGCTCTGGCATAGGAAACTAGGACATGTGTGTCTTTCCAAACTGTCCAAACTGTCTAAAATGAAGTCTGCTCGAGGCATCCCTGTCTTAAAAGACAAGTCAAAGTTTTTCTGTGATGCATGTGCTGGTGGAAAATTGGCTAAAAAGAGTTTCAAACTAAAAAAAGGATATAACCACTACTGAAACATATGAATTAATTCATATGGATCTCTTTGGGCCCACAAATCTAGTAAGTTTAGGAGGTAAGTCTTATGTAGGGATGGCAACAAAACCCGAACCCACGGGTACCCACCCGACCCAACCCGGTCAACGCGGGTAAAACCCGTGTTGACGGGTTTTGGGTCGGGTTCGGGTTTAAACCCGCTACACTATTCACCGGATCGGGTTGGGTTTGGGTTTAGGTAAACCCGCCCCATGGGTACCCGCTCACACACATATAATTACTTTTACGGTATATTTAATATTCTAAATAATATATCTTCCTTAAATAACTAATATCTATATGTTTGTGGAGACATGTATAATTTGTTCTTTCTAATTGTTTAGAATGAAGTTGATATTATGAAGTAGAGAGTGAAGAAACTTAGTTGACGAGGAAGAAGTTTTCAATTAATCTTATTGTTTATATATGTTTATCTTTAATTTTGAATAATTTGTATTGATCATTTGCGCTTTGCTTGTATGCTCTAGATTGGTGTTTTTTGTATGATGAATTTGTATGAGAAAATTGATGTTAAACTTTTATTTTGAAAGAAACTTGTTATTGTAAATTTTTACCACAAAAACTCACGGGTACCCATGAACCCGCGGATACCCAGCGGGTTGGGTTGGGTTTGAGTTTTTTAAACCCAACGGGTTTTACCCCGGGTTTTTTTGGCGGATAAACCCATGGATTTGAGTTTGGGTTTGACAAAACCCGACCCAACCCGACCCATTGCCATCCCTAGTCTTATGCGCTAGTACTCGTTGATGACTACTCCCGATACACTTGGGTTTACCTACTTGCGTCTAAAGATGAAGTGTTTAGCTATTTTAAGACCTATGTAAACACTGTGTTAAATGAGTCAAAGAATGGTATTAAGGAATGATAGACCGTTAATTACACATGTTTTTACCCCTGTTCTTACACCGTTTGAGATGTGATTTCTCGTGTTTTAGGCCGATTTCACGCTAGGTTGTGCTTGTTTGTGATATTTCAGGTCCTAGTACGTGAATGAAGGCTTGGGAACGAGCTTGGGGTCGATTGGATGAAGATCGGACGCGTGGCGAGGTACAAAGGAGGCCACACGGGCACACCCACAAATCACATGGCCGTGCAGCTCATATTTCTGGCCGTGTGTGTATTGCCGAGAGCAAACACGGCCTGCCCTGACATTTCACACGGCCGTGTGACAAAGTGCTCTGGCCGTGTGACTTTTGCCGTGAGCAGACACGGGCAGATGGAAATCAAACACGGCCGTGCCATCCTGGCCGTGTGAGAAGCCTGAAGATCGAACTTAAGTGATACGGTGCGTTTTGACTCACACGGGCAACTGGGTATGCCACACGGCCGTGTGGCCCTGCCCGTGTGAGTCGGGATTTCCTGGTTTTAACACAATTCCGGGCTGCAAGAGGGGGGATCGAATTCCTTGAGCAAAAACAGAGTTTTAGAGAGAGAAAGTGCGAAGAACTCACCCTAGAAGCCATCTTGGAGCTGGGTTTCATCAAATCAAGCTTGGAGATCGTCCTAGGAGTGGAAATCATCATCCCGGAGCAGATTTTCCTCATCATTATGAGTATGACTACTCCGATTACTGTTTTCTTTTCTCTCTCTATGGAGTAGAACCTCTCTCTCACTTGGGGATGAAGAACCCTAGTTCTATGTGTTAGGGGATTGATTGTAATGACTTGGGATGATATTACTGTTTGATTATAATCGAATGATGCATGTTTATTGAGTCAATTGAAGTCTGATCAACTTTTCCTGATTCCTGCTGCAATCTGAGATAGATAGAATCTGATTAGGTTGCTAGAGTCTCATCATTCGATAGTAGGAGATTGGCTATACGAGAGTTAGCCAGTTTACTGCTTTGTACTGGAATCTAATTCCAGTAGTGAATTTCTGTTCTTACTGCTTCAGCTTTCTATCCCGGTGAAGACTAGTCGTCTGCCGGGTAGTTAGACTGAGAGGGCTTGGTCAGCTTAAGAGATTCCACGCTACTGTCGGATCTTCCGCAGTTTAATCAACAGTAAATCAACCCAGGGTAAATTGCAATTGAAACCTAACTAAAGAGCTAGGGGGATTCATTCCCGAGTGACTCTTTCCTGCTTAAGAAAACCGAATAATTTCCTGCTTTATTTCTGCTTTTAGTTTAAACAACAATCACTTACTTTAGTTGGCTAGATAACAGAGAATCACTGAGTAAGCAGTAGATCTAGAGCCCGGGTTGATAATATAACTTGCCTGTTACTGCATTCCCGGTCTGCGATTACACTTGGTCGCAGATTGGTGTTGTGTTTTGGCGTGTCAAGTTTTTGGCGCCGTTGCCGGGGACCCTCTAGGTTATTGGGGAAACGTGAGAATTTGTTACTTTAGCTTTTTATTTACTGCATTTTATCTCTTCCACCTGTGTACCTTCACGGGTTGCTTCTGCTGATTGTGTGCAGGTAGTGCATGACCCGTAGCCAGTCGGGAGATCTACTACCACTAGACCAGGAGCTTGAACGAACCTGCAGAAACTTCAAGCGGGCTCTAAAGGCGCGACTGGCTGCGGAGGAGGCGCTAGCACAGCTACAGATCACTGAAGAAGAGGAGATGGCTAATCCACAGGACCATGCTGTGGTCGATCCCGAGGAGCAGACCATGGGACATTACTGGACCGCTAGGGCTGCAGACATGAGGTCACCCATTCAACACCCTCATGTCCCAGCCAATAATTTCGAGGTGAGCACCTCAGTAATCACCATGCTGCGCGGTTCGGTGATGTTCCGTGGCAAGGAGGGGGAGTGCCCCCGATCACATCTCCGACGATTCCACGAGCTCATTGATGGAATCAAGATCAATGGGGTACCCGCAGATGCCATCCAGCTGAGGTACTTCCCATTCACTCTGGAGGGGCAAGCCAAGGAGTGGCTAGACACTCGACCTCCAGGCTCCATCACTACGTTCGCCAACCTGGCGGACAAGTTCCTTACTCGCTACCATCCTCCGTCCAAGACGGCGGACTTGCAGAAGCAGATCACCCACTTCACCCAGGATGAAGATGAGACCATCCGGGACGCCTGGGAGAGATACAACAGCCTCTTTCTGAGGTGTCCCAATCATGGTTTCAACGATGCTTTCAAGGTGGGAACCTTCTATCACGCCCTCTTCCCGGAGGACAAGCAGCTGATTGATTCGGTTTGTGGCGGGAACATGCTGACCAAAACACCGCCACAGCTGAATCAACTCTTTGAGGAGATGGCGGAGAATGGGTACGATTGGGGCACTGCCAGGAGATCGAGACGAGCACCAGGACGGGGTGTGCATGTTGTGGGCACCCAGTCATCTGATTTGGTGCAGGTGGTATCGAAGCTGGTTTCAGCTATCGATCGTTCTGGTTTGATTGCAGGTACCGGACAGCAACAGGCTATGCTCTGCCAGTGGTGCGAGAGCACCCACCATACAGTGGAAGACTGCCAGGCGATGAAGGAATCGACCACGCCCCAGGAGCAGGTGAACTTCATCAACAATGTCAGGCGCAACGACCCCTACAGTAACACCTACAATGAGGGGTGGCGCCAGTATCCCAACTTCTCCTGGGGTGGGGCAAATTCCAGACCACCAGTTCCCCAGGGACCACCGGGCTTCCAGAGGCCACCATATCAGCCCAGACAGGGGCAATTCCAGCAGCAGCAGTCTCTCTACCAGCCCATGCAGGGGCAAGCTGCTCCATCCCAGCCGCGACCTTTCCAGCAGCCAGGTGCAGTCCCTGCCGCCCCAGCGCAGAACGATCAGATGGCTGAACTGCGGGAATTGGTGGGTTCTCTCGCCAGTTCTAGTGCTCAAAAATTTAACACCATCGAGCAGTTCATGGAAAAGGCATCGGGTAAATTCCTGGCTCTTGAAGCTGGCCAGAGGAACACACAGGCTGTCTTGCAGGATATCCAGACCCAGCTGGGGAGTGTGGCTCAAGCAGTGGCACAAAGGGCTCCCGGTACCTTGCCCGGTCAGACCATTCCTCACCCTCAGAACCCGAATGAGCACTGTAATGCCATCATGACCAGGAGTGGCAAGATGACTGTTGATCCACCTGCTCGGGAACAAGAGAGAGAGGCCCCTGCCTCGGCATCTCCAGCAGCTGAAGCAGAAGCCGAGAAGGAGGTTGAGGTGTCTGCACCTAAACCGCAACCAGTAGTGAAGGAGTATATCCCTAAACTCCCCTTCCCTACTCGGTTGCACAAAGACAGGCTGGAGGCAGAGTTCGAGAGCTTCATGGCCATGCTTAGGAAGCTGAATGTCCAAGTGCCTTTCCTGGAGGCACTATCACAAATGCCTAAGTATGCGAAGTTCCTGAAGGATCTTCTCTCAAAGAAGCAGAAGCTGAGCGAGCTGGCCACTGTGGAGCTCAGCGAGGAGTGCTCGGCCATTCTGCAGAACAAGCTTCCGCAGAAACAGAAGGACCCAGGTAGTTTTACTATCCCGTGCTCTATTGAGAATTTGCATGTAGAGAGGTCCTTGGCGGATTTAGGTGCTAGTATAAATGTTATGCCATATAAACTGTTTAAGAAACTAGGCCTAGGTGAACCCCGTGCTACTAGGATGAGCCTTCAATTAGCTGACCGATCTGTAGTGCATCCTAGGGGCATAGTGGAAGACCTTCTGGTTAAGGTTGGCAAATTCAATTATCCTGTTGATTTTGTGATTTTAGACATAAATGAGGATGTGAATGTGCCATTGATACTAGGAAGGCCTTTCTTGGCCACCGCCAAGGCCCTCATAGATGTGCATGATGGGACCTTAGTTCTGAGGGATGGTGAGGAGCGAATAACATTTTCAATTTCTAATACACATCCTGCTTCCTCGCCTTTGCATGCTGTATCTCACCAGGAGCACGAGTCTGTCGTGTATCCTTCTGTGTTGCCTATTTTGCAGGATCCGCCTCCCACACCTTCGCCGCCACCCCCATCCACTCCGTCATCGAAGGAACAAATCAGGGAGGAGTGGCGGCCGAAACAGCAGGCAGCTAAGCCTGCTCGAAAGAAGGCCGGAGACCACTTTGAGCTGGTCCCGCCCCCACCTTGGCCATCCGAGTATTCACTCGCTTGCATCCTGCCGGATGGCCAAGTTGAATTGGCAAATGCTGGTGGCCACATTCGGCGGGTGCATGGCCACCAGTTGAAGTTGTACCTCAAGAGCGAGGTGGATCCGCTCTTGAAGGCATCTACTCCTTCACCTCACTGAGCATCCACCGACTGGCGTCCAGCTAAAAGACAGTAAAGAAGCGCTTGTGGGGAGGCAACCCCACCTAGGTTTGCATTTTCTTACCTTTTTCTTTTTGATTTTTTGTGTTTTTTGAGTCTTGAGATGTTGTTCCAGAGTCGAATGTCGTTTTTGAGTGAAAACAGGTTGATTTTGGGGCTCCAGCAGTTCACACGGCCAAGCCTTAAACTCACACGGCCGTGTGGATACCTTCCATTGGCCGTGTGAGCTCTCGGCAATTTCCACACGGCCAAATGTGCAACTGGCACGGCCGTGTGGATTGGCCTGGCCTGGCCGTGCGGCCGACACAGGCAAAGCATTTGATCGCACGGCCGTGTGAAAGAGTGCCCTGGCCATGTCTGCTCTCGCAGAATTTGGCACGGCCAAATGAGCATATGGCACGGCCGTGAGAAATCCCTCGGCCAGGCCGTGTCGGCCGACACGGGCAAAAATACACGCGACACGGCCGTGCGTGTCTGGCCGTGTGGCCGAGACACGGCCTATTTATTCGGCCAGCACGGCCGGGTCGTCAGAAAATTTCAAACCCCTCGCCGGAAAACCGCGCAAAAACCCTACTTTTTGATTTTTTCGGCCATTTTTTGTCATCTTTTCACCAAACCAACAACAAACCCACCATTCCTCCCCCAAAATCGGCCTATCCCTCCATTTTGAGGAGATTTGTCCGACGTTTTTGTCGCCGGAGGCGATTTCCGGTGAGACTCCGGCGAGGCTCCGACGAGCACTTCCGGGCACTTTTTCGGCGTTTCGTCGCTTCCATCCCCTTCCCCTCATCATCCCCTACACCTCTACTTGAGTCTCCAGGTTTGATTTTGCCCTTAACTATGTTAATTGTGGAGAATTGGGTGTTAGGGTGCATGTTTAGAGAACCTCATTGAATCTTGTGATTTTTGTGCAATTGATTGAGGGGAATGCATGGAGTGTGTTTGAATTGTGTTGGGTAAAGTCCCTCTTGATTGTTTGAGCCCTTGTGTGCAAGAATTGTGCCAATTTCATGTTTACCTTAATAGTGCACACAAGTTGTTCGATGAAATGCCTGTTTTCGTACCATTTTGTGGGGGTCGGTTGGGACCCTTAATGATGTGCTTTGAGGGTGTATTTGGTATGGATGTGAACCTTAAGTTGCCTATTTTATCGTGAATGTGCACCCCCACTCAGATTATGCTTGATTTATCGAGTTTCTGACCCCCGAACTATGGATGAAACCATGGTTAGGCTGTTTTTCTGTTCTTCAGTGTGGGGGTGTGATTAACATTTTTCTTGGCTGTTTTGGTTCCACTTTGGGCTGTTCTTTTGCAGGATCATGTCGAAGCCCAACCTCCGACATCAGTATGTTCAAGACTTGAGAAGGGCGCCCCACCGGGATCGTTTTCAGAACGTCCTGGCCTGCAAGTTTGGGCAGCACCATTACTGGTCGAAGCGCGAGTTGGAAAAGCTCAACTGCTACGAGCACCTCGCCCTCGTTGTCACCAACAAATACTGGCGCCGCCTGCTCAGCATCCGCGCGACGGTTTACCATGAGCTCGTGCTTGAGTTCTACACCACCTTCAGGCACGCAGCCACGGATGATTGGAAGGATGAAGCTGCAGTCCAGTTCCGACTCGGGGGTGAACCACGCTCTATGAGTTACAACGAGCTGGCGGACGCCCTGGGCCTCAACTTGGTAAATGACAGGAACTTCATCACAGAGGTCGCCGAGCCAGTAGGGGTGGACTTCGGGAGGCTGTACTACAGCCTCGCTCGGCCACGTCAGCTTCCCTTCAAGGCGGGCAAGACGAAGGCCACCACATTGCAGCTCGAGAACCGTCTCCTCCATCACCTGCTGGCCAAGTCTTACACCCCCGCCTCAGACAGTGCCAGCGCCATCACCAAGAGATCCCTGTACTTCATTCAGTCCATGCGCCAGAGGGATCATCCCCTGCACTTGGGCTCGGTGGTGGCGAGGACCTTCGAGAAGAGTGCTTCTGAGCTGAAGAGACTACACTGCACTCCTCTCATCACCTGCCTGGCAGAGTATTTCCAGATATCCCTGCAGGGGTGCACGGAGCAGGGAGCGACCACTCCCTTTGGCCGGGCTACGCTCACCAAGATGCTATTGCTTCGTGAAGATCGAGGAGTCATGTGGATCGAGGGGTTTCCTCAACCCCAGATTCCAGAGGCGGTCCAGCAGGAGGCTCCCGAGGGTGCGGCTGATGAGGAGGTCCAGCCCGAGGACGTGGATGACACTGCCGCCCGCCCCACCACCTTCGAGTACGGGGGTAGCAGTTCCAGTTTCCCGGGGCAGGATTACTTCACCTCCCAGTTCGAGCAGCTGCGTCTCCAGAACCAGCAGATCATCGACCATCAGATGCAGTTCCAGCAGCAGTACGCGGCTCACCAGGCCGAGTACCACCAGAGGATGGCGGGTTACGATGAGAGATTGGACCAGCTCCAGACCCAGCAGGGTGTGACTCTCGCCCACATCGAGCGCGAGAGGCGCCGTTCACGGCATATGCAGGAGGTCCAGCAGCATCTGCTCCAGCTGATACCGGGCGAGCAGCCAGTTTGGAGGACTCCCTGGGAGGACTCTCCACTTCCACCTCCCCCAGCGGATGGTGATGATGGTGCTGATGGTGGTGACGCCTTCATGAACGACATCAACTTCGATCTGGACGACCTCGGCGACGAGTAGGCTGTACTCGTTGCCCATCTCAGTGTGTTTTGTTTTTCGTTTTAGACTTGTGTGTGTTTGCTCCATGTGTGAGGAGCTTGAACTTAGTGTCGTTTGTTTTTGTTTTCGGTTTTCTTTTGTGGATTGTTTTTGCTATAGCCGTCTGGGCTAACACTTATCCCTAACGCACATTGTGCTAGTGTGTTCTTGGTGTTCGATTCGTGCAGAACTGTCCATCTTCCCGTTTGTTTCTCGCCGACTGGTCCACTTCCAGTCCCCCAGCAGTTTCAATCCGGTAACATCGTTCCCCTTCTCTATTCCTCTGCTCCATTGAGGGCAATGTCGTGCTTAAGTGTGTGTGTGTGGGGGGGGGGGGTGCTTTGTATCGATTGGAATGTATATATGTGTGCTTGGAGCCTAGTCCACTGTCCAAATCTCGAGATTTGAGGGCTCCAAGTACTGCTGTTTGATCATATTGGCATTGTGTTTTGATTGATGAGTTGAATGGTTTTCGGATTGATGCATGACAGCTTGATTTTGACTAGGACAACCGATGATGAGGACTAAGACGTGCAGTAGAGTGGTGTAGGGGTTCAGTTTTTCAACTGTTTGCTTACCAACTGTGACTTGGATTGATTACTTGTTCTTGACAGTCTCTTATGCATCTAGTTCAGGGTATCAGAATGTGAGATAGAGCATATAGGTAGCCATGTGAGATTTGAGCCTGCTCGTTTCTTTCTTGTGCGATAGATCCCTCTTCCATGATGTGTAGCATTCACGTTGTCACTAGCTAGGATGATGGGGGCATAGGATTAGCCCACGACCAAATTTGACTGTCCTGATGTGTCATATCCCCTAGTCAGCCCTTTGAGCCGTGTGTTATCCTTTCTTTTTGGTCTATAATGGAAAAAAAAATTACCCTGTTTGCATCTTTTAGAAGGTTCCACAGAGTGGTTTTTACATATTCTCTGCTGTTTCTGCTAAATTTGATGTGAGTGTTGGAGGTAGTGCTTAAAAGTTGAGCTGGGCAGGTGTTTGAAATATGTGCAGAAGTGGTGGCTCTCTTAAGAAATGAAAAGAAAATGAAAGAAAAGCAAAGAAAAATTGAAAGCAAAGAGAGCCACTACCAAAAATCTGAATAATGCCCAGTAAGTAGTGTTTCTTAGCAGTCTGGCTTGGAAATGCTGACATTTTTACCTCCTTCGCTCTTGTGCTCTTGAGATATTGAGTAATGCAGAATAGCAGAAAGGAAATACCGGTTTGTTTGACTGTGATTGTTTGGGTTTGGAAATGTGGAACCTTGTGCTATGAATACTTCCACCACCTAAAAGGCCTTTTCCCCATGTCCAAGACCCTAGCCAGTCATTTGAACCTGTGTCTAAGACCTCCTGATTAGTAAGTGGTGACACCCATATGTGAACTCTAGCGTTTAGAGGCTGCCATCATGGTGAAGAGATGTTAGGGATTGAGAGAAATAGCATGCGCATTTTTCGCATCAAATTGTCCTGACCCCACTGGTCGAGAGTGAGTGATTCATTTTCATATTCTATATACTCTTGTACCCCGGTGAGGACCTAGATTGCTCGGTCTCTATTCTGATGTCTTGAGTTGGATGCATGAGTTGACTGTTTTGAGTAAGTGGTTGAGTCAAGTCTAGGTTGGTTGGTGAACAGAAAGGAGACTCTTCCTTTACTCAATTTTGCTGCACTCGAATGTCCTTTGTGGTGGTTGTCCAGGTTGCTAATGAAGTTGCTCATGTGTTGATGTTTGGAAACCAGTTCGATTCACGTGTTCTGTGCCGTTATGACTTGTCCCCAATGTTGATTGATTGAAATATGTAAGCTTACCTTGTGTCTGACTTGGTTTGCTTGGGGACAAGCAAACGGTTAAGTGTGGGGGAGTTTGATAGACCGTTAATTACACATGTTTTTACCCATGTTCTTACACCGTTTGAGATGTGATTTCTCGTGTTTTAGGCCGATTTCACGCTAGGTTGTGCTTGTTTGTGATATTTCAGGTCCTAGTACGTGAATGAAGGCTTGGGAGCGAGCTTGGGGTCGATTGGATGAAGATCGGACGCGTGGCGAGGTACAAAGGAGGCCACACGGGCACACCCACAAATCACATGGCCGTGCAGCTCATATTTCTGGCCGTGTGTGTATTGCCGAGAGCAAACACGGCCTGCCCTGACATTTCACACGGCCGTGTGACAAAGTGCTCTGTCCGTGTGACTTTTGCCGTGAGCATACACGGGCAGATGGAAATCAAACACGGCCGTGCCATCCTGGCCGTGTGAGAAGCCTGAAGATCGAACTTAAGTGATACGGTGCGTTTTGACTCACACGGGCAACTGGGTATGCCACACGGCCGTGTGGCCCTGCCCGTGTGAGTCGGGATTTCCTGGTTTTAACACAATTCCGGGCTGCAAGAGGGGGGATCGAATTCCTTGAGCAAAAACAGAGTTTTAGAGAGAGAAAGTGCGAAGAACTCACCCTAGAAGCCATCTTGGAGCTGGGTTTCATCAAATCAAGCTTGGAGATCGTCCTAGGAGTGGAAATCATCATCCCGGAGCAGATTTTCCTCATCATTATGAGTATGACTACTCCGATTACTGTTTTCTTTTCTCTCTCTTTGGAGTAGAACCTCTCTCTCACTTGGGGATGAAGAACCCTAGTTCTATGTGTTAGGGGATTGATTGTAATGACTTGGGATGATATTACTGTTTGATTATAATCGAATGATGCATGTTTATTGAGTCAATTGAAGTCTGATCAACTTTTCCTGATTCCTGCTGCAATCTGAGATAGATAGAATCTGATTAGGTTGCTAGAGTCTCATCATTCGATAGTAGGAGATTGGCTATACGAGAGTTAGCCAGTTTACTGCTTTGTACTGGAATCTAATTCCAGTAGTGAATTTCTGTTCTTACTGCTTCAGCTTTCTATCCCGGTGAAGACTAGTCGTCTGCCGGGTAGTTAGACTGAGAGGGCTTGGTCAGCTTAAGAGATTCCACGCTACTGTCGGATCTTCCGCAGTTTAATCAACAGTAAATCAACCCAGGGTAAATTGCAATTGAAACCTAACTAAAGAGCTAGGGGGATTCATTCCCGAGTGACTCTTTCCTTCTTAAGAAAACCGAATAATTTCCTGCTTTATTTCTGCTTTTAGTTTAAACAACAATCACTTACTTTAGTTGGCTAGATAACAGAGAATCACTGAGTAAGCAGTAGATCTAGAGCCCGGGTTGATAATATAACTTGCCTGTTACTGCATTCCCGGTCTGCGATTACACTTGGTCGCAGATTGGTGTTGTGTTTTGGCGTGTCAAGGAAATACGCAGTGATAATGGTGGGGAGTTTGTTTCTGAACAATTTAGTGATCTATGTAGTGATAAAGGGATAAACCACACCTTCTCTGCTCCTAGGACTCCCCAACAAAACGGAGTTGTAGAAAGGAAAAATAGAACCATAATAGAAACAACAAGAACAATGCTTCTCGAATATGGTTCTCCTAAGTTTCTCTGGGAAGAAGCTGTAATGACAGCTGTTTATGTGATCAATAGAGTACTAATAAGAAAAATTATAAATAAGACCCCTTATGAAATTCTTAAACAAAAAACACCTACTCTAGGTTATTTTCATCCTTTTGGATGTAAGTGTTACATTCTAAACACTAAAGATCACTTATACAAATTTGATGCAAAATCTGACCAAGCTATATTCCTGGGATACTCTACTAAAGGACAGGCTTATCGTGTCTACAACCTTAGGTCCAAAAGAGTTGAAGAATCTGTTTTTGTCAAGTTTGATGAATCTGTATGTGCTAACAAGAGAGATGTAGAAAGTGTAGAATTTCTGTTTCCAGTATCAAAAGAAGCAGAAGATACAAAGCATAAAGAAGAGAGTATACAAAAAGAGAACAAGGAGGAACCTGAAGAAAGGAATGCTCCTGGGTATACTCAAAGAAGGCATCCAACATCACAAATCATAGGAGATCTTCATGACAAAATTGTCACCAGAGGTAAATACTATCCAGGTCAGTATGCCTTTGTGTCTTTGCTTGAACCCAAAAACTTTAAAGAAGCTTTAACTGATGATGAATGGCTATGTGCAATGCAGGAAGAACTACTTCAGTTTGCTCGATTAAACGTCTGGGAATTAGTTCCCAGGCCCATAGATAGGATGATAATTGGTACTAAATGGATTTTCCGAAACAAAACTGATGAAAATGGACAAGTCACTAAAAACAAAGCCAGACTTGTTGCACAAGGATACACTCAAGAAGAAGGAATTGATTTTGATGAGACTTTTGCACCTGTTGCTCGCATTGAATCAGTTAGGTTGCTTTGTGCTTATGCTAGTTACATGAAAATTCCTCTATTCCAAATGGACGTGAAAAGTGCATTTCTAAATGGCGAAATAAAATAAGAGGTTTATGTAAGTCAACCTCCTGGATTTGTCGATCATCAACATCTAGATTATGTGTTTAAACTAAATAAAGCTCTCTATGGATTAAAACAAGCTCTTCGAGCTTGGTTTGAAAAACTATCCTCGTTTCTATTAAGCAAAAACTTTACACAAGGAAGTGTGGATAAAACATTATTTATTAAGAAAGAAAATTCAGACACCTTAGTTGTAAGAGTGTATGTTGATGATATTGTTTTTGGATCAACTAATCCCTCAATGTGTAAAAATTTTTGTGAATTTATGAAATTAGTATTCGAGATGAGTATGATGGGGGAAACTCTCATACTTTCTTGGACTACAAATTAAACAAACCAATGTTGGAATTTTCATCTCTCAAACTAAATACATCGAGACTATGCTTAAGAGATTTGACATGAATTTTGCTAGCCCTATCACTACTCTTATGGCCACAAATTTGAAACTGGATAAAGATGAATCAGGTATACCCTTTTGTGAAAGAAAATATAGGGGCATGATAGGATCCCTTCTCTACCTTACTGCTAGTAGACCCGTTATCCAATATTGTGTAGGATTGTGTGCTAGATTTCAATCTCAACCTAAGGAAAGTCATTACAAAGCCATAAAACGAATTTTTAGATACCTCAAGGGAAGCACTGAAGTAGGACTGTGGTATCCCATCACAAATTCTTTCGAGTTAGTTGGTTACACTGATTCAGATTTTGGAGGAAGCCTAGTCGATAGACAGAGTACCTCTGTAACCATACAATTTTTAGGTCCTTCACTAGTGTCCTGGTTCAGTAAAAAACAAGGAGCAGTTGCCTTGTCCACTGTTGAGGCTGAGTATGTGGCTGCTGGAAGTTGTTGCACCCAACTTCTTTGGATGAAATCTCAATTATTAGACTATGGTTTCGAACTAAAAAACATTCTTGTGTATTGTGACAACACAAGCGCAATATGCATGACTAAAAATCCAGTACAACACTCAAGAACCAAACACATCGAAATTAAGCATCATTTTATTCGTGATCTAGTTCAAGCAGGTCACATAAATCTGCAATTCGTTTCAACTGAAAATCAACTAGTTGACCTACTCACTAAGCCTCTTCCTAGCGATAGGTTTATTAAATTATGTACTTAAATTGGTTTAAGATCTTTCAGTCAGATTAAAAATCTCAAAAGATGAGAATCCCATTGGGTTACTACGGTCTCGGTGTTGCTTGTCTCGTTAACTTCAAACTTTTTATCTTTTTACCCACGCTTGCTGTTTTTCAAGAAAAACTTTTACATGATGTTATGATTAGATCTGCTTTAGACGTTTCCTCTTCTCCTCCTCCACTAAGTACGAGTTCTATTTAAAGAACATATTGCCTCACCTTCTCATTCACCTCACCTCATCAAACACCTTGCTATCCCATAACTACCAAACCAAATGAGTGACCATCTGCCTCGCCCCTTTCGTTTTGACGGCCTTGTTCATACTTACCCTGGATACATGTTTTATGAGCCAGTGGTCATCAACCGTCATCGTTATCTCCAACACTTTGAGAATAGGAGGCTTCACCATGTCACTCAAATAGATCCGTATGAGTTTAAGATCTACAAGGTGGAGGTTGTTTCGTTGATAGAAGGACTGGGGTGGGGATACCTTCTTAGACAACCTTTGCACCCAGCCTGTCCAGGAGAAGTGAAGTATTTTTACTCAAATCTCCGCTCTCAAGGAGTAAGCTCAAGGAGCTTCACCATTGTGGTGTATGGTCATCTCCTTACCATTCCTGCTAGAGCACTCAGTGCTATTCTTGGTTTTCCTTCAGAAGGCCTGGACATTGCTCACCTGAGTTTTGGAAAAGGAGTTTAACATTGGCGTTGAGTATGCCAACTTCTCAACCGAACCAACTGGTGGTTCTAATGTTCCCATTCCATCAGCTGGCTGCCACCTCGTCTGAGAGTGTTCCATTACTTTTTAACCCATGTCTTCTTTCCTCGCTCCTTCAATCTTGATCGAGTGCTCCCCATGGATCTCTGGATCATTGCAAGCGCTACTGCAAGGCAAAAGTTGGACTACTCAATCCTCCTCTCCAGCCATCTCCTTCCTGCTGGAGATGAGCACTTTCAGGGTTTATTATCCTTTGGTTCGATCATCACTCACATGCTCATCAACCTGGGAATCGATCTCTCGGAGCTTCAAAGTGTTTCATCAACCATGTATGTCAGCGCCCTGAATGTTCTCATGGTGCTTGATCTTCCAACAGATGTCTCTCCTCCTCCTCAACCCTCAGCATCAATTCTTGGTCCTCGTCCTGAACCTACCTATGTCAAAAAGACCCAATATGCCGGCGAAACTAGCAACGCTGGAGGACTGGTGTTCACTGTGTCTGATGGAAATTCCTCCTCAAACAATTTTGCTGCCTCTGCTCCTTAGTTATGGTATTTAGGGGGAAGTTAGTTTTTAGGTTGCATCAGTAGAATCATCTTTTGTACCGCAAGCTTTGATCTTGCCTTTAGAAGTAGTCTCATGCTAAGGGGGAATCTATGCCATTCCCTCTCTTTTGTTTTCATGTCTCTGAACATGACTCACTACTGATGTACCTTTTTCGTTTCAATGCAATATGTTTTATTCTCTTGCAAGAATGGTCTCTGGTGTTCTTTTTTGCCTTGTTTCAGGTTTCTTCCTGACTTCTCGGACGAAGGAAGAAATTGTTGAACAAAACGGTGTCACAGCCCGCTCGCGCTAAAATGGTGTCGTTCAGACCACATAGAGAAACGACAGCGTTACACATCCAATTCACCAACACACACCGTTTCGATCCATCGTCCATCAAAGTCGTTCCTTGAGCTTACCAACATCAGCACTCACCGCCTTCTCCTCCATCTTCAGAAAAGTGCCTCGTGCTTCTCCACAGTCCGCTCCTCCTAGTTCATCTCTGCCGCCTCTCTACTAGAAGATCATGATTACCAGAAGGAGACGCTGCACTGGATTTCCCACTCTTCAGGTCTATTAGCTAACGTTCAATTGTCTGTATGTACTATAGAGTCTAGGAGTAGAACTTAATTAGGTCCTTGACGGTTGCAGAATAGAATCGGGATTGATCTTCTGTCTGTATTGGGTCCTAAGTTTTTCTTCAGTAGCTCTCGTCACAGTGTCTGAAAACTGGGTGACTTGAACTTGGGAAGTTGTGTGTGAGAATTGTTTTCCAAAGAGCCAACTTGTAAAAGTGTATTTCCTTTGTAGCCTTCCAAATTTTCCAATTCGTAGAGGGGATTAGGTATGTTTTTTCTCTCGTTTAGCGAGAGTTTCGGAGCTAGGGTTCCTGAGGAGCGACTATAGGTTTTTTCAACCATTGGGTTGACAGAGGTGACGATTAGTCTCTAGTCTTCTAGTTTAGATAGTTTCTGTTTAAGATTATCATTGAGCTAGATCTGTATTCGCCTCGTGTGATACAGATCTCTGAGTGAGAGTTTCCAAGAAGTATTATTCTGTGGACTTCGAGGGTCTCGTCTTACGGAACCCTAACTTGCCTCAAGCAGTTAAGGGAGAGGGAGTGATCTTTTTGTTGACGTCCTTTCTGGTGATTCCTTGTGTTGGTTTCGATGGAGGAATTAGAAAATAACAATGAAGCAACAGAGAAGGGAACTCCTTCCACAGAGGAGTTGACAGAAACACAGATTCAAGAGGGTATTACAAAAAGTATTGAAAATCAGATTGAGATGATTAAACTGACGGAAGATGAAGCGCTGGTAGTAGAGGATGAAGACATTGATTCGACAATCGTCCAAGCTGTGAGCCTTTTAGGGCTAACGTGCAGATACGTGTCCCCCAAGAAACCAAACCTGAAATCCATGAAAATAGCGTTATCGAAAGCTTGGAATCTACAACAGAATTTCCAAATATCAAAAGCATGAGATCAGCTATTTGGTTTCCAATTTATGAACAAAAACGACAGAGATAAGGTACTTAGAGGGGGTCCTTGGCATTTTGAGAATAACTTACTTATCTTTATGCAAGCAGATGCGTTCAAGCAACCTAATCTCGAAGACTTTTATGTTATGGAAATATGGATTCAAATCCATAGTATCCCTGCCGCCCTGCGCACAAATGAGATGATACATAAGATTGGAGCAAGGTTTGGTAAACTCATATGGATAGACAGCATAAGAGAGAATGCATGGAACGATGTGTTGCCTATAAGGGTGGGGATAGATATTCGTACTCCCCTGAGAAAGGAACTGAAACTCAACCTCAAAGGCACAATTCGGACGTATGAGGTAAAGTATGAAAAGATCCCCATGTACTGTTTCTCTTGTGGGTTACTAGGGCATCCAAAACTCACCTGCCCCAACCCCCCACTAGATGGAAAGGACCTAGTTGGGCCAGAACTGAGAGTGAACATGGCAAAAATAAAACCCTGGCAGAGCAGACTTGAGAGGGAAGAAGATGGGGATTTGTGGCAGGCACTGAGGACTAAATTCGACAGAGAAGTGGTCACATCCAGAATGCAAATTGAGGAGGCTGAACAGAGGAAAAGGATGAGGATGATAGTTTGGTTGCAATAGAACGAAGAATGATGATTCAAGAAGAACTTAACTAGTCTGGGTAAAGAACAAGTGAAGGGGAGTGGAGAAAATGTAGCAGAGGTGACATTCCAACGGGCAGAAAACTCAGCTGGGAACACCCTTTCGAGCATAACCACTCTAGAGTTCAATCATGGGCTAATGACAACTAAGGAGACACAAGGGAAGAAATCGAATAACTGGAAACGACAACAAAGGGAGGTCTCAAATCAAAGAGCAGTTGAGCATATTCAATTAACCCCTAAAAAACGGGGTGTTGCTAGTAATGATATGGAGGAAGCAGCTGACTCTCCTAGCAAAAAACAGAAGATTGATGAAACAAAACCTCTATTGGATGGTGAAGTGGCGGACCCTGCACAAAAGCAGGGCCGCCCAGCCCAATGAATATCCTAAGATATAATTGACGGGGTTTGGGGAGTCCCCTGGCAATTAAGAGAGTGGGGCAGCTGCTCCAAAGACAAAACACCACGATAGCCTTTCTCATGGAAACAAAAAAGCAGGAGAAGGAGTGTGAGGAAGTGATCAGAGAGCTCGGATGGGAAAAGGGGAAAGGTATAGGTTCGATAGGAAGAGCGAGAGGTTTACTAATGGTATGGAAACCATACATACAGGTGGTGGTCAAATCTAAGTCAACAAACCACATCGATGTTTGTGTGACTGATGGAAGAGGACAGTGGAGACTAACGGGCATTTACGGGTGGCCAGAACAGGATAACAAACATATGGCGTGCACCCTACTACGGCAACTACGAGATATAACTGATTTACCATGGCTAGTTTGTGGTGATTTCAACTTGATTCAAAGTTATGAAGAGACAAATGGCTTAAACTTAGCAAATGTCCATGAAATAGATATGTTCAACGACGCCCTAGAAGATTGTGAACTTGAAGACCTCGGTTATTATGGGAAGACATTCACGTGGGATAATAACCATACTGATGACACTTACCTGGAGGAGCGTTTGGACAGAATGGTAGCAACAGGCTCCTAGCAGGATGTTATTCCCACATGCACGAGTTCATCACTTAAGAAGATGTGGATCAGACTACTCTCCCATCTACCTGCAGACACAATTGGTCGATAACAACATTAGATGGGGAAGGAACTTTAGATATGAGACTTTCTGGCAAAAACATGATGAATGTAAACAAGTTATTTCGGAAGGTTGGACTGAGGCTCAAGGGGCATCTCTCCTGGATAAAATTAAATTGTGTGAAAGCAAACTGGTTCGATGGAGTAAAGAGACTTTTGGGGATCTTAGGGAAAGAAAAAGGAAGGCTGGAAGAGCTTTAGAAATTCTGGAGAAAAGAAAGAAGAATGCAGCTATTATAATTCAAAGGAGGGCAATTGAAAGGGAGATCCATGAGATTCTGATGCAAGAGGAGATGATCTGGAGACAAAGATCCCGAGCGGATTGGTTGCAAGGAGGGGACAAGAATACAAATTTCTTTCATAGGAAAGCCTCTGATAGACGAAACAGGAATACCATTAGCAGACTGGTTGATGAGAATGGAGGGATAAGGGAGGGACAGGTAGAAGTTTCGAAGTGCTTAACTAACCATTTCAAATCTCTTTTTACTACAGGTAATCCAGTCCCTATAAGCAAGATTTTGTAAGTAGTCCCTAACAAAGTCACAACAGAAATGAATGAAGAGTTGCTGAAACCCTTCAAAGCTGAGGAAATTTGGAATGCATTGAAACAAATGGGATCTCACAAGGCACCAGGGGAGGATAAGATGTCAGCATTTTTCTTTCAGAAGAACTGGGAAACTGTGGGATAGGACGTGGTTAATGAACTTCAGCACTATCTAAACACAGGCACATTCCCTCAGCCTCTTAATCACACGCTGTTGGTGTTAATCCCAAAGAAGAAGACAACGAAAACTCCAAGGGATTACCGTCTTATTAGCCTTTGCAGGGTTCTATACAAGATTCTATCTAAGGTTCTGGCAAACAGGCTTAAACACATTTTGCCTGATGTGATCACTGAATTCCAAAGTGCATTTGTCCCTAAGAGACTCGTTACAGACAATGTGATAGTGGCTTTTGAATGTTTCCACTCTATGAAAGAAAGGTTTTATATCGGCTAAACTGGATATCTCCAAGGCGTATGACAGGGTGGAGTGGGGTTTTTTGGAGTCCATTATGAAGAAGCTGGGGTTCGATGAGAGATGGGTGGCGTTGATAATGACCTGTGTTACCACAGTGTCCTACTCTATACTCCTCAATGGTCACAAGACCGAAATTTTTACTCCTACGAGGGGTCTGAGGCAAGGGGATCCTATATCCCCCTACCTTTTTCTATTCATCGCTGAGGGACTGTCTGCCCTCCTTGCTAAGGCTGAAAGGGAGAAAAGAATTGAAGGAATAAAGGTAAAGCGAGGAGCCCCCTCCATTTCACATTTACTATTCGCAGATGATAGTGTTTTATTTGTGAAGGCATAAAGGTCTGAATGTGAACAGTTGCGTGCCATACTAAATGTCTATGAGCAGGAATCAGGTCAAAAAGTCAATCTTGATAAGTCAGAGGTCTCATTCAGCCCTAATGTGGACGAGAACAAGAGACAAGAGTTAGCTGCAATTCTTGGCATGAAGAAAGTGGATTACCATACAAAATATCTGGGCCTCCCTAATGTTATAGGCAGAAGAATGAAGGAAGTGTTTAGCTACCTAGTTGACAGAGTCTGAAAGAAGGTGAAACTATGGAAGGGAAAGTTGCTATTGTTTGGTGGGAAGAGGTTCTTATTAAGGCAGTGGCTCAAGCACAAGTTATCTATGCTATGCAAGTTTTTCTCATACCAATCTCTATTACACAAGAAATTCAAAGCCTGGTTTCTAACTTCTGGTGGGGGCAAAAAGATTTTGAAAGAAGGACTCACTGGGTTAGATGGCAAGATCTTTGTCGCCCTAAGAAACAAGGGGGACTCGAATTCAGGAACCTATACGAGTTCAACTTGGCTCTTTTAGGGAAACAACTCTGGAATCTAATCCAAAATCCCCAGTCATTGGTGGCCAAAGTCATGAAAGCTAAGTACTTTCCCTCCCGAGAGGTGCTGGAAGCTGAGGAGGGGTACAATCCTAGTTATATATGGAAAAGTATTCTAGCTGCTAAGAACCTAATGAAGGAAGGCCTAAGATGGAGAATGGGAGATGGAAGCAAAGTGGACATTTGGCAAGATAAATGGGTTCCTAGCTCAGAAAATTACAAAGTAATCTCCCGTCTCTAATTTTGCCCCACATACCTCAGTAAGCGAGTTGATGGATGTAGAGTCGAGAACGTGGAACCAAACTATTCTACAAATTCATTTTCTTCCTCAAGACAGACTGAACATTATGAAAATCCCTATCCCAAGACAGCCAACTAGGGATAGGAGGATCTGGAGCCAAGAGAGGTCTGGTATCTATTTAGTAAGATCGGCCTATAAATTCCTACGTTGCAGGCAAGAGGCAGAAATCGGAGAGTTCTATTCCCGAATTAATTGGGAGCAGATATGGAAACTTGGATTACCCCCCAAAGTTAAAGTTTTTGCGTGGAGATGGATCTGTAATATCTTGCCCACTGGGGCAAATGTGTTGAAAAGAACAACGAAAGGATGCGAAGAATGCCCCTTTTGTGGCCAAAAGGAGACCCAAAACCACATCTTCTACAACTGTGATTGGGTAAGGAGGGTATGGCGCCCTAGTGCTCTAAATCACTGTTTTGAGAAGGGGGATGAAATGACCTGTGAAGATTTGATGGCAAGTCTTCAAGAGACTGAATCTGATGAGATGATTGCTCAATTCCTGACGGCTCTTTGGTTTATCTGGGAAGAACGAAGTTGTCAACAATGGAATAAAAAGAAAAGGGAAGAATTCGAGATTATGGGGAAAGCTGAAAGATGGTTGTTGGAATACCTTGAATATCAGTGCGCGACGACGTCGACTGGACCCAGACAGGCGATTCGATGGAAACTGCCGGACAGAGCAGACTTCAAGATCAATGTCGATGTCGCCACCTTCGCCGGAGCAGGAACTGGTTTGGGGGTGGTTATCCGTGACAAAAATGGAGGGTTTTGCCTGGCCGGGGTGCGGAGATCGCGAATTCAATGGACGGCGGATCTGGCGGAGATTCAGGCTATCAAATTTGGTCTGGAGGTAGCGATTGAGAATGGCTATCGACCGGGAGAGATTGAAACCGATTGCCTAAGGGTGGTGCAGCAGATCGGGAAGGAAGAAGAGTCGATAACGGAGGAAGGGGAAGAATGTGAAGAAATGAGGGTTAAGCTCGCTGGTTTGAGCGGAGACTATTCGGTTAGATTCTCGGGTCGGGATAGTTACCGGGCGGCTCATATAATGGCCCATACCCAATGTGGGTGGGATGAGATGAGACTGAGATTTGGGCAGATAGGCCCCCTATCTTTCTAGTAAACCAACTCATTTCTGATACCTGTAATATTTCGCATTAATGAACTAATACATGTCTTTTTAATAATAATAAAAAAGAGCCAACTTGTTTGGCTCAACGTAGATTTCGTTTTATCTTTCCGTAGTTGAATTTCTCTTCAATAAAATTTCCTTTTCATTCTTTTAGTTTGAGTGTTTCAATTAGAGCGTTTTAATTCCCACTATATCCCTTCTGAATTCACACAACGTTGATCAGGAAGCTCTCCCAGTGAGACGGGCGGTCGGGTTCGGGCTGGAAGTTGGGGACGGGGCGCCAGTGACCCGTGGTAAGGTCGGGTTGTTGAAGGTCAGCCATTTGACTGATGCGCTTGCCGGCTGAGGCCCATGGGCTTGCTGTTGATGGAAGGCCCATAGCTGTTTCGAAAATGCTGGGACTGGGATTGGGCTTGTCGGAAATATTTATCATCTGCCTATGAAAAAAAATTGTAAGAAGATTTTTCAAGGTGGGAAATTTTGTTGAATAGGAGGACATTGTTTTTTCTTTCCATTTCTTAAATATAATGTAAAATGTTCATTATTCATCTATTGTAAGATACATTCATATAAAATTATGAATAAGAAAATGCCAAAACTTGACAATGTTGTTGTTGTGTATAGGTCGGGCTTTCTTTCAAGTGTTATTGTGAGTACATTCGACTTTTTATAGGAATATTTTTACTTGTCCAGCTTATCCGGTAAATGTTCAATTATATCATGTCACAATGGAATGGATGGTAGTTAGTTTCAATGGTTGGGCATAGAACTTAACCTTGCAGGTTTTTGTGTTGATGTTGTTTTCAACAGACCAAGCGACAACCTTAGAGCTCATCTATCAGAACTCAGAAGCTAAGATTCCTAGCCTTTTCCAACAGGTTTGATGCTGGAGATTGGAGAAGGGATGGGCCATATCTGTGATTTTGACAGTGTCTTTCCAAAATTTGTGAATGGTGGTACTAGAGGTCCTCTACACTCTAACCCCTCGAGTCATCTTTTGTATAGATTCACATCGTAGGTTGGAGTTTAGAACAGGGTCATACTTCATACTCTTTCATCTATGATTTAATTTTACGGAGAAGGGGATAGTCCATATCTGTGATTTGCAAATTTTGTAGGTTAAGAAGACGAGTTTCAGAGCTGCAGTAGGTCCCTGCCTCAAGTAATTCAAACTCCAAACCCATGATTTCCTCAGCTGAACAGCACGTTTCAGCTTCTCCTCTGCCATGCCCACGAGGTCATAACGAAAGCTCCCGAATTCTTTCAACCACGACGTAGAATCCATTTTTGCCAACAACAACAACACCAAAAAAAAACAGCTGATACAAATATAGTCAACGGTTGACGCAATCAGGCAAAACGATGAATCGAAAATGGCCGATTGCCTGGAAGGCGACCGGATTTGTTTGATGTGAGAGAAGGGTCTCTAGGAAGGCTAAATCCTATGCGCTTCCCCTCTTCTCTCCCTTCTCAGATAAAAACAATTTGCCGGGAAGAAAATGCGGGAAAGGAGAAAAATGGGTCTTTTAAGGGATGCGGAAACGAGGGAAAATGTGAGAAGCTCGGTAAGCAGATGTGTTGACGGGAGGCAACAACCGGCCAGTAAACCTCTTGTAATGGGATTCGATTTGGCTACAGCCGATTAGGCAAACATCAAGAGAGAGGCGATTTCGATTTCTCGCGCCTTCGCTTGGTACATGTAGCCGTCAGAAAAACTTGCAACCAGATTGAAAAAAACACAATAAGAACAGAGCAGAAATGATTAGAAACTCAAACGTAGATCTAAGGTTTCATGTAAAGCTTTCATCTTTGGTAATGGGTACGCCGCTCTCGCTTGGCGGCTTTTATAAGGAGGGATGAACGTCTCTAACCCTAGATTGTTCCGTTTCCAAGGAGGGTGATCTCGGCCGCACATCTTATTTTTAGAGAGGCTGTTGAAACTCCTCTGCTGTTTTACCGGATTTTTGGCGCAAAACGGTTAGATCAGTAGGATGTTGGCCTTCTGGTTCAAAATCTGGATATATGTTAAGTGGCTTATAATTTGTTTACGCATAGATGATTTCGTGTGTTCACTCACAGATTCTCCATGGATTTTGTTGGGGCAATTATTAAGGCATATGGCCCTCCAAGCCCACGATCACTAAAAGGCCCAATAAAGCAAACAAGCCCAATCCAGGAGATTAGGAGGCGGTCTATCTGTCCTCCTCATGAAGACCGCCCGACATATAACGGAAACAAAGCAGGACGCCCGACAGAGGGCATGTACGGCGTCCTGACAACGAGGTACGAATACTGACCAAAGTACAGGTCTGACCAGGCCTTTATGGGAAACCAGAGGTGTAAGCCCAATTCCCGTAGGTCACTAGGGAATAATTGTGGCCCAAGTGTAATTATCACTTAATGATTTAATATATAAGGTAAATCCTATATTGATTAGGTTAATGAAAGGTAAATTCCTAATATGCCCTGATGGTGGGTCTATATAAAGAAGCTCTAGGATTGGTCCTCTCTCAACCCATTACGTAGAATTTCTTAGCCATCACAGAAATCTCTAAACCTAAAACCTAAAGGGGTCAAGAGGGAGAAACTCAATTCCGGTGATTACTACTCCAGCGCCGCCGCCGCTCTCGTCATGGATCGAGGTAGGTTTTCCCGATCTATTATCGATTCGTGAAATCATCTAATTCTAAGATCCATGCTATTATGATCTATGTTTACATGTGGTATCAGAGCCTTAGGGTTTATATGAATAGATGATTTTCGCTTACGTATTTTATTTCCGCTGCATCTGTGCGCCGAGCTCTGCGTATGAGAGCCATTATGCTTCGGCTGGCTGTGATTATTAAGTCCTTGTGAAAATTCCATTATACACAAGCTCTGCGTAGTTTAAATTCTATTTTACATTGATGCTACCTTTTGATCGAGGGATTGTCGAGCAATTGGATTGGTCTGCCCAACAAAAGCAGCTCCCTGCTCCCAACTGCATAATCATGGTTGCATGTTACGTTCCTTATAATACTTGTGTTTGGGAGGACAGGCTTGATGGTAATTATCATAATAGAATAGAAACCCATCAGTTGAAACCAATTGCTTCCGTGAGCTTCTCAACACATAATTGCTTCTGTGGGTGCAATTATATATCTTTGATCAGTAGGATTGATGATTGATCAGTTAAGTAATTATTATAATAAAATAAAAATAAAAAACATTAATGAAACAAGTTTTGTGTATGTGTTTTGAGAATTATAATTAACAATTGCTTTGACTTAGTTAAATTATGTCTTTGATATCTATGTTATGATTAATTTGTTAGTCACCAAAGTGGCCAAATTAGAAGGTTTATAGATATCAAGTTGAATCAAGTTCAACTACTAATATTTATGTGATGCTTTAAAGTTAAAGTTCATGATTATAAAATATTTTCGAATCACCCAAAGGTTGATTGCTCGTTTTATAATTCATGAACATTATTGTGGTAAATTGATGTGCTTGGTTAGATATATTTAGTATATCCAAAGATTGCAAGTATATCTAATTTGAGTATGTCTATCACCAATTATATGATTATTTTGAGCATCAATTACGATTATTTATCGCATATATATTGTTGTTTTGCCCAAAGGTAGCACCAATATATGTTTTATGTTTATGCTTCCGAATCTATATTATAGTTTATGCTTATTACCCAAAGCATTAATGTGTGAGTACATGTTATGTATGTTTGCAGCATCTGTTCCTGTTTCTCTTCATTCGCAAGCCACGTCTGTTGTTAAGTTTAATGGCCTCAACTTCTCTGAATGGGCTGAACAGGTTCAGTTTCACCTTGGTGTTCTGGATCTTGATTTGGCACTCTTAAGTGAGAAACCTGCTGCTCTTACTGATGCTAGCAGTGCTTAGGAAAAGTCTTTCCATAAAGCTTGGGAAAGATCTAACAGACTAAGCCTAATGTTTATGCGAATGACTGTAGCAAACAACATTAAGTCAACTTTCAATGATACTGAAAGTGCTAAGGAATTTATGCATTCCGTGAAAGAAAGCTCTCAATCTGAGTCTGCTGATAAGTCGCTTGCTGGGACACTAATGGGTACGCTAACCACCATGAAGTTTGATGGTTCTCGTACCATGCATGAGCATATCGTCGAAATGACAAACATTGCAGCAAGACTAAAGACCATGGGAATGGAAGTGAATGAAAATTTCCTAGTAACGTTCATCCTTAATTCCTTACCTCCAGAGTATGGCACATTCCATGTGCATTACAATACTCTAAAGGATAAATGGAATGTGCATGAGTTACAAAGCATGCTCATTCAAGAGGAAGCAAGGCTTAAGAAACCAGGAAATCATTCTGCCAATCTTGTTGGTCATAAAGGAGCTGGAAAGAAACCATGGAACAAGAATGGGAAGGGCAAGGAAGGACTATCAAAGCTTAATGAGTCATCTGCCAAAATCCACAAGAAGGAACCAAGTAAGGATATATGCCGCTTCTGTAAGAAAGCCGGGCATTATCAGAAAGATTGCTTGAAAAGAAAGGCATGGTTCGAAAGAAAGGGTAAGCCTAGTGCTTCAGTATGTTTCGAATCAAATTTAACTGAGGTTCCTTTTAATACTTGGTGGGTTGACACTGGTTGTACCATTCATGTTTCCAAAACGATGCAGGGATTCCTTACGACCCAAACCATAAGGCAAAATGAGAAGTTCATCTATATGGGAAACCGAGCCAAAGTTCCAGTTGAAGCTATTGGGACTTATCGTTTGGTTTTAGATACTGGTCATCATTTGGACCTTGTCAATACCCTTTATGCTCCTTCTATTTCTCGTAATTTGGTTTCGGTGTCTCAACTGGATAAGGCTGGGTATTTTTGGAACATTGGAAATGGTTCTATTAGTTTGTTCAAACAGAATGTTTTATTGGGTTCTGGTACCCTTGTTGATGGTTTGTACAAACTAAAGCTTGATACCCTATTCGCTGAGACTCTCTTAACCTTGCATCATAATGTTGGTATTAAACGTGGTTTGTTTGATGAATCCTCTGCTTACTTGTGGCATAAACGTTTGGGTCACATATCCAAAGAAAGAATGGAAAGGCTAGTAAAGAATGAGATCCTTCCTCATTTGGATTTTACTGATCTTGGAATTTGTGTTGAGTGTATTAAAGGAAAACACACAAAACGCACACTTAAGAAAGCAGCCACAAGAAGCTCACAGCTCCTTGAATTTATACACACTGATATTTGTGGGCCTTTTGATGTTCCATCACTTGGTGGAGAAAAGTATTTCATTACCTTTATCGATGATTTTTCACGTTATGGATATATCTATTTGCTGCATGAAAAATCTCAGTCGGTAGATACCCTTGAGGTGTTTATCAATGAAGTTGAGAGGCAATTAGAAAGAAAGGTGAAAATTGTCAGATCTGATAGAGGTGGAGGATATTATGGAAAATATGATGAAAGTGGACAGTGCCCTGGTCCATTTGCTAAGTTCCTAGAAAGACGTGGTATTTGTGCTCAATACACTATGCCAGGAACACCGCAACAAAATGGTGTTGCAGAAAGGCGGAATCGTACTTTAATGGATATGGTTAGGAGTATGTTAAGCAACTCATCTTTACCCAAATCATTGTGGATGCACGCTTTAAGGACCGATGTGTATTTGTTAAACAGGGTTCCTAGTAAAGCAGTTCCTAAGACACCTTTTGAACTGTGGACGGGAAGGAAACCCAGTTTAAGGCACCTGCATGTTTGGGGTTGCCCAGCGGAAGTGAGAATATATAATCCACATGAAAAGAAACTGGACTCACGAACAATCAGTGGTTTTTTCATTGGTTATCCAGAAAAATCTAAGGGGTATCGATTTTATTGCCCTAACCATAGTACGAGAATTGTTGAAACTGGAAATGCTAGGTTCATTGAGAATGGTGAAGTTAGTGGGAGCTTAGAGCCACGCAATGTGGAAATTCAAGAAGTTAGAGTGCAAATATCTTTACCTCTACCCTCTTCTCAAGTTGTTGCTCCTGCACATGTTGAGCATGATAACGATTTGCAGGAACAACAAATGAACGGTCAAGCACCACCTAATATTGCTATTGAGAATGAACCTAACATAGATGAACCACATGAAATCGCATTAAGAAGGTCTACAAGAAATCGAAGGCCTGCAATTTCTGATGATTATGAGGTTTATCTTCACGAGTTAGAATCTGATTTAGGACTCTATCATGATCCAGTTTCATTTTCACAAGCCATGGAAAGTGAGCATTCTGATAAATGGTTAGCTGCCGCGAAAGAAGAGATGAAATCTATGTATAAAAATGAAGTTTGGGACCTTGTTGATTTGCCTGAAGGTTGTAAACGAGTTGGTAATAGATGGGTCTGGAAGACCAAACACGACTCTAATGGCAATATCGAAAGACACAGGGCCAGACTTGTTGCCAAAGGTTTCACTCAGAAAAGTGGTGTTGACTATAAAGAGACATTTTCACCCGTCTCTAAGAAAGACTCCTTAAGGATTGTCATGGCAATGGTAGCTCATTATAATCTAGAGCTCCATCAGATGGATGTGAAAACCGCCTTTCTGAATGGGAATTTAGATGAAGCAGTCTATATGGATCAACCTGAAGGTTTTGTTGTTGAGGGAAAAGAACATATGGTGTGTAAATTAAAGAAGTCAATATACGGACTTAAACAAGCTTCCCGACAATGGTATATTAAGTTCAATGATACCATTACATCTTTTGGATTTAAGGAGAACATCGTCGATCGATGTATATATCTGAAGATTAGTGGGAGTAAGTTTATAATTTTAGTTCTGTATGTTGACGATATCTTGCTTGCTACAAATGATCTTGGTTTATTACATCAAACCAAGGAGTTTCTCTCTAAGAACTTTGAAATGAAGGATTTGGGTGAGGCATCCTATGTGATTGGAATAGAAATATTTCGTGATAGATCACAAGGACTGTTGGGATTGTCTCAGAAATCATACATTAACCGGATCCTAGAGAGATACAACATGGCTGAATGCTCTGCAAATGTCGTTCCAATTCAGAAGGGAGATAAATTTAGTCTCAAACAATGTCCAAAGAATGAATTGGAACGCAAGCAAATGGAACACATTCCTTATGAATCTATTGTTGGAAGTTTGAATTATGCACAAACTTGTACCAGACCAGACATCAGTTTTGCTGTCGGAATGCTGGGCAGGTATCAAAGTAATCCAGGAGTAGATCATTGGAAAGCTGCAAAGAAGGTACTAAGGTATCTACAAGGAACAAAAGACCACATGCTCACCTTTAGGAGATCTGATCACCTTGAGGTGATTGGATATTCAGATTCAGATTATGCTGGATGTGTAGACACCAGGAAGTCTACTTTTGGCTATTTGTTCCTTCTAGCCGGAGGGGCAATTTCATGGAAGAGTGCGAAGCAGTCTGTTATTGCCACATCCACTATGGAAGCTGAATTCATAGCTTGTTATGAAGCTACAAATCATGGTTTATGGCTGCGGAATTTTATTTCTGGACTTGGAATTGTCGACACTATCGCCAAGCCGCTGAAAATTTACTGTGATAATTCCGCAGCGGTATTCTTCTCTAAGAATGACAAGTATTCGAAGGGTGCTAAGCATATGGAGGTGAAATACTTTGTCGTTAAGGAAGAAGTTCAGAAACAAAAGGTGTCGATCGAGCATATTAGCACACAGCTTATGATTGCTGATCCATTAACAAAAGGATTGCCTCCTAAGACATTTACTGAACATGTCGAAAGGATGGGGATTATAGGACGTCATGACTAAAGTTATTTTATGTTTCATGGATTGACACTTTGAGCTCATTTATTTTGTTTCTGGAATATAGTTATGAATCTTGTTTTATTTATTATGACCAGTATATATACATTATGCATTATGAGAACAAAACAAGATTTTTGTCTTTAGTGAAGACATTATTGTTGGACCATTATGACTACCTTGTTATGCGTCATATTGAGCATGAGACTGGTTTAGTGGTACATGGAAGGGACTATGTCGATAAATTGATACAGAACCGCCATGATCCTAATCTAGCTTTCATACTTTATTATGACTTTATGGTAAACCAAATATTATGGATTTATCTTAGGGTTAATACTCTAGTTTGGCCCGAAGTTTAGCGTTAGTGACCGTTCTGGCCCCATTTTTCAAATATGACATTTATGGCCTACTTTTGAAATTATTAGACAAATTTGGCCTATGATTTAAATTGACCGTCAAAATTAACGGTCAACTATTTTTCCGTCAGTGACTGAGCATCAAAATGCTGAGGTGGATCCGAGATAACTGCCACATCATTTTTTTAGGTTGAAAAAATCTTAAAACAAAATAAAACAAAAAAACCAAAATCCAATCTTCACCCTAACTCCCTCCCCTCACGACCCAATTCACTACCCTCCCCACCCAATGGATTTCCTAAAATCTTCACCCATCCTCCCTACCCATCTCGCCACCATTTCCATCTCTAGCTACCTCCATTCCATCTTCCCTGACCTTTTTTTTGTCCGTCCGCTTCTGTTGCTGCTCACTCGAGATCCCGTCCACAAGATCACAAGCCGATGCTCTCTGTCTGTCCTTATTTCTCTCCTCCTCGGGCTCAAGACGGTTCCTCTTCCGCGGAGGCAATGGGAGCGCTGACGGTGCAACGCGCGTGTTTGGTTCGATGATGGAGAGAAAGAAGAGAGGGAAGGGGATGGATTGTCGGATCTCCCTGTCCCAGATCTGCCGATCTCGTTGTCGAACCATTAGGCGGCAAGGTGATCCAAGGGAAGAAGAAACAACCAGAGATTATGGCGACAGAGGCGAGCTAGCTTGGACAGCACCGACGCGTCCTGGGTGGCGTCAACGTTGGGGATTGTCTCGAATCGGCGGCGGCGGGTTTGGCAAGAGCACGGCGGCGGCGGGTTTGGAAAGAGCACGACGGCGCTGGGTTCATTTGTTTAGGGCATCGATTTGGCGAGGGGAGAAGAAGACGGCGGGCGGCGGCACTGGGTATTGTTAGCGGCGATTTGGCTGGGGAGGGGCTGGTGGTGGGTCTCTAATTATTTAGGGTTATGTGTATTTGGGGAGGATGATGGAGAAAGAAGATGAGGAAGGGGAAGAGTGGTCCGTGCCCCTTCTCTCTCTCTTTTTTTTTTTTTTTTGCTTTTTATTTTATTTTAAATAATAATGACTTGTTTTGGTAAAAATAATGATGTGTACACATCCAGTCAGCACAGTATGTTGAGTTACTAACGGAGATAATAGTTGACCGTCAATTTTGACGGTCAATTTAAATTATAGGCCAAATTTGTCCAATAATTTCAAAAGTATGCCATAAATGTCTTATTTGAAAAATGAGGCCAGAACGGTCACTAACGCTAAACTTCGGGCCAAACTAGGGTATTAACCCTTTATCTTATGATGTGCACACTTATGTTTATTATTAGATCTTGTGATATATAATGACACATGGACCAAGTGGGAGAATGTAAGCCCAATTCCTGTAGGTCACTAGGGAATAATTGTGGCCCAAGTGTAATTATCACTTAATGATTTAATATATAAGGTAAATCCTATATTGATTAGGTTAATGAAAGGTAAATTCCTAATATGCCCTGATGGTGGGTCTATATAAAGGAGCTCTAGGATTGGTCCTCTCTCAACCCATTACGTAGAATTTCTTAGCCATCACAGAAATCTCTAAACCTAAAACCTAAAGGGGTCAAGAGGGAGAAACTCAATTCCGGTGATTACTACTCCAGCGCCGCCGCCGCTCTCGTCATGGATCGAGGTAGGTTTTCCCGATCTATTATCGATTCGTGAAATCATCTAATTCTAAGATCCATGCTATTATGATCTATGTTTACAAGAGGCGGCTGAAGGCCGCCCGACATAACGTAAGGTTGCCCGACATAACGAAACTTGTCCTCACTCCCATACCCAGCTAGTATAAATACTCATTGACGGATCACATTTATGGTAACTGCTATCTACTCAATTCTCTCTCCTATTTACTCTCAACTCACTTCTCTCTCTAACTTTGGCATCAGAGAAGGTCCCAGGGCTACCCCTGAGGACCTTTCTTGCAGGACTTTGAGGACCGCCTCTCATCAGACCAGGACCGCACGAAGTCAGTGGAGTCTCACAAAACCGCCCGGTGGCTGGTACGAACCAGGCATAAACAAATTTGTAATTCATTTGTAGTTGGCAATTAAGTTCCACCACTTGTTTGTAACGGTGAATCAAAATTTGTAGTTAGTTCATTGTGCGTTACCGAGATAAAGGCCCATGCGATCAATTCATCTGTTTATTAAAGTAAAATCAGAATTTTAATCATACAATAAATGAAACTCCGTACTATCTCAACAAATACCAAAGAGAGAAACGCAACCCATAAGAGTGATCTCAGAAACAATTCACAAGCTATTGGAATGGAAATACAAGTAGTTCTGTGGACAATTCATGTTGCTCTGAAAAATGGAGCCTCCTCAAATCTTACAGGCGAAGGCGATGCCTTCCTTCGAGAGCAACTCGAGGCTCTCAACTGATGGTTGAACCCTGGCGACTTTAGCAATTGCCTTGTTTTCGTCTGGGGAACCGCCTTCCAGGAAGGCTCCAAGGATCTTCCCGTCTTTGATCCAGTATGTGCCGAACTTGGGCTTCTCTGCCTTGGGGTCGTCGTTGCCGAACAGCACGGTTTCGCCAACGTTGTCACCGTAGAATTGCCACGACAGGTCGAAGGCACGAGAGTAGAAGTAAGGGAGATAATCGTATTCTTCAACGGTCACAGTCGACATTATAGCCTGGTAAAAAGCAAGCAAAATAGTTTTGATGAAGCCATCAACCAAAGCAACAAACAGTTTAGAAATGGAAAGAAAGAGGGGAGAATGTAAAAACCAACATTACCTTGACAGCCTGCTCAGCTGATTTACGAGCATGATCGACGTGTTCGACTCGCCTGATCTCGTTGTAGATCTTCATTGGAAAAGTAGCAACATCCCCCACAGCATACACATCAGAGATGCTTGTTTTGAAGAATCCGTCGGTCTATAATCAATGAAGAGTCCAGTAGTTAGTAACTCTTCCATGAGGAGGTCATTTGGAAGTAATTTAGATCATTAACAAACCTTAATTCCGCCCTTCTCTTCGTCGACCTGCCCCTTGAACAAGGCTGTAAGTGGTCTTCCTCCAACGCCAACAACAACAATGTCGGCCTCCAACACCCTGCCATCCTTCAATTTAACTTCCTTCACCTGAGAACACAGTTGGAACTTGCTTCCGTTTCAGATGAACATTCAACGAACAAGATTATAGAATTAGCAAATAGTTTAAGTTTTTACCTCTCCATTTGAATCGGAAGTGAATCCAGTTGCGACTGTCCCCTTGATGATGTTGATGCCCTTGTTAGAATAGTAGACTTCATAGAATGCAGCTATTCCAGCTGTAAAAAGCCGAGGCACTAGAGGAGAGCATTGAGCAAGTTAGTGAACAGGGCATTTATCATGGGATGTGCGGTAAGGACTTCGAAAGTGATTTACTTACTGCACCAAGGTTCAGGATAGACCATGGTAACCTCAATGTTGTTGATCTTCAAAGCTGCACTAAGCTCCAAACCAATGTAACCTCCTCCAACAATGACAGCTTTCCCGTTTGGCTTTGCTTTGATTGCTTCGACGAGCTTATCAGCATCATCGATCTCCCTCAAGTAAAAAATGTTTTTTGCATCAGCTCCTTCTACACCAAAGTCAGTCAATCGTAACACCTATGCAAAGAAAGTAGGGTCACGGTCAGAAATGCTGTGAGTGATGAACCTTATGCAGAAAAGCTGATGAAGAAACATATAAACTTACGGTTGAACCAGTCGCAATGATCAGTATCTCGTACTTGATGGTTTCCCCAGCAGCACTTACGAGCATCTTCGAGGGAACATCTGCTTTAACTATTTCTGTGTTAAGCAACAACTCTATCCCTGCAGCAGCAACATTCAAGAAACAGGTTTTAGTTGGAAAATCACTTCTTTGACACCCAAAACATTGAGCAAGGAAGCACGATTAAACTGGGCAAGTTCTCATTTATGTAACAGGACTAATGAAGCTGAGTTTTTATAGGTCCTCGCCCTTCTCAGTGTACCACTCAGGGAGCAATCTCTCCCCTCCGCTACCAACGCACGTGTGAAATCCAGGAAGCCTTGCAGTTCCTGCCAAACGCAACTTCCACCAATTAAAAACTATTCAAGCACAAAACATAAGAAATACTACTTTGGTCTCTTCAGAAACCAAAGTAAAAATCTGCTTGAATCATGCTAGCTATCTATATTTTAAATAGGTTTGAAAGATCTTTTACCAGTAGGGAAGAGATAGGCCTTGCTAAGAGCTGGACGTTCATAAGGCGCTACCTGCACGCACAAGATACCAAAACTCATTACCACCAAGAAAAACTAGACAGCATTGACCCCAAGAAAATCTCTAGTCTCCAAAGCCATCTTCTCTCACTTCAGAAGGCGCAAAACCCATTCTTTATGAAGGGAACAACTCATCTGCTTGAGCTAGACTAACATGATCCATTCGGCCTACTATACCAGAGGGCAATTCAAACACTGAACAAGTGGTTTGATGATTGCTAGACATACAGGGAGATATAGGAAGCAACGGAAACAAAACAGTATAAACAACATACCGCCTCCTTTGAGATAATTGCCAATTCACCAGGCTTGACCCCTTGATTGGCGAACTCTCTTGCTGCATATCCCTGCACCACCAGGAACCAGAATTCATATGAAGGTTGCAAACCCATCAAAATGAAGAATCAATCTAGTTCCTTCAATTCAAACTAGTGCCAAAGGCTTGCAAAACAGAATAGAAGCAAAAAACTCTGGCAATAATGCAGACAGGAAAGGAAGTCACAAGATGAATTCCTCCTAACATTGATCATACACCTTGGTTGATTCGTGGAATGCACTGTAGTTCCAAAGTTCTCTACTTTGTGAAATCAGTCTACTTCCTCTACAATGTCCCCAAACCTCGCAAACAGTTCAATCCTTTCGCCTCGCCCTCACACGCAGACGCCATCCAGAGCAGAAATGAATATCTACGCCAGCTGAGCTTAGAGCATAACTTTACCACACGAAAGGTCAGAGATAAACCGAACTAGCTAAAACAAACCAGTACCCAAGCACTAAGTTATGCGCAAATTGAACACAGTTCAGGGACGCGATCGCAACGAAAACCAAATCAACGGTTCAAGCAACAAATAATCACGGAACTGGGAAACAAGAGCAAGAACCACCACAAGATTTCCACACTAGATCGTAAGTAAAGCGCTCGAAAAAAATTCCTAGATTTATAAACGCTTGGCACCAGGGGGCCGCGAAATTCCGAAGAGGTCGCTCCGGAACCGCATACAACAGCCCGGAATGTTACGGCAGCAGGGGAATTCATGAGAATAATCAAAGAAAACGATCGCGAAATTCAAAACTATAAGAAAAGAAGCGGCCGAGGTTGAAGAAGAAGAGTACTTACGGCAGCGACGCCACCGCCGAGGATAACATACTTGAAGCTCTTCTCCGCCATTGATTGATAATTGGATGGTTTCTTTCTCGCTCTCTGCTACTCGGTCGTTTTTTCCCTTTATCTCCTGTTGTGGAGACGATTGATTGATTAATTTAATTGGCTCGTATACTCGTATTGTTTATATATATTATATTAGAACAAGTTATTTGCAAAGACAAAGACAAGTTAGTAAGTTACTGTACGCCTAGACACGAAATTTCTGTTCATTTAGACTTAAAATTACTGTTCATCCTCCTCCCATTAGGGATGGCAACTTTGCCCATACCCATGGGTTTCTTACTATCCAACCCAATTATGAAATCCAAATAGATGGATATGGGTAGAATTTGATGGGTTTGTATCCATACTCATTTATTTTGAGTTGAGTTGGGTTTATATCAAATGGATTTGGGTTTGTACCCATGCCCAAATACAAATTACAGTTTGATACCCAAACTTAATAGATATGCATATTTAGTACCTAAATTTAATTTTTTTTTGCATATAAGTCCTCAAAATATCGATGGAAAATTACATTTTGGTACCTAAATTTTTTGGTCTTACATTTTGGTACCTAAAGTTTTCAAGTTTTACAAATAGGTCCAATTTTTGCATGTGTAGTAAAAACACCCTCAAGTAAATGGATATCCATATCCAACCCATACCCATTTAGATTATGGAAGCAATATTCATACCTTACACAAACCCATCTATAAACCCCCAAATCCATATGCACTTCACCCATACCCAACCCATTATCAATGGGTCTACTTGGGTTTGGGTATAATTACCCATGGGTGGGTAATTTGCCATCCCTACCTCCCATTGGTGCGTCCTCTGCGATTGGGACCAGCCGTCTTTGCTGATTGGTTGGCTTCCTGCGTCTGGGTCCCGCTGTTGTTGCTGTGTGTGCCGCGTTGCCCTCAGCTGCACGCTCATTTTCCCTTCGCTCTCTCTTTCCTGCTTTTCTTTCTCTGCTTTTCTCAACTATTCCCTCTGAAACCTTCTGCTAATTATTACACCTGTCAATCTGTACGTTTCGCTTTGCTTTTTTCTCTTATCTTGCCATGGATACTGCTTCACTGTTCTTCGGGTCCCGAGGGGTTTCTCGAATATTGTGATCCTTCGCAGAGAAGTTAAGGATTTTCCCCGCCAGGCAAACAATAAGTAGAGAGGAGAGAGAGTCAGAGGTTTTGGCCACACCATCTCAGTTACTCTCTCCTTTCTTTCTCCTCTCTCTCTTCAATCTCTCAAAAATGGCTGCCTCCACCATCGCCACCTCCTCTATTGGCTCCTTTACCTCCACGGCTGTCGTCGCCACCGTCCCCATCATCGCCACCTCCTTCGTCACCTCCGCCTTCGCCATCCCCACCGCCTCAACTACCGCCGTTGCCACCTCCTCCACCTCCACTTCCACCGCCTTCATCGCCTTCACTATCTGATCCCGTCACGAGAGCCGGCGGCGCCGAGATCCTCTCCGTCGGATCCGGTGGTAGTCGACTGATCCCTCTCGCTCCTCTTCCCGCTTGTACGCGAAACGATACTGTTGGGAGAAGAAACCCCCACTTCCTCCTTGCAATCGGCCGTTGCAACGGCCGGTAGCCGGTTCACGTCGAACCCCCGGAAGAACGAGGAGAAATTTCACGTTGTTTTAGGTGGTGGTGGTCTTCTCGGCATCTCCTTATTTTTTCCATTCCAGTAAATTTGTTCCAGTTGATGCAATGGCCTTTCCCCTTTCTCTCTCTCTCTCTCACTTTTCCCCCTATCTTTCTCTCTCACTTTTCTATCGGCGATGGTTTTTCACATCCAGTTTGGGAGATGGCGATCTCGAAACGATCACGTTGTAGATTTGAGAGAGAGAGAAAGGGGATTTAAAGAATGCCCCGGTGCACAGGTTATAATCTTGGTTTTGTTATCTTTCTGTCGTTCATGATTTTGTTCTGTTTTTCATGGGTTTATTGTGATTACTTTTCAGACGAGATTTTGCAAGATGAAGTAAACGGTTGGGCGTTGATTGATCTGCTGTTCTTAAGGATGGTGTGGGCAACACCAGGGGTTTGGAGTTCCAAAAAGAGTCGCTGGAATTTGGGCGAGGTTCGCTTCTTAATCCCCTGTTATATTCTTTGCCGTCCTGTTGTTGGCGAAGCCTTCCCTTACATGGCAGATTATGTTTTTGCCTTTTGCAGATGATCATCTGATAGACTATCTTTGTCCCTACTGGGCTGCTTTGGTCTGGTATTGTTTGGTGGGTTGCGGGATTTGATACTGGAGATTGTTTAATGGGTTTATGTATATGTGAAAGGTGGTTCTGCGCCCTCAACAAAGGGGTTGACGAGGCAAGTAGCATCAGGTTATAATCTTTCTCTCTGGTTCTTTCTCTGTACTGTATTTCGATGGACTAATTCTCTCTTTCTTTCTCATAAGGGTCGTTTGAACTCTTTTCAGATTTTATTCAAATACTATAGACTCTCCGAGGAAGGCAAGTACCCGAGCTCTGCATCAGATTTTATTCGTTTTAGCTGCGAGACTACCTTTGGTAAGTCATTCTTTGGATGCTGTTGATTTGTTCGGTTCAAGTGCTTCTATGAGTTGGAGATAATTTCATTTTTCTTTGATGGATCAGAGTTCATTGATTTGCCTTCTTCACTTCCATCCGCTTCTTGAGTGGAACTCTAGGTTACCAATGGGATTTGAAGGGTGCATAGAGGAGACTCGGAGAATAGGCAGACTTGTATGTTTTACAATTGTTTTGTTCTGTATGTTTTCTGCGATGTGTTTGTTGGCTCTTCCTTGCTCTTTGGTTTTGATTGATAAACTCTTAGGAGTAGATGCAGGTGTCGAGTTTACTTTCATTGAGGCGGATTGGAGGTCGAAGTTAAGCAGAAAGGTAGCAATAGCAGGGGACCGACTGGTTAGTATGCACGAACTACTGGTGGGGTTGTCAATGGATTTGAGGTGCACAGAGGGTTCGGAGGAACCCAAATCTGCAGATTTATGTTTAAGGTTTAAGGTAATTGTTCTCTGTGTTGACTAGATGCGTCGCTCGCCATCTGCCTGTGCTTTCCACGCACAAGTGAGGCGTGGGAGATTCAGAAACCTCCAACAACCACCAAAAAGTATAACTTCTCAAACCACCTTCCACTGTTCATCTAGACTGCTTTTACTATTCGTTTAGACTCAATTTTACTATTCACCGGTTTGTGATTGGCTGTTGCTCTGGTTGTTCAGTGGTTTCTGACATGGAAGCTCGGTTCCCTTCAAGTTATTGATGGGATATCTGGTTGCCATCTTTTAGTTTTTTTATTTTTATTTGGTGAAGGTGATCTTTGCGTAGGTCGCAGGGTATCTTTGAGTTTCTTTGTAACTAGATTTTGCCTTTTGTCTAAACTGTAGAGATCATGAGAGGAAGGGAGGTTGTTGATGGAGACAAGTCTTTGCTTTATTCCTTTCACGGCAGAGAACATGAGAGAAGGAAGGTTTGCTGATTGAGACACGTAATTGCCTTATTCCTCACACTGCATAGGGGACTAGGGGTTGGCAGAGGAACGAAGGGTTGCTTATGGAGACTAGACACTAGATATATATATTTTTTGTTTTTCAATTTTTTGCCTTCTCGGTTTTTGAGGGGCTCTTGGGAGACTGTGCATCCTCACTCCTCAGATAGAGGCTGAAGGGCGAAAGGAATGGAAGATACTAAGAAGGACAATGGTAGGTTAAAAGCCACGTAGTTCTTATATTTTCGGCCATTCATTTAACCTGCTCGCATTGCTCATGTGCTCTTTCAGTCGATTTTCTTTTTTGGGATGGATAGAGAGAGGCAGAGGAACCATCTTGCTATCCCTGGGACTTTGTCCACGAGTCATATCTGGGACTTTGTCCACGAGTCAGAGAAATGGCCAATATATGTTTTATACTATATTTTCAATCCCAATTGTTTCGAACTTGCTCTTTTTTCGGAATGGAATATTTATGGAATCCCCATAACCCATAAATAGGGTCAAATCTTACAAAACTATGTCCCACTTTGAATTCTGGAATTTTAATGGTAGTTCTTGGCGTTCTTCCCATGTTTTTCATCAAAAATTTTACATGTCTAATGATTGATCCACAAAAATGAAAAAGAGAATGCAAAACATGTTTGTTCGCAGAACGACGTATTGGATGTCGTTCCATTTATTTGCCAGGCCCATATAAATGTTGGGCTAACGAATATAAATTTTGACAAATTTGATTTTGAAATAGAGTCGGAGACCCAAAATTACAAAATACGATTCTTCTAATATACTATTTGAACACCTAATTAGATATGATAATGCTCATCAGATGAGGATATGCAAATTGTGTAATCATTTCTTCACGATATTGTTATGGAAACTGAGTCATACACTTTTTTATAACAATAAAATACAATTTATTTTATTTCCTTTAGATAAACTCAAGTATAATTCCAATCCCGACGCGGAGCGCGGGCAAGGATACTAGCGGGAAATATAACTATGCAAATTGCTTCACCTCATTCGCTCTTACTTTTTAATTACATGTAATTGATGTTTACATTAATAATTATATATAACTATGCAAATTGCTATTATCATTTGCCCACAGTTCCCATTCTCACCTCATACGCTCTTACTTTTTGCCCTTTTTATTGTGTACATTTTTTAAGTAAAGAAGGAGAAAATTGAGGAATCAGTTACCAAATTTTTTTATGAAATGTTGTTATTTTTTAGAGGGTTTGAATTTTAGAATGGGAAATCGGGAGTTATTCTGTTTCACAGACAGTCGCTATTTTTTAGAGAGTTTGAAAGGGGGAAAACGACAATTACTGTATTTCTAGGTGTGTTGACGTGGAAGCGTAGATTTAGTCTAAGGCTAATGTGGCAAGGGTGCAAATCTCAAACCCTTTTAATAAATTTATAAATAAATAGATAGATAGAAGATAGATAGATAGATAGATATAAATAATGGGCCCTCTTTTATGATATAAGTATATATATGAATTGGGCCCAGTATTCTCATATTTAGCCCGAATAAGAAATGGCTTTATGCTTATATTAAATTTCTATAGTTTTTTGGAAGCCCATTTTATAATGGTTCGGTCCATTGGGGGAACAATTTATGGCCCACTGAATCTCCAATATAAGATTTTATAATGGTAGTAAGAATTCGTTTTGGGGACCAACTTCCACCACCTTTTCATTCCAGTTCTAATTCTGCCTTTTCAACTTCCCCTGTTCTCTGAACTCCTTTTCCCAGAAGCTACAGTACTTCGCAACTTCCAGATCAGAGATAGTTGTATATTCATGGGGTATGATCGCCGATAGTTTTTCCTTTTGCATTTTGTCTCTGTTTCTTTACACTTGAACCAATTTTTGATCTTCTATTGTCTTTCTATATCAGCCATCGTTGTATAATGCCTCGTGATTTCAAACTTCCAACTCTTCCACGAGGTATCGACTCTGTTGCTTTCTGTTTCAAGTTTCTATTTATTGGTTTATGAATGAACACTGCCGAAGTGTTAAGTTTTGGAGTTTTTCTTTGTCTTTTGTTTATTACAGACCCAATTTCCACATGCATGGTGTTTCGTGGCCTCCGTATTGGTGCTTATACTGATATTATGATCATCCGAGTTCTTAATGTATGGATTGAGTATAGTGATGACTCTCAAGGGCATAGAAGAACAATGCATGTGCTGTGTCTTGACAAAGAGGTCTGTCATTCGTCTATATAATGTAATATTTATTGTTTATGTTTGATTGTGGTAATGCACTAAATCACATTTAACAGGAACATATGCTAGAGGCATGTATTGAGGAAGATGACATTCAAGAAATGCACCATAAGTTGAAAGTAGGCGATTTACATGTTTTGGATGGCTTTCATGTTATTCCTGCGAGGGAGAACATGCGTGTTGTTCCCGCTGAAGTTCGCTTTGCCTTAAGGAGTGAACTGATCATATTTTGCGTGTCTGACAATCCGAGTTATCCCAAGTTTCCTGTCAATACTTTTCTGAAAACTTCGTTCTCGGCTGTTCCAATAGAGGCAGAAACAGTTGTGAATTATGGAGGTATTCTCCTCATAAGCTGTTTTCACAAAAATTGTTCATGATTATTTGCTTACTATGAATTTAATTGCAGATGTTACAGGTTGCGTTGTTCATCTAACAATTCCAGAGGTTTCAAGTAATGCTGTTTTTAGGTTTGAGCTCATCATAGAAGACTGCAGGTTTCTTGCGTATTCTTGTGTTGACTTTTGTTTGTTAGACTTTTATGTGGGATTAACTGATCTTTTGTTATTTTGTATAGAGGGGACAGGGCGACAGTGTACTACTCTGGATCTGGGGTTACAAAGTATTTGGAGTTTGCAGGGGAATCTGAATCTCGGCTTCTTCTCATTACCACAATTACTGCTGTTACAAGGTTGCCAGTTACAGATAGCACTGGAGATGCATATGTATCTCAATCTTCACCTGGGAGTCGTCTGATCATTGCTTCTTACAATCACCATTATGAAAAAATAATAAATAGGTATTATTATATTTGAATTCTATGTCTATATATTGACAAACCTACTCTGTTGGATGTTAGAAAAACAATACATACATTCTTTTTGTTGTTTAGGTTCATAGGTGATCGGATGTCAGTGACTTACATCAATAGTACTTCTCGCTGCTCTATTGGTTATCTTCGTGGTCTTCTTCCTCCCAAAAGAACACTCAGGCAGCTAAAGGATGATATAATGTTCCATTCACAGGCCTACCAGGTATATGTATAATATTGTATGTTCTAATTGTGTTGGATAACACATACCCCAAATATATAGTCATATCTTTAACCTATTATAACAAAAATTCCTTCCTTCAGACTCTCTATCGTTGTATGCTGGAAATGACAAGATTTACGTACGGTCCAGAAGTCTTTAAATCAAGTTCAGGTTTTCCAAGGTATGATTCAATTTTATGTTTTGCTAATAATCTGTTGTCCATTGCATTTAAGGAAAATCAAAACGTTCCTTTCATTGTTTAATTCAGGGTACGATATGAATTACATGCAACATGTGAGTGTGAGGGCGAATATGTTGATGTTATCTTTGATCATGAAGCTGTGTTGGGCTTGGTTTGTGTTTCACCTGAGGAACTTTTCAGTTTAACCTATGAAGAAGGATATGAGTGCATTGAAGACAGGTGCTATGTGCCATTTGTGGCAGAAGCTTTTATTGCTCCTGGGAGTTCAGAATATCCTTCTACTATCCGAATTGCTTCAATCT